TGGGCGAGGCGGGGGGGAGGGGGGGAGATGAAAAGTATGAGGAATTGTATGGCTGGGTTTGGGTGTGGGGGTGGGGGTGCGGCACTGTTTTTTTTTTTTTTTTTTTTTTTGGCCTTTCATAACCAAGCTTCTAGACACTTTAGACTTTGATTGCCCATTACAATCAACATGATGCATCATCATGGCGTCCGTGGTCTCTTCAGGTAGAGCTGCCCCGCTGGGCAGCGTGTTTATCACTGAATGGAGCCTCTTCTTGAGGTATGTTGCAGGAGCACATTGAGATATATGCCAAAGATGCTTTCCCAAATTGGTTTCTTTTCAAAGACCTTGCAAGTACTCAAGAAGTAGTCAAATTTGGAAATACACGATACTCAAAGATCCATGGATGGCAGCTACCTCATCTAACACACCTACCACAGCTTGCTTCATCTTCCTCTCCTCTCCCGGGCTTAATACTTAAGTATCAGTCGCAAAAATCAAGGTGGACAGAAAAGACTCTCGGCGGCACTGTGGCCCGTAACAACGCAAGCCCAAGTATAGTCACTGCTATCAGTAATGACACCAGCACCAACATTGTACTGAGCACAGTCTGCCGGGCCATGGAATTGACTCAGCCACTCAACAATATCACGGCCCATGTTAATGTCCACACCCGAGTTTGGCGAAACACGACAATTCATAGCCGCAGTCGGCTTGTGCAAAGCCCCAAGAGGGACTGGCTTTGATGTTCTGTACTGATTCCGATCCAGCTGGTTCAGAATATCAGTTAGACCAGTTTTTGTGCTATCACACAAATGGATATGGATCTGCTCCTCAGACCGAGTAGAGACACTGTTCATGGCAAGGGCCAGTGAGTCTCTAGCCTGTTGACTGTTGATTGTATCCTGACCCAAACGGAAGCCACCATCGATATCATTTGCGGTTTGCAATTGCAAGATACCCGGTATCAATTGCGTGGTGGTAATCAGATTACCGGAGCCAAGGACTACCCAAGACGGAGACTGTTGAGGTAACGGGGGACCTTGGCCGATGACCGGGCTGGCGATGCAATCCGTATGTGATCCGGCTTGGAAGGCTTGGATACAGCGGCAGAGACTGGAAAACCAGATATAGCAGCCGTTGCACCTGGAGTTTGGGCTTATGCAGCCAGAATAACATTGTGATAGTTGTGCGCGAGGGATAATTGGCGACGGTGGTGACGAACTGCAGGTGATGGGACAATCGATGGAGTTTCCATTGCAGATCAGAGCGGATGCTGGAGATGGGAAATCAGAAGGACATGTGCAGCTGCTCACGTCCATCTTGGCTATGTCGTCCGAGGTGCATAGATTCTGCGCCCAAACTGGGGCTATGAGAAGGGAGAGTACAACTGAGTAGTACTTCATGTTGCTTGAGTGGAATAGTCCAAAGCAAATGATAGATGATGAGCCATTGCTATGAAGGAAGGAATCACCTCTAATATTCGTGGTGAACATGAATCATGATGTAAACATACCGTATATCTGGAGCCTCAGCCCTATCAAAGGCCTCACCAGCAGAATCGGCTTTGGTTTCCGCAGTGCTTTCATCAACGGTTCATGGTGGAACGTGTGGTCATTCTCGCAATTCAAGCCCGTGCAAGAATTAAGGTGGTTCCCGTATGTGACTAAACTCAAAAATAGTTAGGGTTAATCATTCAGTCTATGCTAAAGAAGTGAAGGTCAACTATGAATCACAAGTCAATTGAGGTTTTGGTCTCCAGATACAAGGCATGATCAATTTTTCACTCTAAAGAAATGAAACGAGGCGGCGAACTACATCATATTTCTACACATTCAAACAGTGAGATACGAAAATCCGTGATTTCATTTCAATGTCGTCATGAGATATAAAGACCATAAAAGCTTTTTTTGAAGATCACGACATTTAGTTGCCGAGCTTCTGGCGGGCGAAGTTAGGCAGGACAAAGCTGGCGCGATGAATGTCCTGGTTGTAGTAACGGCAGAGCTTCTGCTCCTCCTCGGCGGACCAGGTGCGGAGGGGCTCACGCACGTTGGCGGAAGCGTCCTTGGAGCAGACCATGAAGCCGATCTGGCCGGAGGGGTAGGTAGGGATGGTGGTGTAGGCGTACTCGGCGACGGGGAAGACCTCTTTGCAGGACTTCTTGAGGTCGGCGATGAGGTCAAGGTGGAGCCATTGGTTCTCAGCTACAATGTCAAAAGCACAGCTTCGCAAAACCGAGCCCGCAAAACGGGTTGGTTGCGAGGTGGTGCAACGGAATTAGCCTATGTTCTTCACGTGGGAGTGAAACTCGGTGTAACATGAGGAGGGTGGATTGGGGGGAGGGGTATGGCAAAAGGACTTGGGCAAAACATAGGAAAGTGACGAACAACCTTGGGTAGTGATAACACCGCCCTCACGGAGAGCAGACTTGAGAAGCTCGAAGTAGGGCTTCTGGAAGAGGCTCTCGGCGGGACCCTCGGGGTCAGAGCTGTCGGTGATGATAACGTCGAACTCGTTCTGGCGGTTCTTGAGGAACTCGAAGCCGTCACCAACGTGGGTGTGGGCGTTGGGGTGCTGGAAGCCAATGGCCATGCCGGGGAGGTACTTCTTGGAGACACGGATGACGGCCTCGTCGATGTCGCACAAGGTGGCCTCCTTGACGGAAGCGTGCTTGACGACCTCACGGAGAACACCACCGTCACCACCACCGATGACGAGGACCTTCTCAGGGTTGGGGTGAGAGTTCATGGCGAGGTGAGTGATCATCTCCTGGTAGGAGAACTCGTCGCGCTCGGTGCACTGGATGACATTGTCCAAAACGAGGACCATGCCGTGGTCGCTGCTCTCGAAGACGAGGACATCCTGGTACTTGGACTTCTCGTGGTGGATGATCTGGTTGACCTTGAGGCTCATGGCCTGTCCAGGCCACATGCCGGACTTCTCAGAGAACCAGCCATCTATCCATGCCTGTCAGCTCTTATACTTCCATGCGATTGTAATGTTTTGACGCGAATGGCGGGGTAATGGAGGGGGTAAACATGCCGACAATGGTAGGGTGGGTAAGCTCGGACATTATGAAGGATTTGGAGGAGAAACGACGAGAAAAAGATGTTCGTGAATAGAGAGAGAAAGAGAAGCGGGAAAGACGCAGCATTCGAAGAAAAAGGGTACGGCGGAAGATTGGCTGCTTTGGGCGAATTTTTCTGCCCGGCTCAAGTGGGGTTACTCTACGGAGTACTCACTGCTGGGCTGCCAACCCCAAATCGCCCGCAACATGACATCGGGGGTATTCTCGTAGGTAATAACTTGCTTGTGAACCTTAGTGGCGTCAATCTGTTTGCCAATTCGACTGTGATGCATCCCCCGTGTCCACTTTTGGGCATTGTCGTCTCATGGGCCAATGACAGCTCCCTAAAAGACGCTTACTCAGGGTTGACCTTGAAGATTCGACAAAAAGTATAGAAAATGGTTGCAAATGGTTGGCGGACAAGGGAAAAATCAAATGGTCGATTGCTTTCTAGTTACTGTACAAGCATACAGCTCCCCACGTCAGAGCCTTGGGTGTATCATGCTCTGTTATACCAATCAAACCTCACTCCGAGAAACAATTGGAATTATAATTTACTCCTCATCACCACCCTCGAGAAGGCGGCCAGGCTTGGAGTTCAGGTACTCGTTGCTATGTCGAATCAGTAAACCGATCAATTCCACTCCGAGGAGGATCCTTACCGCTCAATGGCCCAGTTCATGGCACCGTATGCGATAACGAAGGGAGGAACAACGTAGAGAACCTGGTGGCGGAAACGGCGGAAGACGTTGAAGATGGCAGCGTGGCCGGCACCGGCGAAGGGACGCTGACGGTTAGGGGACAGCGAGTAGGTAGCGATGCGCTGGGGGGTCGGGCAACCTGGAAGGGCAACATTAGCAACATGCCCGATGGAAGCCTCTCAACCGAGTCTCATTTCCCGGGTTTCCAGCGGTTGTCGCGATTCTCTCAATGGTGTTGAGAGACTCCTGCGCCTGTATCCGGGTCCGTTCGAAAGATTCAAGGGTTGTGGTCAACGTACCGAACTCTCCCCAGGTGCCGATGAAGCTGTGGAAAAAGCGGAGTCAGTAATCTTGAAGCCAAGCAGTGATTGTCTGAAGACCCATAGAGTCATCCCAATTGACATCTTTTGAAGGGTTGTTTTTCGAGGCTGGATCGTGTCTCCGGGCGGGTAACGCATCCGGGCGCTCGGCGACAGGAAAGGCGAAGAGACTTACTGTCCGTTCTTGGGGTCAACTGAGCCACCCATTTTGAATGTATTTGGGTAAAATGAGAGGAGTGGGTGGGAATGGTATATAAGGAAGCGAAACGACAAGGGAAAAGACGAAGTGTCGGGCGAAGTTGGAGGTTCGGATCATGGACGCTAAGCCCGATTTGGAATACTCAGAGGGAGCAACGGGAAAAGCAGACATCATCTCCATCATCTACCCTCATCACATCCCCCTCCAACTCCACACCATGGCCAAAGTGCTCCAAAATGTATACCGCATGGCCTTCCCCCTTGCCCTGGGGGGTATGGTAGTCCAAAATTCCCTCTACGACGTCCGCGGTGGCACACGAGCCGTCATCTTCGATCGAGTGTCTGGTGTGCAAGAGAAGGTTGTCAACGAAGGAACACATTTCCTGATTCCTTGGCTGCAACGCGCAATTGTCTACGATGTGCGAACAAAGCCTCGTAACATCTCAACTACGACCGGAAGTAAGGATTTGCAGATGGTCAGCTTGACGCTGCGTGTGCTGCACCGCCCGGAGGTGCCGAAGCTGCCTCAGATCTACCAGGTTTGTTTCCTCAATTGATTCTCAGCCTCGACAGACCACGGTATACTAATTCCGACTTTTATAGTCCTACGGTACCGATTACGATGAACGTGTTCTTCCCTCTATCGGAAACGAAGTCCTCAAGGCCATCGTGGCCCAATTCGACGCCGCCGAGCTGATCACACAACGTGAGGCCGTCTCCAACCGCATCCGTACCGACTTGATGAAGCGTGCCGGACAGTTCAACATCGCCCTCGAGGACGTCTCCATCACTCACATGACTTTCGGAAAGGAGTTTACTCGAGCCGTCGAGCAGAAGCAGATTGCCCAACAGGATGCTGAGCGGGCCCGCTTCATCGTTGAGCGTGCCGAGCAGGAGCGCCAGGCCAATGTTATCCGCGCTGAGGGTGAAGCCGAGAGTGCCGATATTATCAGCAAGGCCGTGGCCAAGGCTGGCAGCGGTCTCATTGAGATCCGTCGCATTGATGCCAGCAAAGATATCGCTCAGACCCTGGCTCAAAACCCCAACGTTACCTACCTGCCCGGCGGAGAAGGAAAAGACGGTGGCAAGGGTACCAGCCTCTTGCTCGGTCTGCGGAGTTAAAGGGATAATTAAGACGTTGCGGGACTCACGAGCCCCATTTTCTCAATTCATTGAATGTACCAATTAATCGCAATCTTTGCCACGGCTCGAGGTGAGCTTGACTTCGAGTTGTGAACTGAAGTGGTCGGAACTAGGCCATCTTCTGATCTGTAGCAATACCATACCTCACTCCACATTTCTTTTTTTTTGGAATATTCACTCATATTTGAATCGTTATAGGATAGTCTTATATCACAGTATAACATTGAACAGGTCTACAACCGCCGATAGACATGCATTTGGAACCGCATATCCTCCAGGCCTGCACCCTCGCCAACTTCATACCTCAGGCGCACCGCGTCTCGTCTCCACCACCGTGACTCCTCAGTATACACCCGCTCCCACTTGCCCTTCGCCACTGAAAGCAAAGTGTGGTCAAGCAAGAACTTCATGGGATAATTCCTCTCTTGAGGCTCCCCATCCGGTCCCTTTCCTAGTTTTAATGTTGAATAGCTTCCTGGGCTATCAACAACGAGGAGGACCGCACCAACCGGCAGGATCTCTGTCATGCGAAGCATAAATGCGGTAGTCTTGGGCATGGATGTCGAAAAAAGTTCATTCAGCGTGAACATGATCGGGACCAGAACGGAAGTGAAAGGAGAAGAGGACGAACTGCCAATTAGGAGTTCTTTCAGCTCTTCCTCTGGAATATTCAAGATATCCGCACGACGGAAGTTAACCGCGAATGATTCACTTGCCTCCTGTGAGAGCAAGGGTGGGCGGTGTTTCGAAGTTAATGTGAACGGCACATTGGCGGAAAAGATGGTTCGTGAAAGCCTGTCAACAACACTGGTCCAGTTTCCGATGTCGACAGCCATGACGGACAGTCCGCGTGCACTAGCAGTCTCTTCTTCGGGCTTGTTTTCTTCCTTTTCGTCCAGCGACACTTCGGCAATACGCTGCTCCAATGACTGAGCTTCGGTGTCTAGATCTCTTTGCACAGCTGCGAGAGCGACGATCTCTGCGCCTGCACCTCCACCGATGGAAACAACACGGGTTGAAGGGTTGTTTGATCTCGTGCGACCTCGAGTGTTTTCTTCTTCTTCCTCTTTCATCCAGGATAATACACCCTTCAGGATGCCGGCATATCCCAATGATCGCGAGGAACTCCAGCGCAAGGCATACGCGCGCAACAGATCTTCATTCGCTTCAGTGAAAGCAGAGTCAAAATCGCGCTGGTAAAGCAATCCCTTGATTGTTTGAATCAGAGACTTGATATCGAGCGGTTCTTCCTTATCCTTCGTTTCGGCTGGCTGTGATTCATCGTCTGGGTTTGCGGCCTCCGGCTCTGTGGCCGGCTCTCCAAGCAAAGCAGTCTTGAACACATCCAGTATCAATTGCTGAAGCGATCGGGGGATTGTGCTAACAAGTTTGGGGCCAGAGGTCTCTTCTTCAACTGGTTCGGGTTCGGGTTTTTGAACTTCGACCTTGCGATTGGCGTGCTGTTTGTTCGCGGGCGGCGCCTGTTTTGGTTTCGCAGCCTTGACTGCCGGTCCTGGTGACCTTCTCCTGTTTCCCTGGCGGGGACCTTTTCCTTTTGCTGGCATTTTGTATGAATTCTTAGGGATGAATTGTTTGTAGCGCGGGGTTGAAGTTTTGGAACTTTTTTTTCCTTATCGTTATCTCGTATCCGATATCCCCGGGGCCATACTGCCGAGACTGTCAAGACTTGATATAGGGCCATCAGTCTGGGGAACCCTGAAAAGCAGATGTGTTGACTCAAAAGTCCCCATATATTTGGGGGAATTAGAAGCCTACCATGATCAAATTCTTATATTAATGGCATTTCAACCTTGAAATATTGCACAATGGGAATTCCTTGATCGCCAAGGCGTTAGACCGTCTGGACTTATGCTTAGGTGCTTGACACCTGGGTAGTTCTCTATCTCAGAAATTGTCAAACGTGGGAATCGCAAACTTGCATGCTTGGATACTTTATCACATTTGAAGATCATCTATACTATGTAGGCCGATGTACATAGGTGCCCACTTGAGCAGGTCGGGCGGATATATATACAAGCCCTGGAGTACACTTCTAAAGTTGACATCTATAATGACCCACACTTGAACAGTGCCCTACCTCTAGAGCTTAAAGATTTCACCTGGGCATCTATATATCTCGCGGGGAATGCCCAGGCTTGAGACATGCTGCCAACAACCCCCGGGGCTCCCAGGGCCCCCAGGTTGGAACTTTAGAAGTACAACTTTAGAAGCTGCAACCCACGGGTCTACACTTGAGCAGGTACTTAAGTACTTAGTATCCCGAGATATAGATCTACGAAAGTAAGTAGTTCCAACCTTCTAAACTTAGAAGTTCTTCGCTGCTTCTCAAATACTGCAACTTTAGAACTAGTTTCAAGGTTCTCCTGAAGTCCTGAAGTCTTTCTCCAATTTTAAAATTGTACTTCAGTATACTTTCTAAGTTAATGCATCTATACTCAAGGAGATTCCCTCAATGTTTACTTGAGTACGTAAGTATGCTGTATCATGGACCTAGGTATTGGAGGCATCCATTGAGGAACCTGGGAGCCATGGAAAAAGTGCAGCTTTGAAGATTGATTCCATTATCCGCTAATGTTAAGCCGGACAAGACAAATTATTGACGAGATCCACACCACCTCAGTAGTGAAGACACAGAAGCCACACAGATAGATACACAGGCGTGTCACAGATATGAAAGAAGAGGGACCCGTGGGCTAACCAGTGGGGACGAAAGAAAATTCAAGACCAAAAGCCTCAACAGGGAGACAAGAACAAAGAAAGAGGTCGCAGGAGACCCGCAATCGTAGAGAATGTCAATTAATCCGTGCCATTCACACCGATACATAAGCGATTGACAAGAAAACTGACAGATCATACTCAAGGCAAGGCCGTGAGAAGTAAAGAAATTCGTAACGAGCGCCTGGGACGCGGGAATGGCACCGCCGATGGAGAAAATAAACAAGCCGAAGAGAGCAAATATGTACACGGGGAAAGGTCCACGCTATGAGAAGCGGAAGGAAGCAGTAGATGAAGATGCCGCGGGGAAAAAAAATGTGCCGAAATGTCGCTATGCCGAGGTTGCGCCGTAAACTAAAATGAAAATGCATCGAGACCAACTCCAAGACAGGGACGATTACGACTGTGGTCGGTCGTCCGCTTGATCGGATGGCTTCTCTTTGTCTCTGACCTTCCAGAAATGCATCAAGCGACTGATGCGGCGGCCCTTTTTCTTTGTCTTCTCGGAGGCGTCTCCAGGGGGTTTCTCCTCCTGGCTGAGTTTGCTCCGCTCGGAATGGGGACCACCGACCAGCTTAGAGAGACTGGCGAGACTCGAACGCTTGGAAGTGTTGGCCTGACTTGTGCGTCGGGTTCCAGCAGCTGAGAATGATGCCGCGCGGTCGGTGGAAAGACGTCCGCGGGGAAAGAAGGAGGCCGCAGAGAAGCGATTGAGAGTATTGGTCATGGTTGATGCACTGCTTGTCAAAGATGGGACATCTTCGATCGATGCATAGGGGTTTTCAGCCGATGGAAGGTGATGGTACGAGTGACTTGAGAAGTTGCGATCATTCATTGAGGACGCAGCAATTGATCGTGGAGCATCAGGCGAGGGGAAAGACGAATCGGAAGGTGAAACTCCGGGGTGAAGCGCAAATGGTGGAATGCTAGGAAGGAGTTCAACAGGCGACGTGGATGGGCGTTTGTCGATAGCGAGGAACCGAGGAGAGACATCAGGGCTTGGGGGGCCCATCGATTTATGACTGGGATCCTCCGCCCTTAGGATCTCCACGGGGCTCCGAGGCTTGCTCATAAAAGGGTTACTGGCCGTCTGAACTTGCTCGGCTGCCGGCTTTTCCTCTGACTGTTCCATTGAGGCAGGTCTGTCGCCTTGTTGGATGCCTAGACCTGCATTCTGGGAGGAGACGCTTTTAGATGGAGCTCGGGTGGTATTGCCTGTGTCCGCAGTGTCGTTGCTCTGGACGGACTTTCGGTCTTCTTCTGAGGATGAAAATGCTGCACTGTCAATCGAGGGGAAATCGAAACGAGGACGTTCAATCCTGGGCGACTGAGACCGTGGTGACTGGCTTGCAGCCAAGAAAGCATCTTCTTCCTCCTCGTCAAACACATCGGGGGTTTCGACCGCAGATGTTGGGCCCAGACGATAAGGGGCGAGAGCAGCGCGGTCAAAAGGTTGCATGACAGGGGCGCTTTCGGTTCGCCGGTGGTATCGCATCTCAGGGCCAACAAATTCACCCCGTCTTCCACCGCTGTACATCCGTTGGGTGGCAACTGAGAAGTTGTTATTGGGCGCGCCTTGTGCCACTGGTCGCATGTCCGGGGTATTAAACGGACCGAGTGCAGCATCGAGATCAATGATAGGGCTGCTCAGCATGTTATCAGGAGGTCCTACATCCTGCTCATAGAAGCTCCTTGGTTTCCACGAGGTTTCCAGAGTGGGCGCAGGCAGAGACTGATCGTTCGGGCAACTGTTTGTGACGGGCTCCAAGGCGGACGGCGGCATGGTTGGATTAGTGGGAGTGCGAATGACGACAACATCGTCGTTGTCGAAATCGACATCTAAAGCTGATCCGGCTTCTGAGTTGGTCCGAGTCAAAGCAGGAGGACGAGGCGCAGCGGGACGAGGTTTGGTAACCTGTTCCTCTGATTCGGGTTTGGCATGGCGCTTGCTCTTGCCCTTGCTCTTAGTTCGCGTTAGAATGTGGCCAGCCCAGGAGCGCACACGCTTCTGCTTCTTCTTTTTCGACTTGGTTTCAGACTTTTTCGAAGGTGAGTCCTCGATTGTTTCATCCCCAGACGACTCAGAGCCATCATCCGAAAAGGAAGGACGGGAGTGGTCTGTTGAATTGCTATCATCGGGGGAGAGGGTCGAGTCGAGGTGGGGTGTTGATTTGCTCTTTCGGGCACGCGAATGGCCCGCGGCGGAATGCGAACGCTTAATAGAGGAAGCGCCGGACTCCTGCATTTCCATGAAATTCATAACCAAAGATGCATCGGCAGTTTTCGGCCGCGGCTTAGGCTTGTGATCGGACCTCGGGGTAACTTGGTCTGGGATTGGCAGCGCCTCTGGGAGGGGAGCCTTAATCGTAGTCGCACTGTCTGTTGTTCCATGTGAGAATGTGGAGACCGGCCTTGTAGCCTGTGGGTGCTGGTTATGCGAATCGATTTCGGCTTGGATAGCGGCCGGAATGGGAGGAACGGGCGGGACGGGTGGAAATTGAGGAGACGCAGGAGGGGTTGGTCGACCGAGACTAATTCCAGACTGAGAGACCGGTCGCGCAGGAAGATCCGAGGTAGACTTGTGGTTAGGGTCGGCAGGTGTACACGGCGCACTTCCAGCCCCGGAGTTTGGGCCCAGGGCTTTGGTGATTGCGTTCAAATCGACTCCGGATATGGCAGCCGAGCGGCGATGGGCATGGCCTCGTCGTCCAGGAGGCCTACCCACACCCGGTCCTGGTGGTGGAAGTGATTGTGGTGTGATTGAAGAGTCCTCCCGCTTCTCACCTGACCCGGCTGATTCTGGCGTCACCAGCTGGTCGGTCCCGACAAATTCGCTTGTTCGTCGACGATGTCCACCGGCGCGATGGTTTGACAAGGACGGTGCCGATAGATGAGACGACTGGGGTTGTTCAGAGCCAGGATTGAACGAGAATGCGGGCAATGCGGCCCGCTCCCGATGCTCAGGGGTCTCCGATTTGGTATTGGGGGCCTCAGGATCACGGGCTGGAAAGACAAATGGAGGATTAGGCAATGGTGAATGCATGCTTTTGTGACGAGAATGGTTGCTGGATTGAGCGCTGAACTGCGGCGGGAATCCCGGCTGGGACGGAGGCAGCGAGATCGAGGCCATTTCGGCGAAGCAGAAGGGAAAAAAAGAAAGAAGAAAAAAAGAAGCACAGGCTAAAGAAATCTAGCAGTGTGAGCACGAAGCCCGGTCGGTGAGATCCAGATGGAACAGACCTCCAGACCGTCGACCTCCAACGGTTGGAAAGCCTAAAAATCTGGAGGTCAAGTTTAAACACCTTGGAAGGTCATTGAATCTTCCGCACCAGGCAGAGATGAACACAGTAAACCAAAGCGACCACCGTAATCCAGAAGTCTGAAAAGGAATGGACGGCCAGGACGAGGCCAAAGAGAAGAAAAAAAGGTTAAAGAGGATAAGAAAGAGAGAGGGAGAGAGAGAGAGAGAGTGAGAAGAGGAGAATCCCCTCTCGATTTGTTGTTCGAAGATTACCGTACGCGGGTAATACCCGCAGCCCAATCAGCCAAAGGGACAATTACCGTTTTTTGCCTGCATCTATATTCCCTCCAAGGGCAAATTGTGTACGAGTTATCACCTTCTATGAGACGATCTAGGGTGCTTTGTTCCTACAGGGAGTTTCCCTTTGTCTCCTCTGAAGAAGTTATTAATACCCGCCAGGAACATTCCAGCCTGTCAAACAATAAACCCTAAAATGGGTCTTTTGGGCCTTCGTTTCTAATTATCCCGAGGAATGCTACAAGTGCCGCTGACAGTAGCCTCAAGTCTACTCGTCTCCATCTACTCCGTCGACAGAGCAAAATTGCAGATATAGAACGTCATGACTTTGATTGCCACCTTACAGTACAAGGTTCATGGCCGCCTCCACTTAATCCTGGGGTCCTGAAGGCACCAATGAACAGGGCGGCCCATCCGGAGAAAAAAGCGGGCATCCCCTGTGCCAATCACCTGGTCCAAATGACCATCCAAATCTCGCTTGACCCGGTGGGTCGAGACGCCACGCTGGGGGCGCAAGTCAAGGGGATTGCTCTCCCGAGGCCTTTTGTACCGACCCCCCGGGTCCAGACCGCAAGGAACCAAATACCTGGCGAACTATATTGACCTGCCTATATACACCGGGATGGGTGTACAAGAAAGGGTATACGGTTGGTAGGGCTGCGCAGGCAACAATCTAAAGGGAAATTAATCAAAGACGTATCCGTACTTAGAGGCCCCCATTTTCCTTGGCCTGCGGAGTCAGATCGGATATAAATAGTGGCGACGTATCTTAGCGCCATTTGACAGGGGTTCAAAAGTCCCCTCGCAAAGACAAACCGGACCTCCTGGCGTATTCGGTGAGACATTCAACCCTCCCCTGGCGCCCGAGGAAAGGGCCACTTTTCTTTGTTTGATCCAGTCACAATGGCGGGTCGGACGGGGGTTAGAGGGACAATTTGATGTCGTGGGGCTGATCGCCTTGAAAGCAATTGGGGCGGCAACGGCAGATCCTGACATTGGATCTGGGAATGGCCTGCATATGCAGTTTAAAAGTCGACCTATCGCTTCGTTCTCGCCGGCCCCAAGCTTTTGAGTTCAACTTCGTGTCTGTACTCCGTACTGCGTACGGTACCCCGTACGGTGACAAATATGCACTGCACCTCTTTGCCTCAATTCTCCGTCAAAGCATGGAAATGATGTGCATCGCAAATTAATTTGCGCGGTGGATCTGATTCGTGGGCATCACGCATAATGCGATCGCCACCGTAGCTAAAGCAAGAGGTACAATACGAGTAATGTCCGTAGTACGTTATATACTCGTACCTACGCCTCTAGTCGCTTGCTCGGACCACTAGGCAAAAACTCATGCAGTTCGTACGGAGATATTACCGCAAATGCTAAGACTTTCCCCCAGAACTCAAGACGCCACACGGCTTCGTGTAGGCGTACAAAGTGGAACCCTGAATCGATTTATTTCTTCACTGGAAACCTGATCGGAGAACAATGTCCAAAATACGAGTACGAGTATCCCAAACAAAATCCAAGCGGACATATCCGCAACCAAAAATCAGCTTCAAATGGCACAACCCAAGTGAATTGGTTTTTTTTTTTAAAAAAAAATTGAATTTCCCCCAATGAGGAAGTTGCGATAGTAAACCTTGTCGCGAACCACGAACCGCGATCCGGGGCAGCACGAACCGACCCATCCGAACTCTAACCGTTACTCATGTATAAACAGAGAGAACTTGGCATATTCCTTGACTCGTGAGTTGCGCTCTATAATTTATGTGTAGCACAAGTACTTAAGTATTATACCGTCAAGCGCAATAGGGAATGCAAATCCCGTTCTTAATTGTTTAAGTGGGGGCGGAGGAGGCTGCCTAGTCTAGGGGTGAGAAGAGAGAAGAACCATGCAGACTTGGCAGTTGAGATGGAAGAGTGAAGTGGTGAGAACCTTGGAAAATGAACTGGCTGTACAAGAAATCAAACAGGACATGACAATATGGAAACGCTCGAACGAAACTCAAATGCTGTAAATGGGCTATCAATGTGAGCCCCAGAAACGCCATCTATAGGTCGCTGTCAGACTCGACCTCATCGTTCTCGAGGTTCTTCTTTCGCTCCTCATTTAGCTCCCTGTAGGTGCTAAAGCTCAGCATGAAAAATGCCACCATGATCAAGATGCCTCCGATGATAGATGCCATAGAGAGCGGCTCGCCGGTGCGGAACCAGTCCACGAGAGCGACGAGGAAAATGGTGAGGAGGGCGGCTACAGATGAAAGGACGGGTGATGTAAGGGAAATAAGGACGAGGAAGGAGCCGGAAAATGCTGCCACGATGTTAGCTTGTAGTCGGTATAGGGTGATTTTCGATACTTACTAGCATTGGATGCAACGGATATGATCAGCATCCATCCCGCCTCGCCCGTCGGCCATTCGAAAGTCTCCCATCCCAACCAATGCAATACTGGGATTGGAATCCACAACACCAACAAGGTGAAACATCCGATCAGGCTGCCGAAAGTGTTGGCGAATATCGTGCCACGACCAGGACTGGTGCCTTCTGGAGGACATGCAAAGCGTTTATAGAGCACTTCGTACAGTCCATAGAGGATGCTCCCAATGCCAATAACGATGTTTCCTAGCAGTCTATTCTGCGCACTGTTATCCGACGTGCTTTCCCCATCTGATGCTTTCTTCTGCGGTCGATCTCCATAGGCAACCACCATCACACCAATCGTAGCCACAGCTACAGAGAACACCTTATCGAAACGGAGCTTCTCATTCAGCAGTGGAATAGAAAATGCATACGCGAAAAAGGCAGAGCAATTGTAGATCGCCGTGAGGTCACTGGCCGTAGTCATGTTAACAGCTACGTACCATGATCCTCCCGCAATGGTGAGAGCCGTGGTCACGAAAGCTGTTGTTTTGATCATGTAGCGGACAGGCGAACGATTCGACGAGCGGGTACTCAGGTGCACTTCTTGAGATGCCACCATTTGCGCAGTGGTCCGAACAAGCGAGACATGACGACGCCAAAAAGCATCCCACGAAATCCCGCGCTTCTGTATCCGGAGGATCCCCAGTTGAACCACCCAAAGAAGGGACCATGAGCCGTGTGTCATGTAACTGCGTGGGCAAATACTGGTAAGCGCTTACATCCTGGCTAGCATTTTGTTTCGCGTGGGGCTTGTTGCGAGGGCTCATGTTTTGCGTCCGAACTTACAGCATGCAATACGGTTTCTTCCACCCCAAGTCATTTTGGATATACGATGCCGTCTCCGTTTGTACCACGAAGCTGACCAGGCTTAGAAGGAGAAATCCCGATGCAACCATGTACTTTTTCTTGGTTGCCTGGGCGGCATCAAGCTCCGGGCTTTTACTCCGAAAGGTCGGCCGCCTTGTATGATGTAGCATAGGGCGAGCTTCTGTGTCGGCATGGCCAAAGCTGGATCGGGACCGTCGATGGTGGTCATCTTTGAGGAGGGGTTGTTGCGAACGGCCATCCGTTGGGCGGTGCAGTGGGGGGCGACTGACAGCCATGTCGTCTTCCGAGTCTGGGTATTCGTGGACCACGTCCGGGGTCGAATTCACCCGCGGCTCTGCAAGTTCAACGCTATCGGAAGCCACAACGTCGTTGGTGAGAGAGGGTGCTAATGGCCTTGACTACCTCGACATGAACTCTGTCAGGGGTGTTCGTGTCCGATCTACTGCCTTTGTGGGCTAGAGTGGTCAAGAAGGTGAAAGAGACACTGTTCCGGTGCCAGTCATCCAGCTGATATGGTAACAATTGAACCTTTTGAAAAGAGAACCATCAAGCCAGTTTCCACGTGTCCAATCTAGGTTGTGTCACACCGTTGATGTGATATGAAGTGCGATTCGGAAGTGGTTCCGGGGATGAAATCACGGAATTGATAGAGGGCGCAATATGACCTGGTGATTCCAGCCGAGCAGCAGAAGGGGTGGAAATATTCGGAAGGAATCAGGTAAAACACATTCGGAACTCTTCGCAAATGACCGTCTTCAGTTGGCGTCACAGGGGTCCCGCTTTTTGACAGCACGTGATATGGGGCAGACGCGATACTGAATTAGGGTTAGCGCGGCGCCCTATGTCATTGGGGAGGCGCTCAGACTGTAGGGCCCCCAACGATGACGAGGCAATAAACCACAGGGCCCTTGGCAATGCTCTTAATATAGATCATGAGACTGGGCATCGTGGTCTCAGGCCACGCCTGTCTACCTAGGCGATATGCCTATGCAGGGACATATAACCCCGAACACTGACTGCATCAGGCCTACGACTGAGCCCCACACTAGACGCTGAGAGAACACCCCCGGGTTGCGATGGATAGCTGCAAAGTACGACACATAATATGTCCAACTATTCCTACTTAATTCCTATCCGATAAGAATATGTCCAAGTCTCTACCACCAGCCAAACTTGCAGCCATATAAAGCGCGGGATTTACTCCTTTGGTCCAAATACAGCCTTCTGGGTGTCATAAGTATACTTCAGATCCAAGTGCCAATAGTTGGGAGAGTTAGACTTAGCAACCAGCCAAGCTTGATCAAGCGCCTTCACAACCTCCTCGGGGAGAGGTCCCTTTTGAAGATCAGCAAGGTTGGTCTCAAGCTGACCGAAGCTGCTAACTCCGACCAGTACTCCATCACGACCACCATTGTCCATTCGCAGGGCTGAATGGTGGTGGACCCAGCGCAAGGCTGTCTCCACTAGAGTCAGACCATGTTTCTGGGTGACTGGCTCGATGATGCTCAGAGCTTCGAAGGTTGCATCCCTGAAATAACGCTTCCGGTAGTTGGGACCGGTGGAGGCGGCGTCACTGTATCTGCCTTCTGTGGGAAGATCTTCCAGCTTATATTTGCCAGAGAAGAGACCACCAGCAAGGGGGTTGTAGATGACAATGTCAAGACCGTACCGTTGACAGGCGGGAATAAGTTCGGTCTCAATATTGCGTGCTAAATGTGGTAGACTGCGTCAGCTGATGGGCTACATTGTGTGACAAAGGTGGGAAACAAGGACAGCTGTATGACTTACTTATAGCGTTATACATAGCTTGGAAGATAGTGGGACGAACCCATCCTCTTTCAGCACAGAGAATACAAATCTCCGCTACCTCAAAGGAGGTAAAGTTGCTGAGACCAAGCTGTACAAATTTGCCTTCCTTGTGCAATTGGTTGACGGCTTCTAGGGTTTCAGCAAATGGGGTCGCCCGGTCTGCCGCATGAAGATAGAAGATATCGACCATGTCAGTTTGGAGTTCTTTCAGCGATTGCTCCAGATTCTTGCGAAGAACATCCGGTTTGTGGTCACCGGCTTGTTGAGGGTACCATTTTGTGGCAATCGTAAGGCCACGCGACTTCCAGTTTGCCTGTGCGGTGAATGCTTCCTGCTGTCCACCAACATAAATTCGGGCAGTGTCAAGCTCATTGAATCCCTGTTGTTGGAAGTAATCAAGGCATTTGTTGTATTCATCGAGTGAAGTGATCCGGGCACCTTTGGACTCATTGGGGCCAAAGGTCATCGCCCCAAGAATCACTCTCGGCTGTGGGTTCAGTGCGACAAGCGGCATGATGGAATAATTGGCTATGAATAATTTGGCTATGGATCGACGTACCAGGGGTGTTGCTGCAAGTGAGAGAGGTGCGCGGGGAGATGGCGGGGGCGGCGGAGGATCCCGATAACTGATAACGACCGAGGTCACTGACTTCCAGTGCACTTGCTCCTCTTTCCTAGTACAGAATATCTTGTCTAGGCAGATTTTCGCTTCGATTTCTTGACTCAAGATGAATCCCTCTCTCGAACATCGATACAATGAAGATCAGATCCTACAGCTTGATCCGAGGAAAGGCGAACGAGCATACAGCATCTTGATCATCAACCCCAATACCTCGACACATATGACCGACGCTCTCAAACCTATCCTGGCCAGCCTGAACTTCCAAGATGTTCATATAGAGTATTTCACTGCGCCAAATCAACCTGTGGAAGTTGATGGGGTCGAGGTCCAGCCAATTGACAGCATCAACAATGCTGCTGAATCCTGCAAGTCGGCATTAAACTGCTGGTCTATTCGAAGCCTGATTGGATACTACGATGCATTTTTAGTCGCATGTTACTCAGCCCATCCATTCGTGGGCAAGCTCAGGGAAGACATAAAGTTCTTCGAAGAGGAATCCCAACCACCACGAAACAAATATGTCACCGGAATCTTCGAAGCCTCCATCACCGCCGCACTATCCCTCGTCAGTGGATTCACACTAGAAAATCCAATCGAACCAGAAGGAAAGCTCCACAAGCACCAAGAGAAGGGCAGTTTCGGGATTGTGACCACGGGATCTGCGTGGAAGGAAGAGCTCACCAACGGAGTCCAAGGTGCACTGGGATACAATGATGAAGATGGAGAGTCTTCGCACTTTGCAGGCGTTGAGACCACCGGATTGACGGCAATCGAGCTTCACACGACTGAGCCAGAGGAGGTGCGACGGAGAATCATCGAAGCCACCTGCAGCTTGCTTCGCAACTCCAGGACTCGTGTTAGGGTGGTCTGCCTGGGTTGTGCAGGAATGGCAGGCATGGAAGAGGCGGTCCGCGAAGGCTGCGTTCAGGAGTATGGAGACCGCGAAGGGCGCCGTGTCCGAATTGTGGACGGAGTCGTTGCAGGTGCTGGAAACCTCATCACAGCTTTGAAGGCAGGATTTTGAATATAGATTACCAGGAGGAATGCATCGATAACATCGACCAGGCAAACTGTAAAGCAGATCAAATTTCAACTGTAGCTAGAAGAAAACCAAGACCCATTTGATTTGAGATTCAATCCAAGCTCAGTGCGAAGAAATTGGGTTGCTGATGTAGGGCCGCGGAGGACTGCCTAAGGCCGCAACGTCGGCCAAAAAGTTCCCCGCGTCCGCGCGATACGCGTTAACGGGCACCAACAACTCGACGGCTTCCACGAAAGAAAGATGCCCAGGTTCGTCAGCTCTCTACATGGATGCCCTCTAAAAGTCTCCATGATCTTCTTGAAAAGCGCCACTGATATTGACCTTACTTCAGAGAAATCATCACGATCCAAGCCGGCCAGTGCGGTAACAACGGTATGTGGTCCGCCTGCGCAAGCCTTCCCAGCAACCCCTTGACCCTACATCGTCGATCGAAGCTCGGAGAGCTGCTTTGAACAGCGCTAATACCCGCGATATTTAGTCGGCAGTCAGTTTTGGCAGCAACTGTGCCAGGAACATGGTATCAGCGCAGATGGAAACTTAGAGGAGCATGCGACTGAGGGCGCGGCCGGTGATCGCAAAGATGTTTTCTTCTATCAGGTTGGTTTATGCGAATATGGGAGACAAATACCAGTCGACCATTCAGCGAGGTCTGTGGCTAACGTCTTGTACAGAGTGACGACACCAGATATATCCCCCGAGCGATTCTACTTGACTTGGAGCCCAGAGTCGGTCTAGCCTAATTGATACGATCGATGCACCACGATGGCTAACGCAAGATCACCCAGGTTCTCAATGGAATCCAAACCGGCCCATACAAAAACATTTACAACCCCGAGAACTTCTTCGTCGGACAGCAAGGTATTGGAGCTGGTAACAATTGGGGTACTGGATATGCCGCTGGAGAAGGCGTGCAAGAAGAGATATTCGATATGATCGACCGAGAAGCAGACGGAAGTGACTCACTAGAGGGATTTATGCTTCTACATTCAATCGCCGGTGGTACGGGTTCTGGACTGGGCAGTTTCATACTGGAGCGCATGAACGACCGGTTCCCGAAGAAGCTCATCCAAACATACTCCGTCTTCCCTGACACGCAATCCGATGTCGTCGTCAACCCCTATAACAGTTTACTCGCCATGCGAAGATTGACCCAGGATGCCGATTCTGTAGTGGTCCTGGACAATGGTGCTCTATCACGCATTGTCGCGGACCGGCTTCACGTCCAAGAACCATCATTCCACCAGACCAACCAACTCGTGTCAACGGTCATGTCTGCATCTACCACCACTTTACGATACCCCGGATACATGCACAACGACCTCGCTGGCATCATCGCCTCACTCATCCCCACCCCGCGCAGTCATTTCCTCCTCACCTCTTACACGCCATTCACAGGTGCCAATATCGAACAAGCCCGGACAGTGCGCAAGACCACCGTCCTGGATGTGATGCGTCGCCTGCTGCAACCCAAGAACCGCATGGTTTCTGTGAATCCCAGCAAATCCAGTTGCTACATCAGTATTCTCAACATTATCCAAGGCGAGGCTGACCCGACCGACGTGCATAAGTCCTTGCTGCGCATTCGGGAGCGCCGACTTGCATCTTTCATTCCCTGGGGCCCGGCCAGTATTCAAGTTGCGCTTACCAAAAAGTCCCCTTACATTGAAGAAACCGGCCACCGGGTCAGCGGTCTCATGTTGGCCAATCACACCTCGGTTGCGACGCTCTTCAAGCGCATTGTCCAGCACTATGACAAGCTCCGCAAGCGCAATGCGTTCTTGGAACAATACAAAAAGGAAGCACCCTTTGCCGATGGATTAGGTGAATTTGACGAAGCACGAGCAGTGGTGATGGATCTGATCGGCGAGTATGAGGCAGCTGAAAAGGAAAATTACCTAGACCCGGATGCAGGGAAGGCAAACGAGCTCGGAGTATGATTTCAGATGTAAGATTCCACATTGCAAAGTGGTTTCCTTTTTTTTTTTTTTTCCTTTTCTTTGCTCTTTTTTTTAACCTTTTTGCTTTTTCCTTTTGTGCGGGAAAGGGGGTTTCAGGCGCATCGGTCTGCGCCGGCGTTCTCATTTTCGGTTCTCCGCCTCCAAACCCTTAAACCAAAGAATATATGAAAATATGAAACCAATCCACCTTATTTAAAATCGATTGACCACGTAGCCCGTATGAAGGGGGTCAACGTGGACAATTGCAAGCTGTACCGGGCTAAGATCTAGTTCTCTGCAGCTGTTCGTAAGAGGGGATCCGAGCATGGAATTGGGTAGCAGGATCAACCCTTTAGCGTTGAGGCCTGAGTCTGGAGGAGTAGAGTATATGTACGGAGGACAAGGCAATGAGAACTGGTATGGCTGTATGGGGTGCTTTTACCGATGTAATAGCTCCACGCGGATCATCCGTCGTGCGCTAGATAGTCTTGGCAGGCGACTGGTCGTATCTTCGCAGAGCTTTGTTCTCTCCAACTGAGTGGCACAATTCAGAAATTTATCCGTAACTCTATGCCGATTCTGAGGAGTACCGCGGTGGACAAAGTCCGGATGAACCTGTTGCCACTCTTATAACCGCGATTACCGGTGGCAAAACGGGTGTTCCTAAGCCGTTGAAGGCAAACCTGGACTCTCACGTGGAACAGGGGGTTTGAAAATTCCAGAGACCGAGAGAGGGAGTCACTAGGTCGAAGTAGACGTGATCAGGGGGTCTATAGTATGATAATTGCAGAGAATAGCCCCATGGGACGAAACTGTAGGGAGTAAGCGGACACTAAATAGAGTGCACCAATGACTAAATGGCAAGTAAATCCACTAAATGACTGGAAAAGGCATGATACAATTGGAATTTCCACTTAAAATCCATTAATTCCATTAATTCCATTTAATCTCATGAATCTAACGAATAATCCCCCTTCAAACGTATCCAAGGGCTGTAAAGGAGACAAGAAGGGCTAGCCATCGAACCTTCTGGGACCTCCACTATTATCCACCTGGACACCTCTACTTCCGTCACTGTCGCCTCACCTGAGTCAGCCCGTTTTCCTGGTTCATTAGGAAGTTTCTCTTTCTTTGGCTTTCTCCCGCGTCTTCCGACTATATATAGGCTTCGACCCGGCTCTTCTCCCCTTTCTCACTACCCATACTTGCTCGACTTTGGACCTACACTTGGCGCTCCGTACTACATCACCTCATTCCCCAACGTTACCCCAATTCTGGTATCGGTTTCCGCCCATCTCCTCCCCAACCCCCCCCCCATCTCCGCACTTGGGCGCTTATCCTCCCGGAACCTTCTTCAACACAATGCCTCCCCGCAAGCCTCGATGCAACTTCAAGGAGTGCAAGGAAGCCGCTCAGCGCATCGTCGGTGATTGCAGCTTCTGTGCCGGCCACTTCTGTTCCAAGCACCGCATGCTGGAAGCCCACTCCTGCACCGGCCTGGAGGATTGCAAGAAGGAGTCACATGCTCGCAATGCCGATAAGCTGAACAGTGAGCGCACCGTCGTCGTCAAGGGCGTATAAGAACACATCGTTCCACAGTGACATCAGTCATCAATGTCGCTGCCTCACCCCATCCCCAATTCTTATGGGTGATAAGGGGGCGTGCTCGCCCCATTTCCGACCCTCGGCTCGCAGCCGCCCGTCCGGCTTTGATTTCTTGCGCATCATGGGTTTAGCGTGGTGTTTTCGTCTTTTTCCTTGTGGTTGAAGCTTGTCTTTTCCCCCTTTGATCTATATTCAGATCTATTCACGGCTACGGCCACTGTCCTGTTTCTCTCTGTTTTCTGGATTCATTTGCATGGCGTTGTGTCTGGTTCATTTTTCTCTCCTATCTTCTCTATCTTCGCATCTTTTGGATTCTCTTTTCGGGACTGTTAATAGAGCTCCTATCGTTCTAGCCGTGAATTATATTTGTCCGGGTTTCCGTGACTTCAACCCATCGCTTATATTTGTCCGGGTTTCCGTGACTTCAACCCATCGCAGATCTACAATTTACCTTATTTGTAGGTGGAACCGGTTAAAGTCGGTGGTAGAAGATAACGTCTCCACACTGGAATAAATAGGTTGGAATACAATTACAGAGTACATCACAGCTGTAGGGATATCACACTGGTGCCGCCCGACAAATATAGCGCGATCAACCGGGTCCGATCTTCGGCCTGCGAAACGATTAGCACATCGTTCCAAATTTAACAGTCGAAAAACATACATGTCGTGATGTTCACTCAATCGACTGAGATACTTGTTCAAATCCTCGACACGCTCCTTATGAGTCTTGACGCCATCTCGTTGAAGTCGTTCATGTAACTACGCCCAATCAGTCTCGGCCCAATGTGACATCGGAAAAGAAGGAAGAAAAAAAAAAAACCAATACATACCCGCTTGCGCCGAATCTCTTCATATTTCTTCTCCGTCTCCGTCTTCCCAGGGGCATCCTGCTCTCTGCCCTCCTCAGACCTCACGGTCTCATCTTTGTCGCTTTTCTCCAGCCCAGTCTCAGTATTTTTGGTGTTTCCCTCAGGACTTCCGGCCTTTTCTTCCTTCTTTTTTGAACTCTTCTTCTTCTTCTTCTCGATTCGTCCTCCACTAACTTTGCTCCCCTTCAGCTTGAGTTTACCGCCACCGATGGAATATTCGTCACCCGCCATGGTGGGCCTGGTAAGTGGTTAGGTGACGCAATGCGAAATCGTGATTTTTTTTTCCCGCTGGCGGTGTGGCGTGGCGCCCGTGAATGATGTGCGCGTGCGGAGTAAGAGGGGGAAGGCCGGTACGGTGTCCGAGTATTGCGTATGGAACGAAGTGGGCCTTGAGGATTTGCGTCTAAATAGCGCGGTAATTGTGGTAATGCCGTGCTTTGGATCAGCGTGTCTGTGTCCAGAGTGTTCCGTTCTTGAAAGAGTGTGAGTTGGAGGTGCAGATAGAGGTTGGGGGTTGGACCAATCAGAGGCGGTGGGCTGGATTATCTTGCAGATCTATATCGCGAATCTGGGACTATCTGGAAGTTACGGAGTTCACGGAGTACAAAAGATGGAATATTTTCTTTGATATTTTTACTGGGCTATCATTCAGGGTCATTAAATTCCGTGGACATGTCTCAAAATGTTGTCGTCGGCGGGTATTCCCTTAGTCAAAGGGGATTGGGCGTAAGTTCGATCCACCCATGCGCTTACGCATTTCCGCGCCCGCGGCCACGGTACTGGGTACCTTGATACCACAGCAATCGCCAAACCAATCCGCAGTGTCGTGAGGGTGGTCATGGCCAGCATGGTCATGTCCATCGTGCTCACCAACCTCGCCTTCTGATGGATCACTCATGCCCTCGGCAGCAGACAAGAGGCTTCCGAACAAGAAGTGCTGCATGATAGGAAGCTTACCCAGCACCTCCTTGACAAACATCTTCTTCATACCACTTTCAACCTTGGTCCAATTTTTGGAGCCAGAAATGTCATCCAACATGGGGCTGTGCCAGCGCAGACCCTTGACCGTCTTAACACTGTCCACCCAGCGGACCTGGTCTAGATAGAGATAATTATCTCCCTCCTCATCCAGAGTCGCCGTGTTGTGAATTCCCAGAGGTGTAATATAAGGGTGGGCCACGAGTTGACTAGCGCCAAACAAGAACGGTAGGAAATGGTAATCGTCCAGGCCCCAGACACCATGTGATCCAGCTGGCTCGAGGTAGTATGCCGACTGGATCTCACGCATCAGATGCATGTATTCGATGTAAACCTTGACCACCACTGCGGGGAAATCCGACTTCGGGAGGAAGCCAAGCTGATACAGACATAGCAGCCACATCATAAAGTTAAGCTCGTGTCCGGAGCCATAATCAATACGCTCTTGGGATCCTAGGCAGTTAATCAGATATGTTGAAACTTCCTCTGTTGCCGCGCCGTCTTTGAGCCCCAGGATATTGGTGTGCCATGATGCGCTCTGGCTTTTGACATCGTCGCAGAGCTGACGGAAGGCGGGATTGCCGAAACGTGAGCCACCTTGATCAATCGGAGGATTTTTAGACAAGAGTGCCCGGATCTGGTTCACGACCGAAAGGACCTTGGTGATGGACTCGGATTCGGACTGTTTCTGGAGATCGGTGACCGACTGGCCTCGCACGGAGTCAGATAGCCCAAAGACGAATGCGAGAACGAGCTTATAGCTCGGAGAAGAGAGAAAGAGTTCGTGGTCTTTATGTGACAGAATTCGGCGGGCTGGTTTTCGGTATGTGTGGGCCGAAAGATCTGGCGGCGAAGGTAGGGGGGGAGTGAGTGGTGTCGGGTCTCGGGAGTTGGTCTGAGGTCTGCGATTGTTTGATCGTAATTCGGACAGCTTTTTAGAAAGGTCGACCTTGCCGGCCGGTTGGGACGGTGTAGAGGTCTGTGACGCCATTTTTGGAGGTTAGGTGAGGGGGTTGAAAACCATCTGTCCGCGGACGATCATAACACTCCCGCACAGGCCTGACCGCCTGCCGTAAACAGACAAGAGCCAATATCTCCCAGGACACCTTGTTCGGAGGATAAAACAAAAGTCTGAGATTCTTGACATAAAATGTGCCAGACATAGATTGTAACACATCACTAGCCTTTTATTCTAGCCATCTTCCTCTGTATACAGTGGCTATGTTGTCGGACATCTCTATACATGCGGCTTGAACCCAAGTGGGTTAGAGTGGAGAGTGATCTTCCCCAGATCAGAGTCAGGTGACTCTGGATCGTCGCTTTATTCCACGCCTTTGCGCGAGGTCACATTGTGTACCACATGATGGGCAACACCCCGAGCTGAACCATATCAGATTATGCGAGAGGGACAGTCAACTACCAGACACACTTCTCACCTTTTCCTCCCCGCGAGCATTGTATATCCGACTGCTTTGGACTCTTGATCAAGAACCTCAGGGTGCTCCCTCCCTGCATAAACTCGGTGCCTTTTTTTGGGAGTTCGATTGGACGATAAGCTTCCGCAAGTGATCAGAGGACGAGCACGCCATAATGAACACATTCGACTCATCGGCGGCCCCTCCGACGGGCCCCAGCAGCTCTGCAGGAATGCAAAACACACGGTCACACACCTCGAGTGCAGAATCCTCCATGTCGTCGTCCCTCGGTAGCAGCCGCTCCCACGCGAGCTCATCCCCCCGACACCGTGCGTCAAACACAAACTCACTTCCAACCTCATCCCAAACCGAATCCACGCCGATCAACACACCCGACCCCACCAGGCGCAACTACCAAACAACAGAACCATCAGCGAGCTCCCAGCTGAAAACCTCGCCGCACAATGCACCGCCTATACCTGCAAACCAACCCAGTAATCCAGAATCACCCACCGAACCCCGACAGTCTTGGTATGGCCACCTCGCAGACCGATACGGCAGCCTCGAGCTAGAAAACAAAGGAAGTGTTGCACGCGACCATCTCGCACTAGGTATGGCACGCGCACGTGGCAGAACAGCACAACCTAATGCAGCGAATCTACAGAGCGAACCTTCCTAGCATGGATGCGAACCTCGTTGGCCTTCGCCTCCATCGGAATCGCAGTCACGCAACTCTTTCGTCTGAACAGTGCCTCCTCGGACACCCGGTCAAACAGCTTCGACCAATCCTATAGCCCACACCCGGGAATTCTCCCACCGGGTCTACATACAGGCTACGACTCAGCGGCATTTCATACATCCTCTGCGTCATCGCGTCTTCGTAGCGTGGGAAAACCTCTCGGTTCGACGTTTATTGGAGTCTCAATTCTCATTCTGATAGTTGGCTTCCATCGTTACTTTGAGAGCCAGTATTGGATCATTCGTGGCAAGTTCCCTGCTAGTCGTGGGAGTGTGGCGCTCACGGCATTTGTGGCTGCCGCTCTTATTATTGCTGCCCTCGCAGTTATTCTGGCGGTTTCACCGGGTGCTGTCGAGGGTTAGGTCTGCATTTGGCCTTTTGTTTTTTTGGTAATGCTAACATCCCATATCTGGGTCTCTGCGATTATATCAATTTGTTTCCTTGCGTGCGGCACTGGTATTTTCGGGGTTATTTGGCTTCTGCATATGATATGATACGTTCTTGGCGGTCTGTACATGTAGTTGTTCTTTTGGATGACAAGAGAAAGAGGACATATACTAGGTAGGCAACTACATAAGCATTCACATTGTAGGCATATTTATGAATCACTCCTGAGTTAGACAGTTGAGGAAAGCTGAGTAATTCCATGAGAATGATTCCTTCTTTTCTGTCATGAGAATCCCCTGCGCCAGACCAGTTTACGCGCAATTTAGGGACCATACAAGTGACCAGTGCATTTAGACAATGTTGAGATGGAAGAAAGAAGAGGGGTAAGATGGAAAAAGAGGAAGGCAAAGTGGCTTGCAAGCAATGCGAAGCAATGAATCAAAAGGAAGAATATCAGACCAAGAACCGCCTAGGTATAATCCGTTCACCGCGGGCCGAGCTTGTCCAGAGCACGCGCGCCCTGCTCTGCCCACTCCTGCTTGCTTACCCACATGTCGTCCTTGTCTGCGATCTGGAATTGAAGTCAGTACGTGTTGAACCAATGCTAGATATGGGAGACATACCAAGTTGGCGAGCACAGCACCGCCCAGGAACACCATGTGTCTCCGGCGTGGGGGATCTTCGATGCGGACCTTGAATTTCTATGAGTAGATTAGCGCTGCTCGAATATTTATGCAGGATTGCACGCACGTTCAGACGCTCCGGGTCTCCTCCGAGTACCCTGGTGAGCCAGAGTTGCTTCAATTCCTTCTCCAAACGCGAAGGCAAACCGGGGTACATGCTGCTACCACCGCTAAGAACGATGGCCTTGTATAGACTGGAGCGAACATCGACATCGGCGCCTTGGATACAGTTGAACAACATCTCGGCGATACCGGGTTGGTCGACATCAACCAAGTGCGGCTGGAAGAGACATTCGGGGGCCTCGAAACGCTCGCTGCCGACACGGATGACACGGCCATCGGGCAGGGTGTATGACTCGACTAAGACAGTGGTGTCCTCGGAAAGCTTCTTGTCCAACTCGAGGTCATAGGAGACGTAGGCGAGCTTTTCCTTGATCTGGCGCACGGTCTCGAAATCGGCAGTTCGGTTGAGCGCATAACCACGGCGCAGAAGGAGCGCAATCAGGTTGCGGGTGACGTCGCGACCCGCGACATCCAGTCGGCGAATGTGGTGGTTCAGTACGGTCGATTCGTACACGGGGATAATGTGTGTCACACCGTCACCGGAGTCAACAACCACACCGCTGGACAGACCTATGACACCATAAGCATTGATCCCAACTTCAGCTAGCGTCCCTTCAACATACCCTGGGCATACAGTGCCAGCACCGCCTGGATCGCTACATAAACACCACCAAATCCGTAACCCTCCAGCATCACCTCGGCCATCTGTTCGCGGTTCTTGAGAGGGTTCATCGGGGGCTCCGTGAGGAGGATCTTGCGATCCGTGGGATCAATCTTCATCTTATCGTAAAAGGTGTAGTTCCACAGGTGTTGCATGTCGTCCCACTTCTTAACAATTCCATTTTCCATCTAGAGTAGCACAGGTTAGGCATTGACACGACACGGCTGGTTTGCGGAGAGGGCGGGGTAGAAGGGGCTGAGGACAGAAGCCTCGACAAGACGTACAGGGTAGCTGATCTGAAGCATCGATCGTGCGGCGGCGGCTTCATCTCCACACATGATATCCTTGACCACCACATCACTGCCTTGTTCCTCCGTTCGCAAGATGGGCCGCCCCACTATCGAGGGGAACTGGTGCTCTGGGAAGTTCTAGAGGAAGCATAAGTCAGTGAGGAACATAGAATTGATCCGAGGGACGTACCTGGGCGGCATAGCCGACCTTGAGGAAACCGGTTCCTCCATCGAGGACTGCGGAGTTGTTAGCTTAGCTTGGAGCTGGGACACGGTAGCCTGGGGGAACGGTGTGTACCAATGGGCATTTCCGCCATGGTGGGCGAATTGGGGGTCTGACAGGTATTGCAGTACCGCCAGCGCCTGTGAATCTATTCGGATACTCCCACGACGATCAAAATTGAGCAAGTTCGAGGGAGGGCGGAGGTGTTGGGGATTGTTTGAGGTGGAAGCCAACGACGGACGGAGCATCATAACTTACGTGACCGTACCGTACCTGATCTCCCCCACAGCCACCGCCGTATGACGACTGCGAAGCTCAGCGATGCGCTGGAAATGTCATTGGGTGTATTCAGAGATCATGCAGAGTATCCAAGGGTCTCTTTTCCTGGCAGGACTTGTCTTGAGTATCTGGTTATGCTTGTTTCATGTTTTGCTGGGTAATTGTTTACCAGGCATGTTATTGGTCTTTGCTTCTCTCCTAAATGGACGTGATCATCTAAATCTGATGTAAAAGTACTCAGCAGAGAATAGCCATGCGTATGGGAGATGTAAGGAGTAAACCAGCGAGATACTAGAGTTCTCAGCCTGGGTCTAGGGCCATGCGCTTGTCACCCCGAAATACGGAATAGTACAGGTGGAATCCGACGCAGGGGGGGTTTGAGCCTCTAGAAAACCCGAAAGAATCTATCTGGAATCGGCCCGGTCCAGCTTGAAGAGACTGGGAGATCTGTCGACACTATCAATGGGCACAGGGCGACTTTTCGGCCGACTCCGGATTTATCCTCGGGAAACGTGTTGACTCCTCCCTATCGTCTCGTATCACTTCGCTACATTGTTCTGGGAGAAGGAAGTTGCTTCATTTGCATACATTTCGATAATTCCACAGGGGTTTGCCTTGACTTCTCGACGCGTACATTGATCGCCTTCGAATTACAGCGAGCAATCATGACACAGATCGGCTGGGTAAGTGGCTACATCCATTCCATTGACTCAACTAACAGATTTCACAGTTTGGCCTTGGCTCAATGGGCCAGGCGATGGCCTCTAACCTGCAGCGCCACCTAGCTACAAAGAAAGCTCTGAGCCTTATCTACTCTAACCGCACCATGGCGCGTGGAGCTCCCCTGCAAGCATTGGGAGGAGTTCCCGAGCCCAACTTCGAGAAGCTTGTCTCCAAGTGCGGAATCATTTTCACTATGGTAATCCATCGTGGCTCATGTTTTAAAATGATCGACTAACGCTGCCAGGTCTCAAATGACTCGGTCCTGCAAAGTCTATTGTCCAGCGCCATGAGCCAGTCTCTAAAGGACAAGATCTTCGTCGATTGCTCAACAGTGCACCCCGAAACAGTCAGCTCCGCAGTGGCCCAGCTGAAAAGCAAGAATGCGTCATACGTAGCAGCCCCGGTGTTCGGGGGCAACCCCATTGCCGTTGACGGCAAGCTTGTTTTTGCTATCGGCGGTCCTATGAGTGCGACTGAGGTCGTCAAGCCTCTCATTCAAGACGTCATGGGTCGTCGTGTGATTGAGTGCGGCGAGGACGCTACCAAGTCCTCGCTTCTCAAGATTGCGGGTAACATCGTTACGGTGAATATGATGGAGGCCGTTGGCGAGGCCCAAGTGTTTGCCGAAAAGACGGGGCTTGGAACTGGACCAATGGAAGAGCTTATTGGTGAGGCCTTCGGTCCTGTTGCCGGAGGATATTCCAAGAGGTATGATGCTTTTTTTTTTATTGACATAATTCTGGGATTTCTAATTGTTTGCTTATAGGCTGACTACTGGTGCTTATGCACCGCCTGTGGAATCTCGTCCTGGATTTGGAGTATCTCTTGCCATCAAAGATGCCAGACACGCCATGGCAATGGCTCAGGAACACGGCGTGCAGCTTCCTGGGCTTGAGTTAGCTCGTGCCAACATGGAATCGGCTAGAGAATTTGGCGGGGAGTGCTTGGATAGCAGTTCGATGTATGGTACTTTGCGCCAGAAGGCTGGGCTGGAGTTCTGGAATGAAAGAAGTCGGAAAGAGTAGATTGCGGTCTATAAGATATAGAGCATAATTATTGTGATATAAATTCGACAAATCCAGGTTTGCAACTTGTATATCTATTCAGATTGGCCTGTCAGAAATCCAGACCAAGAATTTACCAGGGCCAAATACGATCATCTTCATGACGTGTGCCCCAAGTTGATTCTGTACTCCACGATGATATATCGAGAGTGAGTAGATGGTCGAAAAACAAAAGATTGGCCCTAGGCAACAAAGAAAAAGTGTTGCATGTGAGAAGGCCGAGCAAAAGCCTACTTGGGCGAGGATAGTAACCAAGAGCCATCCAGGTCAGACATTAGGGATGTATAGATGTCTCAATGGGTTGTTTGCGAGCGGGTCGTCGAGCTTGAACCCTTCGGCTTGATCTCTGCAGTGTCTGCCAAGGAGGGAAAAGTCTCCGCAAAGCAAGTTCCCAGTGACCAGTTTGACAAATTCCTCATATGCCGCTCAAAGACAGGATTGATCACCAATTCTTCCGAGTCACCTGCCGATAGTAGGCAGTCGGTAGCCTCGTAAGGCCAATTGACACTGAGACCACTGGTGAATGGAATAAACCAGTGCTCAAATGGGTAGTTCTGATGGGATGTGATGATTCGATCCCGCATTGCTGGCCAGGGAACATAGTCCATCCAAGCTGGATGCGCCTGTAGTAGCTGAGTCGGACGGGGTGTGAACCATTCAGGAAGCCGCTCGTAGTTCTCTTGTGTTGGGTAAATCTGCCACCGCATGAGGAGAAACATGCAGTAAAGCACAGCGACCTGCTCTGGCAAGGATGAGATATCTGGGAATGTGCGCAAGATATCCGTGAATACTTTCGAGACGGGATGTGAGAACACACTCTTCTCTGGGTTCAATAATGAGGATACGCTCGGATACGGTGGACCGGCGAGTTTCTGTCTGGGGATTCCCTGTGCGGCTTCGCGTTGCCGGCTGTGGAGGAAGTCCAAAAGAATGGTATCCAGCGGACACGTCGCTGCCACATTCTGAATCGGAGTAGCGGATGCAAGCGATCCACGCTCTGCTGATTCGTTCAATGAGCTCGGGTATACTGGCGACTGAGGTTTATGGTGCAGAAAGCGGGAATTCTCTGAGTCGCTGCGGCTGAGGTCGATCTTGGGCACGCTATGAGAAGCATCTAGGAGGAAGTTGAAGCCTAGACGTTCCTCCGCGCCCAGATCTAACCCATGGGTAATATTATGACGTTGGGAATCCAATGCGAGGCGGAAGGAGATTGAAGGGGGACCTCCATTTGCACTGTTGCGGCGGCTCCTGGGTGTTGGTGCGGAGTGTGTGGGAGAGGGTGTGTCGAGGCTGGCCATGGATTCAGCATCTTGTTTCTCGACTGAGAGCTGTGCCGGGTGGGAGGTGAATTGATCTGAGTCGGGGAAGGGGGGAGTATGTGAAGGGAGCGGGGCGGGCGCCGGCATTCGTAGAGCAGGGATTGCATCTGCGCTCGTTAGCTTGTGGCCCCAAGTGTGGTGTGCGCGACTCACCCGGTAGCTCCGATTTTGCCAACAATGGTTGGATAATGTCCATGGCGGCGTGGAGGCCTTGACGAAGCGCTGCGTTCTCCGCGCGAATGGTCTCATTTTGGCGCAGAGCTGCTTGAAGATCGAGGAATGGTTTTTGAGATGAGAGATCTCGAACTTGTTGCTCTAGAGCATCGATGTGGCCTTTGGTCCGTTCGCGAATCGCCCGTTGCGCCTGACGATCATTCGCCCGTTTCTTCGCTAATTGATCGGGGGTGAGGTTGGCGACTCCCCGCGACGACATGCTGTTGAGCTTTCGCTTCCGCCCCGCTGTCGACGATCCATCCAAGAGTCCATCTGCGTCTATCGACGTCGCGCGCGAGGGGATAGGCGAGTCGAGTCGCTCGAGAGAAGGGGTTGGCTGCGATTGTGGTGGCGAGTAAGCCACATCCTTGGGAGTGTGGTTAGCCATGGCCTTGTAAACATGCAAGTGGCCATTCAATGGGACAAAGATGAGGACTGGGGTAGGCTGCGAGCATGGCGATCGGCAGGTGGGTCGAAGTTGAACGTTTAGACTTTCCTGCGTCTCGTATCATGACTACGAGAACTCCATCTTGGGGGTTTTGTCTTTTTGATTTGCTGAAGGTTTGAAATTTTACAACTAAAATTTTAAGTCCAGTCCGTACGGAGTAGTCGATTTGGAGACCATTTGATTCACGTGCCTGGAGCTGTCGCAACCAACATGGCCAGGTACTTCAAATGTTGCATGTTCTCCGTACTAGCTACTTGGCAATAGACTCATTATTGCGATAGTCTCAAACAGTCTAGCTCAGGGCAGGTGGGGGTTAAAAAAAAAAGAAAAGGCAAGGCAAAGTTGCCTACTGCGTGAATTAAATAAATTTGATCTGGTTCGTCTTTCGCATACAGAGATGGAATTTAATATGGAGCCAGATATTAATATCTGGAGATATTCTCCACAACGCGGGTCTATTGTGCACTAATGTTGTCCTGATATGAGGATGTATTAGATATTAATATATTCCAAATAAAATACGCTAAACTGACAAAAATGCACAAGTACATAGTATATACAGAGCTGCCCGGGTATCTTCCCTAGACCAGAGACAACCGACGCTTCGTATGCTCCACCGGGAAGGGTGCATGTCCTCCAATGCTGTGGAAATCATGAGAGTCTCGTAGTATCTCGTCCTTCCCAGTGATGATGGGCTTAAGCCCATGTCCAAAGTTCATGAAACAACGAATTGAACAGATAAGAGTTAGAACAAGAAGTACCAGAGCGGTGATTGCAAAGAACAGAATCATGTCTTTGCCAGCGGTTAGAGCTCGGAATCCATCTCCGTAGAGAATGATGATTCTACTGAGTAAATAGGCAACCATTGCAAGATAGCAAACCTATCCACGGGGGTTAGCAAGCCAGTCACGCACAAGGAAAGAGGTAAGAGGTCACCTACAATCACGAATCCCATCGGCCGTTTCCGCTCGAAGCGAACGACATAAACACCGAGAATCATGAGGAGGAGGGTGGCGGGCAGTAGCGCCATGGTCAGTCCAAACTCAGGCTCTTCGAAGTGAACGTCGACAAGCCCATACTGCAGGACAAAGCAAATAATGAAAAAGACTGCAACTTTGACCAAAACAAGATAGATCTGAGCTTCGTTAGCATAGCCCTTTATCAGAAGATATCGCACACGCACCTCGTAGTTCAGGTATCGAGATTTCGTTTCCGAATCACCTCGAACACTCCGATAGATAGCCCAGGCATACTGCTTCTGCAGCTGAAACGAGGAAGCCCAGGTAGCCAAAGTGCAGAGTCCAATCATGATTGGACATGCAAGCTGGAATCCTTGGATCAGAGTCCAGATATTTCTATCTTGGTCAACGAGAGGGTGGTTTAGGCCATCACGTTGGCTTGGCATTTCGTTCACTATTTCCTCCATGTTCCTGTAAAGCATGACTGAGAATACCAGGGCACATGCATTACTCACGCATATCGCGAGCAGCAGCACGTTATTTCTGTGGTGAACGGCATCGAGCGCCAGAAGGAAGACATAGATGCAAGCAAAGAACATGATTGCAGAGTCAACGGGGACGATGTACGATGGGGTGATTTGAATTATATTCGGATGAACCCATAATTGCCATTCAGCGAGGATAAATCTGATAAATCTGTTAGATGGGAATTCAGTTTGTGTATGGGGTTTACTTACGCCTCGATGGCTAGAATTATTAGCGCTTGTGCGCCCAAGATGCCACAGAATAACCATTCGTGCTTGCTCTTTGGCCTGTACATATTAGCGTTGCAGAAGCAGAAGATAGGGGAGGAGTTCAGTCCGCCATGTCTCACTTTTTTCCCACTTCGATGACCCACCCACGAACCCCCCGGTTTTTCAGTCCATTAAAGATTTTCGGTTTCTCCGAACACTCCCCGTTCAATTGACCATTCAGACTGGATTTGAAGTTCCAACGCACTCTGCTCATTTATAACGTATGTGGAAGCCTGCAGGAAGCCTGCATATTTTCCAATCGTTTAACTCCACATGCATATCTCAGCAAGGTGAAGTCCCGAAGTCTGCATAGTCCAATACTGACTGCATGTCCGTTTTGAACTACCTGTCCACGTGAGTTTACATAGAGACTGAAAATATGATCATTGTTTGCCTTTGAATACAATGTGGCTATAGAAAAAAAGATAAAAAAAAAATCCAGTATTTAAGGAGGACTAGGCAGTCACTGGAAAGGCAAGCAAATACAACATCAACGCCAGGCCTACCAAGTCGGAAAGTCAAGGATATGCAGGGGGAGGAACATTCGGTCGTGTCGATCGTGTACAAGACTTTTCAGGTTTCCAGAGTATGAAAGAATGAAGAGTGTAGATGAAAGAACAGATGGAGAGGGAATCAAAATCGTCAAAACAAATTCAAGACATTATTGGATCATATGACCCATTTTTGAAATCTATGACAGTCAACTTGTTAGTATCGTGGAAGGACCGAGAGGCAAAGATACAGCCATACCTTAGTTTGTAGGTAACCCTCAATTTCAGAGCTTTTGATACCTTTCTCACCCCCCGTCCGCCAGGCCAATGGGATCATTGGTACACGTTCTTTGACCAGGACCTCCCGGTTCGGGCCTTCAATCGCCCGAACCTTATCAGGGTTGTTTGTGAGAAGGCGGATTCCTTCTGGAATGGCGTCCGCGCCACAGCCAAGATCCTCCAGCATAGCGGTGGCCAGACCGTAGCTTCGGGCATCGGCAGGATGTCTCAACAAAAGATTGGCCTCGACCGTATCCGATCCGAGGTCCTGCAAATTGTACGCCTTCAATTTCTCACCAAGACCAATTCCACGACCTTCCTGGCGTAGGTAGATAATCACACCACCGGTCGAGTGTGACGAAAGGGACTGCACCTCCGCAGGCGCATCCGAGGCAAGGTCTTCAACAGGGAAAGACATTAGGCGTGCCGCCTCATCCAGCTGCTCGCCGCAATCGCATCGCGCTGACCACGCCGTCTCTCCAGTATAACATTCCGAGTGAATGCGAACCAAGGGAGGCTCAACCTGCCTTGGTGTTGAAGCTGCACCTTGCTCTTCGTCATATCGACTGCTCACTCTTCCCGGGCGCAATGTCCCCACATACGCGCCGCGGATCATTCGGTCCATCTCGGTCTCTCCCGGCCGGACGCTATCCAAGCTCCGACTGCGAATATTGTTCCCAAATACAATAGCCAGGTGCTCTTTTCCATCAAGGTCGTTGTGGTACAGGTGCAGGAACATCTCGGCCCCGTTGGTCGTTGGGATGCGGGCCCGCACAATACATTCCACCTCGGGGAGCTTCTCGAGAAGTTTGGGTTCCTTGGTATGCTGGCTCTTTGTTTCAATATCTGCTGCTTGGTGTTGGTGCAGGATCGCAGTGGGACTTAAATCCCAATCTAATGTGCCACCGGGAGTCAAAGGCGGGGTGAATGCGGGCGACAGCAGCGAGTCGGGAATCGCCGGAGTGTGTTCGCCAGTTCCACTGCTCTCTTGGCTGGCATTATCCAAAATTCCATCTTGCCTACTTGGCAACTGTCGTGGAGGTAGCTTTGGTGAGGCGTGGGCCGGTAAATCGGTCATTGCAACGGTGGGAGGCGGGGTGGTTGGTAGATGTGGCGCAATGCAAGCTCTTTAGTGTACAGGGGCAATATGCAGGAGGGGCAATTGGAAGGTCACAGGCGCATTGGTCGAAGAATTAGAGAACACAGGTTAAGTCATGGAAAGTTGAAGTACTGGAGATTATCGGCGTATTCCCTCGGCCCGGCCATAGGAGCGCTTACTCATGACGGGCGGGGCGCAAGTCATTGCTTACTAGCACCTTCTGTCCAGATCAATGTCCCAATTCGGATTTCGCGGTGTGGATTTAGTTTCATGTTGCAACAATTGGGCAGCCTGTGAATTTGCACTACCCTCGAATATGCCATATCACAGCGATATGAACGTGGAACATCGTTCTGAACTTTTTTCTTTTTTTTCTTTCTAGATCTAACGCATATGCAGCCGACATCGGAAAACAAAAAAAAAAAAGATAAAACACCCATCACGCCAAATTGATCACGCCACCGGCCGTATTGATATCTGCCACATACATTGCACGTCCATCGTCAATATTTTTACCATTCTTGAAGGCATGGAAGACAATCTTAATTCCATCAAGGAAGTCGGATCCCCCAGGTCCTGACAAGTCCCCCACATCACTCGCATCTCCAGACACAAGCAAGGGAGCATCCGGATCCCGAGCTTTGGTATAGGGACCTGTGAGTGCGGAAGCCGTCGCATAACTCACGTCATACTTTTCCGTGTCGTACGCGTTGGACGAGAATGAGAGGTAGTACGTGCCGTCCACGTTTGCAAGACTTGGCGCCTCGATGAGGGGTCCGTCGGTATCATCGCGGTCAAGAAGCTGAGTGGGGTTGCCGTTGGGAGTTACAGCATCGGAGTTCAACCCCTGCAGCATGAGCGGCGTGGGGTGGGTTGTCCCATCCCCATTGAGACTATTCCCGTCCACCTTGTACACGATATAATAGGTTCCCCCATCCTCGAAACCATCGGCATCAATTGCCCCGCCCTGGTCAAGAGGACATGCCAGAGCGTTCTCCGTTGGAGTGTAGGGGCCTGTGATGCTCGAAGAAGTGGCGGCTCCGACACAGTGCTTGCTATCATCTTCACTTGACGCTGCGGAGAAGTACATGACAAACGTACCGTCGTCCTGATATAAATTTCTAGTAAGCTTTGGGATTTCGATAACGCGGAGTTGTTATATTACCCTTTTAATCACATCAGGTGCCCAGATCAAGGGGTTGGATGCTACCCAGGATGGGAACGGACCCGGCATGGCATCTGATCCAGAGAGAAGTTCCCATGAGCTAAAGTCGGAAGACTTCGCAATCTGAACATTCAAGCCATTTGCGCTGGTACCGAAGGCATAATATGCATCATCGGCTTGGATGACGCAAGGGTCTGCAAAATCCCCATCAATCGCTCGAGTTGGTTGTGATGCAACAAGTCCACCGAGCAGGATGGCAGAAAATGAGAAGAACGCCGCAGCCATTTTGATGATTGCTCTCAAGTGTGTTAGATAAAAAGAACTTGCTCAGATCTGATGATGAGCATTGTGTCTACTATTTGTATTCCGTGCGTCAGGGATGCTAGATGTTCTCCAAAAAGTGATTGATATTCACCTGCGGGCTTGGCAACTTCCGTATACTGTACCCTGAGTGCGAGAGCCCCCGTTCAGCGACGATCCCTCGGGCCACTAAGCCCAGGACAGAAAATGGGTCGGGGGCATCCATTGTAGATCTGCAACCTTGGAATACAACTCAGAGCGCTCGAACATCACTGAAGTATCAGCGAACACGAGCATGTGCTCCCAGGACCGAGGTGAAGATCATCCCTCCTTTGAGGCCGGTATTTGACGCGGACCCAGATGCTAAGGACCGTAAGTACTTAAGTAGAAACCTTGGAGCCTTGAAAGGAGACACAATGGTGACGGGGTGGAGTAAGAGCAGGATTTAGCTTTGACTACTGTGTTAAGTTTATTGCTCCTGTCCATGGGGTCGGTAGACTTGAGCATGCAGGCTAATCTAGTGCTGGAGCCGATCTAAGCTGGCCTGTCCGGGATCTGGGGCAGATTTAAAAGGATGGAAGGATTTTATGATTTTCGACTAGAATATCTAGTAAAAATGAACGCAACTCATGTGCATTTCATGGTAAGCCTTCAAACTCCAGATAGCGCCTCGCTTAAATGGTATCATCATCACATCAGATCATAGAAACAACTTTGAGCTCATTTGCCCGGAATATCCAACACAAATCGTCGGTCGACTTCCATCTCCTTATCGTCCTCCTCGCCTTCGAATTTGAGACGGTAGACATCCTTTCTCGACCCCATTACCTCAGCCCGGTAGAAAGTGGTGGTATCAGGATATCTCGCGAGAACCTGCTTGCCCGCGGTATACGCAGTCAAGTTACCAACCAACTTGGGGATGGGGATGAGAGAGACAGCAGTCGTTTTGTATACAGAACCGTGCTCACCATTCTCATTCGGTTCAGGATCCTGAACTTCATATCTGGAATGAACGTGAGTTATCAACGTATATAGATGAAAACAAACGAGATGTGACTTACCGCTTCTTCTGCCCTTCCCCCGTGATGGCCTTAATTATGCATTGAATCCCCTCGCCCTCGACTCCCTGTTTATTTTTATTGTGCTTAAAGACAACCTCGCTCCCAACCTGCAAGATCCCACTCCGCTCTGCAATAGTGCCCTTGGTCCCTTCCGACGGTGACTCTTCAATCTTGACCATAATATTTTCTTGCCGACCCCCATCCCGAGGTTGGGGGGCACTGGAAGAGACACTTGAGCTGCGCGGCGCAGTCCCTTTCGAACGGGCAGATTTATCCGCCCCGGAGCCACTGGGGGAATCGGTCACGGAGCCATCGACCTCGTTTCTCTTTTTGCGGGATTTATTAAAAGACGCAGATCGATTAGGCGGAGCCTCAGCTTCGGACGCTTTTCGCAATGCTGTCAGCAGCTCTAGATTCTTGATAACATCGCACGGCTCGTCCTGCATGATCGAGCGCTCATCTTCACTGAGCTTTTGGCTTTGTCGTAGCCAGCTATCAAGTTGATCGTGTTCGGCCAGGGTTGCTTCTGCTTGTAAGCGCAATGTCAGCATGTGCGACTGTAAGCCATTGTTGTGAATTCAAACGCAATTGAAATGCATATCGAAGCTTTGTGCTTTCGGGTAGGGTATGGGGCCGAGGGAGCTAGTGCGGGGTCGCTCACTATTGCCATCGTTGGTGATCTTGTCAATCAAAGCTTTGATCTGAACAGACAATGAACTCTGCTGATCAAACTTTTCCTTAGACTTCCGAATGTCCTGACAGATCTTGGTCCAGAGCTCCAACTCCTCGTTATTGCCGAAGCCATTGTCCCTGGGTCTGGGCCTGTTGCGGGACATTCTGCTCAATCGGAGGGAGTGCAGTGGATGTTTGATACCGACAACGCGTGTTTATAGCGCGACACTCTAGTCACTTTGGGTCGCAGGGTGTTTGTCTCGTGTTGTTTCGTTTGGAGATGTGATAAGGGCTCCAACATCCCGGGCGGTCGGGGTTAATACGCTAAACTACTTTGGGATATAGCTATTCAGGTCTGTGCGTAGAACACTTAGTCGGCTGGGAGTATATGGATGTGACTATACGGAGTATATCTATAGATGGTATGGGATATCTTTCGTGGCTCTTCTGGTATCAAACAACATTGCCATCAAGCTTTTAAAATTTCCAGCATAGTTCATATATTATCCATGGATATTTTGTAGAATAGTAGCTAAGGAAAAAGTAGAGAATTCTGGAATTAATGATGTAGTACTCCATATTTAGGCTGATTTCCCAGATTTCCCAGCCCTCGACCCCTCCCAATTTACTTGACTGGCTGAATTTGCTGGAACAGTTGGAACTGCTGAAATTACTCGTTTGTCATAGGAAAAAAACCCGCCCTGTTGCCCTCACCGAAGGCTTGGCGTGGCATTTCTAATACAAACCCGCTCAGCCCCTCCGCTTTTTCCCCAAACATCCCATTTTCAGAATGCAGGTGCCACTTCTCCGGCTACAGTGCGGTAAGTCTTCGGGACTTCATTCGGAGAAATACCGCTAATCCATTCGAAGGTGTCAACAGTTACGACTGGGGTAAGCTAACGTCGACAATGATGAGTTCCCCGCACTAAACCTCATAGGCAAGGTCGGCCAAGAGTCGGCAGCCGCCAGGTATGCCGCCACAACTGCCGGCCCCGATTTCACAATCGAAGCCGAGAAGCCTTACGCCGAAGTGAGTGAACCCGAACATAGCAACATGGGATCTGCTAATCTCATTGCAATCGTTAGCTTTGGATGGGCACACACCCGTCTCTTCCTTCCAAAGATGTGGAGACCCAGCGAACTCTGCTCGACATGGTCCAAGACAACCAATCTTTGTTGTCGACCGAAATAAGTGAGCGATTCGGTGGTAAACTGCCATTCCTCTTCAAGGTGCTGTCCGTTCAAAAGGCGCTTAGCATCCAGGCCCACCCCAACAAGAAGCTTGCAGAGCAGCTTCATGCCCGGGACCCCAAGAACTATCCTGGTTAGTGCATATAAATTGGAACTCCTCGGGATAATGTCTAATCCATTCAAGATGACAACCACAAACCTGAAATGACCATTGCCATCACTCCATTTGAAGGTTTGTGTGGCTTCCGCCCCCTCGCTGAAATCACACATTTCCTCCAGGCTGTGGAGCCTCTGCGCACTCTGGTCGGTGAAAAGGTTGCCAGCGAGTTTGAACAGTCCGTCAAGAGCAACGAAGACTCAGAGGACCCAACTATCGTCAAAAACAACAAGGATGCGTTACGTGCCCTCTTCACCACTTTGATGGAGTCTCCGTCCGAAAAGGTGGCGGCAGCAACCTCCGCTCTGATTTCTATTGCAGAGAGCAGTCCCGACAGCTTTGGAATCCTACCCGGTGAGGTTGAAACCAACCCAACAAACCCCACAGAGCTGGCAGCTCTTGCCAAGCGATTGAACGGAGAGTTCCCGAACGACATCGGCCTGTTTGTCTTCTTCTTCCTCAACTTCGTCAAGCTGTCATCGGGTGAAGCCATGTTCCTTAAGGCAGACGACATCCACGCTTATATTTCCGGTGACATCATCGAGTGCATGGCTGCCTCCGACAACGTCGTGCGAGCAGGCTTCACCCCAAAGTTCAAGGACGTCGACACCCTCACTCAGATGCTCACCTACTCATATGCACCAATCGAGGAGCAAAAGCTCCAGCCAACAGACTACCCTTACGCCGTTCTTAACGCAACTGCATACTCGAGTGCTTCGTCCGCCATGCTCTACGATCCTCCCATCGACGAGTTCAGCGTCGTGAAGAGCGACCTGAAGCGTACTGGTGCCAAGGTGACTTTTGACGGTATCTCTGGTCCTAGCATTATCATTTGCACCCAGGGTAAGGGCAAGATCACCGTGGGTAACAAGACCGAGGAGGTCCAGGAGGGCTATGTTTTCTTCGTTGGTGCCACTGCGGAATGTGTGATTGAAAACACTGGCAGCGGAGAGGGCGAGGACGATGTTTTCACTACCTATAAGGCATTCTGCGAATTGCCCCCGGTTGGTGAGGAATAACTTCACTCGACCCTTGGGTGCTGATTCTAATTTTTGTTTTTAAGATGAACGAACCCGCCCTGGAATCGGCGCGAACCTGTGAATTAAATGATCAAATAACAGCACTGCTCATGAAATAATGCACCTGCGTGAGGGTTGAAACAGCAGACTTTGTAAATGAAATTGGTCACTTAGATTTTGTGGCTATAGCAGAAAGTTGCATCCTGGCGTGAGCCGAAAATTACACCTGGGCATACAGGCTACTGTGTGCCATATGTATCGCGTAAATTGCTGATAATATTTGAACATCTGAAGCCCACAAGCCTTTTGTCTAATATTAGTCGCCCTCGAGGTGCACCTGGACATTGGACAAATACAAAAGATTCCTTCCCTCTTCTTCCCCCTTTTTTCTGTATATCCCATGTCTAGTCGTCTGATGAAACAGGAGAGAAGTCATTTGACTTTCCCAGGTCTCGCGACAGCAAGAAGGGATAACACACACGGGCCTTGCTGTGCGACCATATAACGCGGTCTTATAGCCCTAATTTAGTTATATTAAGCGCTGTTTGGTCCAAATTCTTAAAATGTTGGCCAGAATTTTGGCTCTTTAGCGCTGTGCTTCGAACGAAAACAATGCCCCATCACATGCATTCAAGGTCTGAAACAACCAAAAACTTGAGCATGGGAGATATCATTTAGAATTCGTCTCATCAAACTATGATTGATAGGCTGAGGTCTACTTTAACAAACACTTCCAAACCCTGGAAAGTCGCAGCCAATTGTTAGATATTCTTAATCTACCTCGCACAGCCAAAGGATGCCGAGTATGAAACAAATTATACAATTAAAATCTCACTTGATTAGTCGCACGGCGTGCTTACTGGAGAAGTAAAGCCTTCAACCCATCCCAACGCTCCCATTTCCGAAGAGGAAGCGACCCTTGGGTCACAATTCTGACATCTGGTTCTCTCCCTCCAGGGCTACCTGCCTCGGCTGTTGGGCCCTATGTTCATCTGAAAGTAAATCAGCAAGTCTAAAGTTCCACTTCGGTTCGAGCTGATGTTTCCCCAACCAAATCTGGAATTTATCAATCAGGTCATCTTTCCAAAACAGGTCACCGACTTCTTTGGCTTCCTCGACTTCATCGTGAATCCAGCGAAAGGTCTCGGCTTTGTTGATATTGCACAACATCCCATGCAAATAACGCAGAGAACAAGGCTCTTTGTGAATTGTGGTACAGATGTTTCCTTCATACTCTGCCTTGCCATATAACTCCTGCAGGCGACGTGCCCATTTCAACACTTCGACGGTGTCGGGGTGGGGACCACCTGACAAGTGAAGACACAAAAGTCCTCTTGCGAAAGCAAATGCCGATCCCAAATGGCTTGCGATCTCTTCGTGCGTGGTCACTTGGTCAATTTGACCATTGAACAAATCCGCCAGCATATTTGCGATTTCGACATAGAGATCAAGGTTTCCGTCGGCCTCTAGGGGCGATGTTAATTGGTCCAAGGCGCTCTTTAGCTCGGATGTGCAGTCACCGAAACGCCCTTCCTCATATAGCACCATGCTTCGAGATACCCAACATCCGGTTGCTTCGCGACTCAGCGGTCCACAGATCTTGATCGCTTCATCCTTGGCCCAATCCCAAATCCTTTTAGCCACTTCGTATCGCGTTGCCTCGGTGCAACAAGATGCAAGCACCCAGAGCGCGGTTAAGCGAACTTTTTTTGGGTCAAAGTATCCTTTCCTGGTAATGGGTATCTCGCAAGGGAGCTCATTTTCAACCCTGTAAAACTTTTCTACCATGCGGGGGTACATTCCAAGAGTAAAAGGTTCCGATTCGATATGAAGCAGTTGAAAAAAGCTATGCGAGGAGAGGCAGGTCCCGATGTCATGAAGCGAAGTTGAAGATAGACTCTTCAATAAGGCCACGGTATGGCCTTCGAACGTTCTGTTGAGGAAAATCAGAGCGTCAAGTTTTGATTCCTCCTTGATGCTTCTTGAGTACATGGAATCAAAAGTTTCCATGGCGAGATTGATCAGCATCAAGCGTTCGTTTTTCTCAAGCCGGATATAAAGCCATTCTCGAATGATTGGATGGATCGAGAACAGCTCCAAACCTTGAGGAACTTCCTTTGGTCGCTCGGTCGCTTGCAACAGTGAGCAATCATAGAACGTTTTAAACAAGAGTCGAAGTCTTGCCTCCGAAAGGTCGCCCCTGTCTATGCAGATAGAAGCCCAGGGAAATTCATAAGACGTGTCTCTTTTGCTATCAACTGCAGCGATTATCAACTGCATGGATACAGCAGAACAATCAAAGAGGGAAAGAAAACTCAGCAGCAGGAAGGCGCCATTCGCCATTTCCTCCGCCTCATCCGACCACTTTCTCCCAAACATCTCGTCGAGAGATTCATCCAGAGTATTGCAAAGGCTCAGGGGGCCAGGACAGTCCGTGTTGTCGCCCTGATATCCTCGCAGGAAGGATAGCTCAGACCAGGCTGAGTCTATTCTGCGACACTCAAACATATTGAGATCCTTTATCTTGCAGACTTTTATGAACTGACATATCTGCGTTATCACCCAGACGTGGTGACCGAATTGATCAAGGATTCGAGTTGCTGCCCGCCCGTCTTTCTCTCTGTCCCATTCCCCGTGCCCCGAGACACTAGAAGAGAAAAGCTTGTGCAAGAAATCCTTCGCCATTGGCTTTAGATCCATGAAATCTGCCGCCAAGGGCAGAACTGGGGGTTTCCGCAGAAAAGTGTCGTCCATCCAACGGGTCGTGATCAACACTGCTCCGTGCGGTTCCCTGCTCAATGCCACAAAATCCATCACCGAAGAAGTCCAATTTGGAGAATTCAACCCATCCAGAACCAAGAGCCAAGGCTTTTCCAGCCTCCGAAGCGCAGATATGCCCTGGTGGATTCGATCTCTCTCTTCCAACCCCAAATCCTCTTGGTTGCTGGCAGGCTGCTGCTTTGGAATATCGAGGATATCACAGATATCGATCCAATACTGACGCCGTTTCATCGAGTCATTTGCATCGAGCCAAAAGACTGCCTCGAATGTCTTCTCCTTGTATGCCTTTTGACAATACGCCATGGCAAGGTATGTTTTGCCTTCGCCGACCATACCACGAATGACCGTAACCTGATTCATGTGATCCCTTTTCCCCTTGATGATGGTGTCAAGATTTTCCAGATCCTTTTCACGCCCAACCATTCCCGAGGCTTCGAACTCGGGAAACTGGAGGCAACCTTGAGGTGAAATCTTGATGCGCTCCATATTGCCGAGTTGGATTTATCGCGATGGAAAGCAAGTGACCAGAGTTTGCTTTATAGCAGAAGATGAAATGAGATGGCACTTGAGCAGTAGGTATGGATGAGAAGTGGTCAGAAACTCGTCTGTTTATATACTTCTGCCCAGGTGGGCATTTCTAAATTTGGGGCGATGTACAACACCAACGTCGAAGTCACACCAGTGAAATAAACGACACAGAATTATTTAGGGGCCATCTAGGTATAAAACAAACTGCTTGGCACGTATGCTTTATCACATTCTCATTGGTGTTGAAAGTCCGATAAATATTGGGTCAAGACCTCCGACAGGCAAGAAAGTGATGCTAAAGTGATTGCCACATATTTATTGGCGCTAGCTGAAACTATCAAAGCATTGCGACTGTTTAAAATGAGGAGAAGGCAGCGGGCTTGAGCCCCAGCCACGACTGCTGGCGTCATAGCATGGGTTCTTAGCAAACGATGGCTCTGAACCTGGAGTCCTGCTTTGTCCATACCTTGTAATACAAACCATGTATACCCAAGTCCAACCAGATAAATCTATAAAGCTACACCTTGCAAGGCTCATTTCCAACCAACACATTAGCGCAGCCTAATGTGTGTCAGAAGCCGACGGGGTGCCCTGGCTAGAGACTGATATTGACAGGGAGAGGAAGGGCAAAGCTGTGCTGTCTGAGCCCCACAGACACGATTCAATGTGAGCCATCAGATGTGCCTCACTTTGACTGTTCCTAAATACCGCCGCTCGATGCCACGCACATATTAACGTGTACACAAGGGCTCCAAGGGTTGGATTCCATTCAGCTGTTCTTGTCCAAGCAACGTGGTCAATGATTTTGGGCTCGAAGCATATGAATCGAGAAAGAGCTTTCCACTTCTGGCGAGGAAAGGTTAGCTCGGTTACCGCTAGACACAAAACGGCAACGGGCAATTCACAAGATTCCTACCTCTTGAGACGTACGCGCTTTTTGCTCACTTTACGCCGCAGGTTGGCTGCCTTGAGAACTTGCTGGTTTCTCTTAATCAGCTCACAATACAATATTCTAACTTACACTGCTCGTCAAATATTGTTGTAGCCTTGGAGGTGAGAAACATAATGTCTTAAGCTAGAAATTACTTAAGTAGAAGCGCTACTCACAAGAGACTTCAGGGATCATGGGAACACCATGATAACTCGATAACTCCAGAGATATATGACAGAAACAACTTCTATCCTCCGGTCAGACCTTTTGCCATCCAACCCATCTGCCACCAAAACCGCCGTCCTTTGCTCTTAGCTTGAGATGCCCCCAGAAAGGAACCTTGGACATATCCTTGCAATTTCTCTAAGGCTTGAAGCCCTGAGACTCATCTACATCGCGCTCATTGATAACCAAAAGTGTTGACCTAGAGACCTGGGAAGAAGGGCGACACTTACCAGTCACGGCTTCATATCCTCGACGCCCACCAGTGCGGTTCACGGAGTACCTACGGGGCAGCACGTTCATACTCTGCAGATGTCAAAGGAAAACTCTCCACTCAGCAAACAAGAGATTTCATCCAAAGACTGAAAGCTTAGATTGTTTTGTTATACATTGAACAGCTTCTTATGTCGCGTGTCTCACGGGTCACAGCTACGCGCCCAGGGATAGCCTTGGAGGGCAGCCTCGCCGTCTCCAATTGCTGGGAAGACTTCCCGTTGATGAAAAGAGATCCTAGGTTCTCCAGCTCATGCCTTTTGCCATCCTCCTTAACTCTACACCTCCTGTGCGTGTATGTCAAGAATGTGGACGTCGGCGATAATCGGGACCGAGGGCCATTCTAAGCTCTGCAGGACGGGACCCACCGCAAAACATGCGGGGAATCTCATTTTCAGCTGAGCTCAGCTTACCCTTCTTCGCTCCTTGAGCAACCCTCTGTTCCTCGACATTCTTCAATCCGCAGAAATGACTACCAGACACCTTCGTCCCAATTTGGGCTTCTGGGAGAAGGCCGATGTGCCTTTCGTGCACCTATCGGTGTACGCCAGTATGCTGTATCATATGGTCGCTGGCGTGTTCCGGGGGAAAGCCAGCCCCAAGCGTTATGATCACTTTATCACGACCAACGTGATTCGCAAGCTCGTGTCCCGGACTTCAGATCGACAGAAGCAGTGTGTGTGGCCAATTCTCCTGTCCGATGTTTACTCACGTGGTTTTCAGGTACATGAACGCTCCTACTTCTGATGTCTACACGACTGTTATGAGCAAGAATGGCTTCCAGCCCGAGACCGTGTCTCTTGCCCACGATGCGGAGGGTCTCTGGATTGGAAACAAAAATGCCAAGAAAGTCGTAATCTACTATCACGGTGTGTACTACTCCGCAATACTCCTTACAGATCCCGTGTAACGCGCAATCCGAGTGCCGTAGCGCGGGAAAACCTAATCCCCACATAACCCCATACCGCATGTACGGAGTCCTAATGTCTGAACAGGTGGAGGGTTTGCTATGGCCGCGGTGCCTGGTCACTTCGAGTTTTGGCTCGCCATGGTCCGTGCCTTGAATGAGAATGGCCATGATGTGGCCGTTTTCTTCTTGCGATACACCCTGACCCCGCATGCCCGTTACCCGACTCAGCTCCGTCAGGCCGTTGAGGCTTTGCGATACATCGTCAACGAGACGGGTCGGTCCCCGGCCGATGTCGTCATCGGCGGAGACTCAGCCGGCGGTAACCTCACATCGGCAACCATGCTGCACATCTCGCATCCACACCCTGAGATCGATCCCCTGACACTGTCGACTCCACTGGCAGGCACATTTGCCTATGCGCCGTGGACGAACTTCAGCGCCGGAGGGCCTTCCATGAAGGAGAACCTGTGGAAGGACATCATCACGCCTGAAATCCTGGCTAGCTGGTCGAAATCTTACAAGGGCGATAAACCCGCTGATAACTGGAATGAGCCAAACAATGCACCTGCCGAATGGTGGAAAGATGCAAAGACAGAGCGAATTTTGATCCTCGCTGGCGGAGATGAGATTCTACTCTCATCCATTGAACAACTCGCGGAGAAAATCAAGTCTGTATTCCCGGAGACCACTCTGGTCATCGGAGAGAACGAGTCGCATGACGCGCCTTATTTTGTTTCCGTGAAAGAGGAGACCCAGACAGGCACTGAGTTGAGAAAGTGGATTGCCTCTCGTTTGTAATTTAGCAAACTACATAGTACCCATCAACTCAAATATATGGCGCCAACGCCTGAGGATTCAAGGAGGTCGTATATTTTCATAAACAAGCAGGATAAACTCCCCTGGCTTGGATTAAATCAAACAACAAGATATATGAACGCAATCTTCTTATTTCTAGGATGAGGCCTTGGCGGAGAACTTGGCCGCCGAGGTATCGAAGAACTCGCTCTTCTCCTGGATATCGGCGAGCAGGGGGTGTGCGGGCTGGACCTGCTGTAATTGGCTATAATAGAAGGCTAGTCAGCAATTGTTCAATCATTGGGACCCTTGAAGCTCAAAAGAATGACATACGCTTCCAATTCCTTGGATGGCTTGCCAGCCAACACATTCAAGACAATGCTGTTGGCAATCAGTTCCACATCAGTGGGGTATTTCTCAAGGGCGGCGGTAATGGCGGCTTCAGCTTCGGGCAGACGGCCAAGGTGGATCTCGGCGACGGCCTGGCCAACGATCGATAGGGGTGCGGAGGTGCTGGGTGCGGAGGCCAGTTCCTCGTAGACGTAGAATGCGGATTGGTACTTCTCGCCGCCCTAGAGATGAATATGGGTCAGCAATCTTGAATTCTGGCATAATTGTCTAGCAGTTCGAGACATACAACGCGCAATCCAACCCACGACTCGGCGATGTTGACCAGCAGCGAGTCCTGCGCCCAGCGCTTAGCGGCCTGGACCTCCTTGAGCGCAAGATCGGTTCGGTTTTGCTGGAGCTGAATCTGAACGATAAGGGAGACACTAGTAGAGATGGGCTGTCAGACTGGGTCTCCATTTTTTATTGCATTCCAGACCATGCGCGACAGAGTACTTACGCCTCGAGGTTGCCCTGGTGTTTGGCGAGCAGCGCCAGCGCCTCCTCGCTGAGACCCTGCGCCTGAAGTACTGTAGCGGCTAGGACTTGGACGGTGTTGTTATCGGGGTAGTTTTCAGCGAGCTCCTGCGCCAATTGCAAAGCGGCATCATCGTTGCCGGAAGACTGGAGGGCCAGGGCCTTGGCGGCCGACAGGTCGGGGCTATCTTCTTCAATGGAGGGTTCGGCGAGGGCTTCATCATACTGGCCGAGAGCAATCTGGGCACGGAGCTTGAGAACCTGGGCGGGAAGCTTGTTCTCGGGAGACAGCACGGAAGCATCGAAGTCGAGCACACTCTGGTATTGGCCTGAGTGGAAGGCGCTGTGGATGTTGAGGAGCTCTGCGGGGATAGCTGGGTTAGTGGACTGACGAGTTATGGGGGGAAATTGAGAGACTAACCGCCCTCTGCGGAGAATGGATCCATCTTGGCTGTAATGGGGGGATGTATCTGAGAGGGATTAGTGTTGTTGTCGTTGTCCTGTGGCAGTTAATCACGGTGGCTTTAAGGCGGAGAGGTAACTCTGCCGAGATAACACGGGGCAAGTGGGCCGACCGCTCTGGGTCTACTTCGTATAGCTTCACATCTACCAAGTCGAGATGATGGCAAAAGGTGACTATGTGAACAATCTTATTTTATGGCTATGATGATTCTATTTAGTTATGTCGTTTTAAAAGCGTCTGAGCTCTAGGAACAAAAAAGCGATTTATGACAATTTTCGAATATGGAATGCGGAGCTCGATACATTAATGCTATCAGAACATACTTCCAAGTCACTGAGTTTGTTCGGTGTACTTGATTCTACTCTTCAAATGTGTGCATTTGCAGGAGACAGGATCTCCTGGCAAGACTCAAGAGGTTAAACACTGCCAACACCCCACAAGAATAATCCGAGAGAAATTTCCCAGTCAAGTACCGGAGGAAGTGATTCCCAGAATTATCACGGGGACTTTGTTTCGACAATTTTCCACAGAATTGGCCCCCTCAAAGCTGCAGTTCTGCAATTCCACGCTGAGCAATATCCTTCCACCCATTCCTCCATCTCGTCAAAGGTGGCCGTCCATAAATAATGTCATCACTAGCCCAACGGATCCTCCGCTTATCCAAGTCCTCAGTAACTTCATTATCAGGGCAAAGAATATAAAACACATCCTCGGCCATTTTCCGATCCATAAACCCAACAACTTGCTCAGAGGTCCAAGCACCATCCGGCTTCTCCTTGAATGTCTCCGTATGGAAACCAGTATAAGTCCACCCGGGAATGAGTAAATGAACACTCACGTTTGGAGCAGTCTCAGCCAAATCAAAGGCCAAATGCTCAGCAATCGTCCGCACGGCTGCTTTGGAGGCATTGTAGGCAGGATTACTTGGTGGATTGGTTATGCCTTGCTTTGAGCCCGTCAACACAATTGCGCGTGGGATGTCCTTCGCACCCGTTACAGTTCCGAGGAATGATGCGAGTCCATTTGTGTAACCGAGTGTGTTTATCGCGAATGTTCTCGCGAAGTAATGCGCGTCTTCCCACTGGGTTAACCCCTCTGCGGGGGTTGGTCCCGCACCGGCGTTTAGCATGAGGAAATCGATTCCTTGCGGGTAGAGGCCTTTCGCTTGTTGAGCTAGATTTTGCCAGGCTGAAATTGAGGAGACGTCCATTACATGGGTAGTCGTTTTGCTGGAGTTCGTCGTTGGGAATTGTTTGGTCGTTTGAGCGAGGGCTGTTTCGTTTTTGTCGAGGAGCACCAAGTTCATGCCGCGTGAATAGCAAAGCTGGGCTGTCAGGAGCCCAATCCCAGAGGCAGCTCCAGTGATGAGCGCTGTTGCTCCTTGGCGGAAGACGGGATGGATGTTCGAAGCCATGCTGCTGTTGTAAGGGATTTGCAGGATAGATCAACTTGCGAAGATTGGGGCACCGAGTAACTTGCAAACTATTTGAGAGGGGAACAAGCGATTATTAAATTCAGATCCACTAGGTTGACTACTCGCACAGTTACATGAGTCTAGCTGAATGGTGGACTGACGTCGGTCGTAGCTTGGCACGTTCTAGCGTGCGGATGGGCATTACCCGCATCTGCTCAAGTGGAAGGCCCAAGAACATCAAGCTTTAATTAATTTCCCAGCCATCCTACTTGATCTAACAAAGTGTCATTGATAAATATCAAGGGCTTATCTCAGATTTTCCAAAATCTACCCCTGACTCTTCAATTGGGACCAAACACAAGTAGTGCATGCAGTCTTTCCATAAAGCTCTAGTTGGCCACCAGATTCAATTGATCACCTTAGGGATGGGATCTTCAACGATTCAATCATCAGCGAACCCTTGGAAAATCATGTGTGCCTGATTCCACGTTGACCAGCAAGTCTTGAATGAAAATTATTTTGATCATCTAGTATTCGTACGGGACATCGAAACCTCTTCAATGGGTCTCCCCGCCGTTGTCATTCTTCCAACTGCCGGCATAGTGATGCGTTACCAATGCAGGTCCTGTTTGGTTCACATATCTGTTGGCAGACGCGGCAAACGAATACCCAGGCAGGACCAAAACATCACTGATCAAGACTGGGTCCAAAAGGTGGGAGACATTATTCATTCCAACGGTCTCATCAAGCACCAGTGACAAGCTCTTGAGTATTCCACGGGTCAAACGCCTTGGGCCTGTGAAGTCCACCACATCACCAACCATATCGAGGGACAATTCAGTCACTGCGATCCCATTCCCCTCCGACTTCTGACGAATTGCATCCAAGATATCTTCAATGACCATCATTATATGCGGTGAGTGAGGGGCGGCCATGATCGTCCAGCTATTGAACTGGCGCACGATATTCTCACCCCAGCCTTCGTCGAATTCCAGCCCCACAACAAGGTTGGTGTTCGCTTTGAATTCTTCTGGGATCCATTGGCGGATTGGCACATCACCACAGGAAACATCCAAGTCGTACCAGATGCCTCCTTCCGCAAATAGCAGGAGATAGCGGAGTAGATCTGCTTTGAGGATGGGTACCGAGAGTGCGAGATATGTTTCGACGATATCCGGTCGATGGGGAAACTTCTCCTTTACATAAAGATCGCCGGAGTGATCCGTCATGATCTCCGAGCGATATTCAGGGTTTTTGTGGAGACAGTCATCCATCCATTCTTGTGACTGGCTGCTCAGGCCTTTGGGCCCAACTTTGTACCAGATTTTTTCGGGTATTGATTTGATTGCCGTTGAGATCTCTCCTAGCTCGATCTCAGAAGATTGAGTTGGTGCGGCACGATGTGGCAGAGCGGCCGTTCTGGCGGGGTGGAAATAAAGAAGGAAAAGGAGAATTGTCAGCGTTGTGATGGCAGCAATTGCCAATTTTGCAAGAGATGGCGACCGTTGGGATTTCATCATGAATATGTGATCAGAATTGGAGAAGAGGAGGGAACTTTATCTCGAGCAAACGCCATCGCAAAGATAAGGGGCTGGTTTGACGCCGCAGCAATCACAAATTGCTCACCCCAAACGCCGGGTTGGACTATTTTGGGGGGCAAAAGATGCCAAGCCACCCCCAAATAAGCGAGAGACACCCTGGCAGTCCACTGGGGTTCCGAAGTTTAGCCTTGTTGGCGCCGCTAGATCCAAAGTAAGTCGCGGCGTCGCTAGCGCGTGGTGGGGCCGTATGTAGGCCTTGTATACCCGCCTGGTTTTGATCCCTCGGGTACATTGCAGGAGCATGGATTCTGGCGAGGCTCTGCTCTTGGGAACTACTACTTACTTGAAGTAACTCTCGGCTATCTGTTTCCTCATTTCATTTCGCATTGTTGAAATCCCCTGGAACCTTGGGAAATCCAGCAACATGCGCGAAGCACGATTATTTTCACACTCATTACTATTCAGTCTATCGCTGGCTCTCGAGTTTACAAACCCACCTGCCTTCGAAGCAACCAAGGATTTTTCGAGGAATCCAATGTATAAGGATGGCTCACTCTTGAAGATCAAATGGAGTGAAACGACCCAGAATAATACGTCTTTAACTCTATGGCAACTGAACGGAACTCAATTTTTGCAACCATTCGAGTACCTCACCCGTATGTCTAACAATGGATTTGGCTCTGGGGTTTCCATACTAAGTTTATGTTAGAGGGTATCTCAGGAAGTGTCACATCCTTAGACTGGGCGGTTCAGACCACAAAGAACCTTACATTCTCAAACATGTTCTATCTGTGTCTCTTTTTGGAAGGGGATTTATCCTCTCTGGCAAACAGTCACTACTTCAACATCACAAGCAAGCATGAGGACCCCGACTCCGAGACATCGACTACCACACCTATTGCAAGTATTACGACAGGCTCCACCTCACTGAGCACTGGGATTACAACCCAATCATCGACTCCACGAACAAATACGGCAGCTGTACCAACCCCTGCTACTTCATCTGATAGTCCAACCCCATCATCAGAGACTTCAAATGAGATGGCTACCGGAAGCAAGGCCGCTATTGGCATCGGGGCGTCCGTTGCTGGTATCATGATCATTGGAATTATCTGGTTCTGCATCAAGCGACAAAAAAGGAAGGGAAATCAAATGCCACCGAGCTACCTCGATTCCCGAGCCGTTCATGATATGCCTAAACACCATTTCCATGATCCCAGGCTCGATATAAAAAAGAGAACGCAATTTTATGAGCTGGGCGTCAATCGTCACAATTCATCTGCACCATTCGAGCTTCCAGGGTATCCATAGTGAATCTCGTTTGTGAGCATCCATGTCAAACGATCAAAAAGATGCGAAGCCATAAGATCCCGACCCCAAAATCCAGACGAATAATAAAAGGAGCATCGAATTCCCCATTATCGTCATTTTTAGTGAATTCGATAGTACAGCGCTGTTCTCTTGAAGAATCTAGATTGGACCTTCAGTTCGAGGATGGAAATGCCAGACGCCGAGACTATTGGCGTCGCGCCAATGAAGCTCTTAAGGGAAAAGAAGAGGCTTCAGGGGTAAAGATTATCTCGATGTTGACGATGAGCTATTTTATATTATTGATAGAGATGGGATGGTGGGTGAAAGACAGGGTTTTGATTGAATTAATTGATTTTTGGTATTTTTGGGAGTCATGGAGCGCATAGCCGAGAGTTACGGGTTTTGTCTCCTGGATTCGCTGATAGCCACGCTGAATCGGATTTGTTAGCATTCAAGCAATTCCAAAGCCTATCCATCTTGCATTACCTCCATAGTGGTGAACCACTTCGTTCGCTCCAAGTTCTTCTCTTCCTCGCCACTGTGTCGACCGTAATTATATTGAAAGGACTTATCTGATGCCTTAAAAATGTCGGGAGGTAAGGCAAGAAACATGTTGATATGTATTGCTTGGACTTCCTCAGTGTGGTTAAGTGCCATGTCTACAGGTACCGGGCAATCGATGAGCACCCTTTATTATGGTTAACTTCTTAAAACGCAGTGCAGGGTTTCCCATGACGTCCTAAGGTCCGCTGCGGATGGGCATTAGCCGTTCCCCACAGCGGATTCACATTACCCGCCGGTGCATCATACCAAGCCCTGCAATGAAGATAAGAATCGAGTGGATTTCCTCAATCTGAAAGAGTTTTCTACATGTTACCATTGCTATATTAAGGCTCAGTATGGATTCACTCAAGGGAAATACTGCTCTTATCGTGAGTAGTAGATGTGATCGGGCTCAACGCAATGATGCTAACCAAGGCATAGACTGGTGCCTCCATGGGCATTGGTGAAGCTATTGCACTCAATTTGGCGGAAAACGGAATGAATATCGCGCTTTTGGCCAGGAGTAAAGTAAGACAACATTGAGCATCTGATACGCTTGGCACTAGTCATGCTAATATTGCTAAGGACAAATTGGAAAATGTCAGAGTCAAAATCCAACAGAAATTTCCATCTGTTCGAGTCCAAAGTTTTCCTGTTGACATTCAAAACCACGCCGAAGTTGATACGGCAGTCCAAAGCGTCATCACAGAGCTAGGTGAGATCGAGGTTCTGATAAACAATGTGAGTCCAAAATCCCTCTTTATTGAGGCCGTTAGGGTGACATCTGACTGGATAAAAAGGCTGGCCTTGCACTTGGTGCACCAGCCAGGTTCTGGGAGCTCCCAATCGATCTGGTTACCCAAATGAATGGCACCAATATCGCCGGTGTCATGTACACAACCCATTCGGTACTCAACAGAAGCATGTGGCCCGGGAAACGGGGCACCATTATCAACGTTTCATCTGTGACTGGTCTGGAATGCCCTCCATTTGATGGTGAGGCTGTATATCATGCGAACAAAGCTTGCATTGAGGGCTTTACCAACAGCCTGCGCATGGAAACAGCCGGTTCGGATATTCGAGTTCTAGCACTGCGGCCAGGTTGTGTCGTTACCAATTTCCATCTGCAAAGGGTAAAATATGACAACGATGCCATGGATGAGTTCTTCTACGGTTATGAGCCCTTGGTATCCGAGGATCTTGCCGACGCAGTTTGGTTCATGCTTAGCCGCTCTGGAAGAACTTCAATCAAGGCACTCGATTGTGTGCCAACAGCACAAAGATCACTGACTCTATTTGATCGAGAATGGAATACCAGACGAGATGAGAAGGCTCATGGCTACACTTGATATATCGAATGTGAATTCAATATCAGAAGTAATTCCCGTTAACCCCACAATACACATGGCCCGCATCACATGGAATATCCCACCACAAATCGTCAGAAAAATTATCGCAAAGAAGCTGATCATTTAATGGAAGATCTAGCCAATCAAAAGAGGGCTCTGGGTGAAGTAAAATATCCGACAGAGTGCTTGGATCCTCGAGCACCATTGCCTGGTTCAAATCATCTACATCAGCTGGGATGATTTGCAAAGGGTGGGATATATTGCCAGGATCACCGGCACCGGCCTTAGGTTGCACTGCACTCTCTGGCGTAAAACTTGTACCATGATCAAATGCCGATGGCATCTCCCCTTCCTGTGCAAGAGATGCAAGAGCTTCAGTTGCTCGACTGTACTCTTTTCCAGGTGGGGTCATCAATTTGAGAATGTGCAAATTCAAGTCGTATAGGCTGTTTGAACGCCTGGCCAGCTTTTCGTCCTTTGACTTTGAGTTAAAGAGATGAATGTGTGACGCTGTTACAAGACTCTCAATAGCCAAGGGAGATAGTCGGTGCTATGTTGCAGGTTAGGATTCATACGGAGACGAATTTCACAAGAGAAAGAGGATCAACTTACCAAAGGGTAGAAATTTTTGAAAGAATTGATGATATATGACACGCGGATAGCCGAAAATGTTGCCGATTGAAGATGTACCAAATATGAGTCCTCCAAGGTGTGTAATAACTCCATAGACGGATGCCCACGAATAAATGGACGATGGAGCATGATCTTCAAGGCTTGGTACAACAAGCTGCGAAGAACATTTAGTTATGTAAAGCTAAGTGTCCTGAGCGTTTGGTACGTACTTAAATTGGTAGACATGCGCTGGCAGTTGTTTGGCTGCCGTAGATGGAAGTCTGAGAGGACTAGGCAGGTTGTTGTAGAACTCAGACATAGCAACGTGTGTCTTTGTCACCTGATCCTCCTTCTCTTCAGAGGAAATGGATCCTGATATTGCATAGCTGATTCAGGCACCATTAGTGATCATTTTGAAGACTCCCCTCCCACTGGGGATTGAACCTACATTTTATCCAAGGCTGGCGTGACGATTTGTAGTAGATCGCAGGAGAATTGAAAGTTTGACATAGAGTAAGATGTCAACTTAGCTATTTTAGAATCTTTCAAAGCAGGCCATATGCCATACTCCACACTGGGAAGTATTGGGACTGATATTGACTCCATGTCCGATTCCCGGATAGCACTTGCTTGACCAAGAATGCGACTTATATGCCTGTGGATGTAAGCTTCTGAATACCTCTAAAAGGGTAAGACTTACCTTTCTAGCATCACGATGCCTGCCCACGCAATTGAACGAGCCTGGGCTACGTCTTGTGGACCTATGGTTGAAGCATCTATTTCAAGGTTCTGCCTGTGGAACCCAAGAGTCATCGCATGCCGAATGGCAATTCCTAACTATATCAGAAAATACCATGGATTCGCAGTAGAATTACTTACCGACGTATTGAGTTGCCAGAGCTATGTTCTCCATCAAAAGTTCAGTCTGGGAGATAAGGGCTGCTGAGAGAACAAGTGAGAGGCTCGGACATTCAATTTGGTCGAGGACTGATGATTTTGCATGCTCCAGAAGTGAGGTTCTTGACGCCTTGAATCCAAAGGCGGGTGGTTCGGAGTGGGCAATATCTGTGCCGTGGGCGCTCAAGGCCAACAAGGCCGCCAGTAAGGTGGGCGTGCAGTAGCCGTTGGCACAATTCGCGAAGAGGTCTTTTCGAAAGAGAGGCTCATGAATCAAAAGTGGCCAGGTGTTCTGCCAGGTCCAAAACTCCTCCAAGAGTTGATCTTGAAGGCCGTGTTCAAAGAAGAATGGACATTGGTCGATTAGTAACACCCCATTGACGATAGTGATCTTTTGTTGAGATGTATAATGACCCTCGTGGGATTTTCGAAGGAGACTCAAGTGACCATACGCACTAGAAGATCGAGATTCTGGTCCATAAAATGGGAGATCTGTCGAAATTTTCTGAGGCAAACTTGGAGGGTGTGACTGTGGGTCTTCCAAGATGCTTTGTGGTGTTGGTTTATCATTCGTACTGCGCCTGTATTGGGCAAGCTGATCTTCCAAGAGCGCAATCCTGGCGTGAAGGGCGTGGATATAACATTTTGTCGGAGGCCTGTTCTACTTAGCAACTTCCGGTGTATAGCCGTTGGGTTGACTGACTTTCGCTTCTCAAGGTGATGTGTATATTCACACTCACGACTCTCCCTCTCACACAGACCGCATACAGGTTTCTGGCCATCGCACTAGCCGATTTCAGCGTCAGCCTTGTATTCCATCTTTTAAGTGCAGCACATTGCCTACTCTACGTTTTCTTTTCCGACATGATGTGCACGCAATAGAGACACGCTTCCTGTCTGTAGTCGACATTCGGAGGTTTTACGCTGTCATATAAAGAATGACTGCGTCAAAACCGAGCTTTTATGCGTCAACGTTCTCTCTATACCTCTGTCGATCCTGATATGCGATGGTTGTCAAGACGGAGTTTCAGACATTTGAGGGTTTGTCAAGGCTCAACGGGATGACGTAATCACCAGCGAATACCTACCTAGGTAGCCTCAAATTATCTCTACTTCCGCTGCGAAGCTCTTGTCCGCATTCTAAAGACTACAATCTGAAGACTACAATGGAAGATTTTTCAATGATGATGAAATGAATTTGGGTATACTGCTCCGCTGATGCTAACAAGACAAAGTAATACAATCAAGATATCCATCCTATACACGACATGACCTCTTTCAAGAGAGTCTGAGGCCTCGTTAAAACCAGCTGGGATGAAACCCTCTGGGACAAATCCCCCAACTGGGAAGAGTACCTCAATAATGATTGATTTGGCCCCACGGGCACCGAAAACAAAGGGTATCAAGCCCCTGATATCCAACTTCCCCACAAAGCTCAATGGCCGTCCTCGACGCTGCCATGAGACAATTTCCTCCTCAGTTTCCGGATCGCACCTCGGCACTTGTCGAAAAGGACCTTCCCGGCCAGTGGAATGAGCCATTGTGGCTCGGCGACAGTAGAGTCGACGTTGTCCGTCGAAGTAGATGCTGCGTGTGGCCGCAGAGATTGACAAAATGGAAACAGCGCGTCGTCGCAGCTGTTTGTATCGAGATCCCGGTCTGTGTCCTCATCACTGTCTTGTGTTGTTGGCAGTGTGAGATGTGATTCTTCCCATGGCTTTTGGTTGTTGTGCACAAGCCAAGTCGACCGAGTGAGGGTTGATGTCGGGTACGGAGGTCGTGCCTCCAATTGAAGTGGAATGTGTGACCCCTCCACCAGGGTTTCGATGCTGAAGATGGACCTTGAGTCCTCCCAATCTTCTCCTGTTGGTTCAAGGCCGGTTGACTGGGTAGTTTGCTGGTTGTTGTTGACCCAGTCTTCTAACCTTGAGTTCCGGAAGATGGCTTCTTCGGGGTCGAGGTCTTCGAGGTCGGTGTCCATTGAGGTGGGACGATTATACATTTGCCGTCCTGTACTCGAGTCGAGAGGATCGGCGCGATAGAAGCCATCGAAACTTCCGGGAAATATAGTCTGGTGGACATGATATGTCCTATCTGGGTGGTTAGTATAAACTCTAATGCATGATTCCATGGATGCTTGCCGTGAGTCGAGGTTCCCGTTATCTATGGGGATGGCATCAAGCCATTCGAAGGCCGGAGCCTGGTAGGTAGGCACGGATGTCATCGTGCGTTGTTGTGAGGAGCCTTTTTGGGTTTTTGTTGTAAGGCTATGTTGTTCCTGACTGACTGATGGGAGGCCCATGTGGTGTATGAGTACACGATATACTCTGGAAGGTATAGGGTTGAACCACAGTTGAGTCTCAAGTGATGATGAAGTGACGTAATTGTCAGAGGAATCAGAGGAATTGGAGGAAGTAGATGTAAAAGAAAGAAAAGAAAAAGGGAAGAAGAAGTTCAGAGACTGATCTTATCGTAAGAATACTAGTCTGTTCAAAGTGTCGGGGCAAGTTCCATAGAAACAGATGTCCTGGGCTGCCAGAGTGTGTTATCATTGGATGATATGTAGGTTTGTTGCATGAACAGCCATGGGTGTAAGTATAAATGAGCTGTGGTGATGCGCCGCCGCCAGATTTGGAATATCCTGGGAAGTCAGGTCGGGCCCCCTAATGCGGGTTATGCTGGGATGGTAACCATTCACATTGGCCGAAGATACCCTTTGGCCAATGACAATCATCTAGCAATGTTGAATCTTCTTTCACTAAATAGGCGCGGCGAGTTTCGCATCATAGTGACAGCAGAAGTCAGAGGGAAAGGGGGGCATGAGATGGGCTGGAGATGAAGCACTGGGGAGTAGGAAAAGGGAGATATAGCTGCATGATACAGGGAATAGGAGGTTAAAAAGCTGTTTGAATAAGCACTGATAAGTTAATAAACTGTGAAATACCAATAATCTTGATACCCTAATCCAGGGAGTTGCTGGTCGTGTAGAGAAGCAAAAGTAAAGGCCAGCTGCAATATTCATGAAAACGGAGGTAAATGGCACCAATAGGCCCAGGCGACGAATTGTAGAGTATGCTCTGGGTCAAAAGATCCTTACTATGGTATAACTAAATGAAGTTTGAAGCTGACTGCCCATCTGGGCAAGTGTCGATCTATACCTGTAGACCTACTGAATCTACACTATCTCCATGGCGGTTCAATCTTTGAAAAGAGGGAAATGATATGCATTTGAGTCTCAGGTCATCTAGAAAGCAACATAAAATCAAAGCCAAAAAGTATCAATCAGCCTTGCCATCTGAATTTACCCTCCCTCAGAGTCTTCACCACGCCCAGAGGCATGAACTCGCGGTTGACTGCGGCCAAGCCACCGTAGGTTTGAACCATCTCTTCGTAATACAGCTCCGCCACCCAGCACCAGTAGGGCGTCATTTTCGACCAGTGGTTGTTGATAGAGGCTTTCTCTGAAAGATCATCTCCGAGAGAATCCTGCTCCCTACTGAAGCCGAGCGTCAAAGGCACCTTCTTCTCCTGCGGGACCTCATTGAGTTGATTGTATACATCCTTCAGAGGACCACTGAAGGTTTCAGGGTATCGACTGTACTCTTCGAAGGACATAAAATCACTGGGTCCATATTCAATACCAACCCCTGTCGAGTCTCCGCCACCGTTGCTCTTGAACTTTTCTTTGGCCGTCTCGTATGCAACTTCTCCCTCCAAGGAAGCTTTGTGAAGCAGCTTTCGGGCTGTTGTCTTGATGTTTTCCCGCATTGCAAGTAGTCTGATGAACGGGTTCAGGAGGCCCAAGCCACCCAGTTCGACGGGGTAGTAGAAGAAGCCGTCAGGGAGTTCATGGATATTGAATCGCTCTGAGATCACAGTGCGAAGGTATTCGGTAACGCCACTCACTTGATTACTGGGGCTGGAATCCTCGGGCTTGTTGAAGAGTGTTCGCTCAATACGGTTGAGCGTTGAAATAGCCATGTCGATGTGGCCGCGACCGAAGCAGATGGCAGGTTTGGCGAAATTATTCGTGAAGAAACGGCCGAAGTAGCTATTCCATGCCTGCACCCAGGCAAACACACTCTTGCATGATGAAAGCTGCCGTGAGAGCTCTTCGATGTGTTGGTCAACCTGAGCTTGGTCGATGATGAACCGTTCCTGCGCGGCATCAAGAACCAGAAAACCCCATCGGATGTCGCCTTGAGGAAGACTCGAAGACTTCTCACCATCCGTTTTTCCCATGCGTACTGTGCCGGTCTTCTCTTGGTTGAAGTTGAGCCCCATAACTTGAGAAAATTGCTTCATGGCGTCCCAGGCCTTGTCACAAGTCTTCTCTGCTCCCCAAAACCAGAAGTCGTCGTGCAGTCGATAGAGGAACGCACCGTCTGCGTGCTGGTTGACTGTATAGTCCATGCAGAACAGAACAACTTCTCCAAAGCAATCACCGAGCGTGTGACTCATTGGGAGACCGCGCTTGCGTGTTTGAACGGGCCCATTAACGCCATCCTGGGTGAATTTGAGAGGAGCCTCCAGGAAGGCTTTGAAGAAGTTGAGCCAGGTTTCGGAGAACCCGAAGAACTTCAGCACAGCTAGCAAGGTGGCATGAGGCATCGAGGGTCCGAACCATTCGAAGTCCGACCGGATGGCAGTAAACTCCCCATGATGATGTTTGTGGATGATGGATTCTGTGATCAGGAGGTGGAGAAGAGAATGTTTAGTGTCCAGGGGGTTCTTACCCTGTGAATCGTCTTCGCCGTCGTAGTCTCGCGCACCTTCCTGCTCCGAATCAGGAAGCTGGCTCATGAAGTAATCCTCCTCGTAGGTTGCGCGTCGCAGTTCATTAATCCTGCCGGTGGTTGTGATACCACTGCGGCCGAAACTGAATTTGCGTCGGTTGATGTATTCTTCGGAGACATCTTCACGCAAAGGCTTCCATTCACGAGAGTGCAAGAATTCCACAAATACCTCTCTCAACTTCACGGCCCATTTTGTCCCCAGGTACTGTAACAAGAGGGCGTCCAGAAGATCTTCGTCCATATAGAAGCGGTATTTTCCATTGAGCTGACGACGCATGTCAAGGGGGATTCCTTTGCCATCAGTGGTCCAGGACCAGCTCTCCAGTGAGGCAAGCCGCATGTTGAGTACATCAGCCACTTCCTGTGCAACCTCTTTGTTTCGCATGAATTCCTTCAAAATCGCAGCCTTTTGGTCATTAAGCAGGTCAGTCTTGAGAAGCGCCTCAGAGACCCATTTGAGTGTGTCAACATCGAACCATGATCCCTTGGACAGTAGGTCTGCGCCAAATGACTGGATCTTGGTTCGGATCTTCGTGAAAGCCTGCCGGGAGAGCTTAGTCTGAGTAAAGAGACCTGAGAGGTAGGTGTGAATGGCCTCTTCCTTGACATGGGTGGCAGAGTTGAACACAAGAGACTCCCAGGTGGCACGTTGCTCATGCATCTCTGTTCGGCCAGCGGGCTCAAGGCTGGAGTCGGGCTTGGAGGATTGGTCTGTATCATTTTCATCCGTGTTGGGGGTAGCTTGTTCATCCAACTCCGAGAGCCACTCGGTGACTAAGTTGCTATAGAAAGCACCGTGCCCATGTTTGATTTCCAGATATCGCAGATCTTTCTCAAGCAGGGAAATTCGCGCCTGGAGCGATGACTGTGAGATGGAGGAGTCATATCGACTTTGCAAGAGGAAGCGACGGATGTTCGCGTGGTCCGCTCGTTGCAATCGTCCTGCACCCGGCTCCGAGGATACATGGTCATGGTCTGTTTCGGAATCCGCATCCAGGTCCGTGTCATCTATGTCGAGAATTTCCTTGGGATAGCCCTTCAAGCGTGAGATTCCATCCAGTAGTATCTGGGCGCGAGAGACTAGATCTTTTGCTGCACTGGCAGCTGCGAGGATCTCATTCTTATGTTGATCAAAGATGACGCGTTGTTTGGAAAGTTCCTGTATTTTGGTGGCGGTGATGGACTTGAGAGTCTGCGGCAACGCTCCATTCGATGCCATGATGGGATCTCAGTCAAAGATGAGAATCAGGTTGTCTTGATCAAAGGTTTTTACCAAAAGATTCACGGGGTTGACGATCATTAAATAGTTAGCTTTTGAGTCTGTTTTGACTCAGAGCCACAAACACGGTGATCTCATCTGCGGCTCAGCGACACGCGGGATCCTGATGGGGTTTGGCTCGTCTGCGATGACCCACTAAACTACTTGTCGATCGGCCTCATTTGGGCTCACTTGAGGATCATTTCTACAATGTACCTTTGCTTAAAAACGTTTAAAAGTGAATCAACTATGAGTACTTGAATCTAAATAGGCGAAGTCCTAGCTGACCTTGCATCCGAGCTTTGGAAAAGGGTCCATCCAAGGTTTAGGAAGTGACAGACTTCTCAACCTCCCATGTAGCAGCAAAAGTGGCCAGATCTTGGCGGATCTTCTCTTGGTATTGTTGACCAGCAAATATTGCATCCACAGCCCTGAGCGTCATGTCCAAAAGATCCCCCCGACTCAAACCGAAATGGTGCGCGGCCAAGAGGTGCTCATTCGACACAGGGCTGCAGAAGAATCCCACATCATCGGTCTGTAGCCCCAGAATCAGGGTGAAATTAGCACTGTGGTTTTTTTTTTTTTTTTCAAGACTCGACCGACTTACACACAGGGCAATGGGGCAGTCTTCGTGTCGCCAATACCCGAAATGGTGATCCAGAAATCCCCCATTGATCATTTTAGCATGAACGTTGCACGAAATACACAACTCCAAGCCAAGCTTGCGCTTAACAATCTCTCTCTTGATATCCTCCGGCACGTGTATCACATGTCCGATCCGATCGGGTTGGAATGAAAGCAGCATTTCTAGCTCGCTTGGCGACCCGGACGCCGCAGTTTCACCAAAGTGCAATGTGATACCCAAACCACTCATCTTGGCTCTATGAAATGAGTCCTTGAAGATACTGACATCACCTCGTGTCGGGTTTCCACAGATATCCACGCCGACAACCCCGCGTGGCTGATTCTCGATGGCAAGGTTGATGATTTGGTCTGCCTCCGCCGCAGACATGTTGCCTCTATCGATGGCAAGGATCAGAAAGATGGACATTCTTGAATTTTTGTTCCTGAAGGCTTCGATGGTTCCCAGCACGGTATCGACATATTGCTCTCGACTGATATTGGGTGATTTTCGAGGTATAGTCCGCAGCTCAAGATATACAACTCCATCGTTGAGGAAGTCTTCAAGAACAGAGTTTGTGGCATATACCAAGGTCTCTAGGTCATCGCAGAGTTGGTAGGTCAATTTGGAAAATGTTGAGAAGAATCTACCTTGGTGAGATGGTCGTGAATGTACAATTCATCTTCGCATTTCGAAAGACTTACGTTTCTAGGGTGAAATCCACTTTCCCAGGTGGCATAAGCATTAGGGGATCCTCAAGTTGGAATTCTGGGCTTTGTTTCTTCTTTTGTAGCCATAGCTCATGCAGACATTGGCGGCTAATGCTGCCACTGAGGTGGGCGTGCAGCTAGGATAACTCAGCATGATACACCAGGTTTTTTTTTTCCAGTGACAGGTAACATACCTCAATCTTTGGAAGTGCCCTCACAAAGTTTTCGTCGACTGGTTTGGGAGACATGATTCGGAGTCGATAGGTGGGTGTTGCCCAAGTGGAAGAAGATGCAAGTCCTCAAGTGCTGGGGTTTAAAGCGGGGGGCCGGCAGGTGACTCTGTTCTGCGCTTGCTCTGCATCCTTTGACGATTCTACAATCCAGTCGACACACTTCAACAGCCATTTCGAGCATGCTTACTACTTAAGGATACTGCTGTTGCGTGCTCGCAGTCCATAATTATGGTTGTAGTCGGTCTATAGATGTTTGCCCAGGTAGTGCCGGCACCATGGATCAACAACCAGATTCTAAAGTTTCTAACAGGTTACATTGACTCAAGCACAAAATCGAGAGAAAAAATTAATTTGCTTCTACTTAACTAAAGTTGTACTCCGTATGAGAGGCGAAAGATTAAAACTGAAGCTTGCAAATTGTTTGCTTCCAAGGTGAATAGAGAGGTCTCAACAGTCCTGAAGTCAAGATGAGTCAACAATATATAATCATGGACGTGTGCAAATTGAATATAGAATTGAATTGACTTTGGGGCAAATCGAACATTGAGAGCTCCCTAAATGATTCCCGAATCCGTTGGCTATGATAGTAAATGATGTGAAGACTTGCTCCGGTGATCCAGCCACGCATGTCTCTAATGTGAATAGACTCCCGCAAATGCGATGATGGCTGGGACGAACAACAAGAGGTGTCACCAAGGCCAGACTCTTAAACCTTCTCGTCCACAGAAGCTAAACAAAAGAACAAAAACAAAGTGACAATCTCATATGAGAACAAAAGGACATAAGTTGAGGCTTGGACAGGTGAGTCGGTGGATGCAATTCTTTCAGTTGAAACATAGCCAGACTTCCAGGCCCGAGGCTAGCACAAACAGATAACAAGACAAAGAAGATTCAAAGATAGTACACGGGAGATAGTAAACATGAAAACAATCGAAACAACTTGGGGGGTATCGCTATGGTGGGCATGGTAATGGCGCAGAAAATGAAAATCCGAAATTGCACAGATGGAAACAAAGAGTGGGATATGATGCAGTTGAAAAGCAAACGCCGGAGCCTTGGTATATGCTGAAGTGAGTAAGAACAGTGTTCCACGTGATACACGAGTGGAAGCTGTGGTGGAAGAGATTTGCATATGAGTGACTCATTGCAAGAATGAAGAGTTGGAGGTTGTCGACACGGTGGGTGTCAGATTGGGTGAGCAGTCCCTGTCTTCGGGGCTTACGGGCTCACTGCGATCCTGCGCTTGATCCCTGTCACGTTCAGCCGAGGAAGAGCGCTTGAAGACAGTTTGGCCGATCTGGCGGAAGATTCCCATACGCTCAGCGCGGAGCTCTTCGAGGTCCAAACGCTGAACAGGAACAGGGTCCTCTTTAAAGATCTTGCAGAAGAGAGTTGAGAACAAGTACTGGTCACCACTGTTATCGTACAGAGGCAGGTAGCGGTAGCCCTGTGATAGACTAGTAAGCTTGGCAGTAAAGGTGGCCAACTGCACGCTGTTGTTGTTTCCAGCGCTGCGACCGTCCAGTGAGCTCCAAACAGTCCACCGAACAAAGACTAGGTCGGGATATTTTGTTTCCAGCGACAGCTTGAACTTGTCGTTGAAAACAGGGCTGTAGCCATTGCTTTGCTCGATTTTGGTGCGCCGACGGTGTGGGTAACCAATTCCAGACATGCCATTGCGTGCCGAAGCATCCATACCACCCTCACCAAGAACGAAACTTTGGCCACGGTCATCCGCACTGAACATCTCAATCTCAACGTAAGGGTTGATGCTGTCATCCTGGCCAATCGTACGAGGGCGCGGCAGCTGTTGGGCAGAGATGACATCGACGGAGAACCGAACCATTTTGCGCTCCGTTTTGCGCTTCTGGGTTCCATCTTCACTGGCAGGTAGGCGAAGACTTTCAGGCTTGAGGATGTAGCCGGTGCGATCGGTGCCAGCCGCGAACATAGCCTGATTCATTTGCATGCCAATGTCGTATGTTTGCCAGTTCAGCGCTGCCATTTGTACACCACGGCGCCAAAACTTATTCGGATCAAAGTTGGAAGAACGAAGTCGGAACCCGGAAGGATACACACGCGTGAGATACTTGCGGTTGTGTGTCTCGAGTGCAACTTTATTCTCATGGTTTTGGGTAATGCCCTCGAAAGAGCGTTCGGCGAATGAGTAGATGTGATTGTAACGCCTGCTCTCTGGGGATGAGAAACTGTGCCATTTGTAGCCGCGGGTGTAAACGCCCAAGTCGGATAAGGGCTTGGTGATCTTGCTTTTCTGGCGACGTTTCTTCTTCTTGTCATTCTGAATGGACACCAGAGCCCCGTCACTGTCCTCAGTGGCGCTGCTCATACTCGTCGCAGTGAGGGATCTTCTATCCTGTGAAATCAGAGGACCGATGCCGTCGACAGATCCAATAGTAGGGGGGCTGGACAAGGATGGAAGAGGCAATTCCGAAGGTGCTGGTCGCACGAAAGGCGTACTGGCACTGCGCTTGCGGCCGTGCGTGCCAACAGAGCTGACTGTGTCCTGGCGAGGATCGAATTCGGTCTCATCACAGGTCTTGACCTTGACCAGGATGCGACCTTTTAATTCCTCGGGCGATGGAAGGATATGACAGTTCGTCATCAAGGGTTCAAGGATGAGCTGGTCCTTGAAAGTCTCCTTCATGATCTTGACCATCGCTAATTGCTGTTCCGGATTGCAGTGAACTTCAAGAGAGAGAATCAGAGGGAAATCGCATGAAATAAAGGCATATCGGTTGATGACAGTGATACAATCAGCAAAGAGGACGCTGGTGGTCAAAGTGCGGCCATGGGAAACAATCGGGCGTCCATCCGCGCCATCCCAACAGTCAATCTCGACGCAGCGGCATCCTTGTTGAAGTGCGCTCACGTAGGCTTCGGTGCTCGAGGCGCCAGCCACCTGGCGGCCGAGAAGGTACGTATTGTGGGAGCTGGAGATGAAGTACTCGTTCAATGGGCGGTCGAATCTTGACTGTGGAGCATGTGATGCATAAATCCCATTGCTGGACGAAGCCAAAAACGTGGAGAAAGAATCCAGGTTCATATGCATCACAGGTGGAATGAGTTCAGAACCTTCAGCGGAGGGGGTTCGGGATTTGGTAGATCGTCGAACAGTCTTGTCAAATAGTGCAGCCCAATAAGCACGATCAGAGTCAACGTCTTCATTTTGCACATCACGGAGGAAAGTCAGGAATTCATCCTGGCTCATTCCTTCTTTTGTGTTGGCAGTGTGATGCTTAAATATATCCTTAATGTCCTTGCGTTCTTTCAAACGCATGAGGAAATCTTTGAACTCGGAAAAATTCAGTTTTCCGTTTCGCGCAGAGTCAGCCTTGGTGAATTGTGCGCGAAGCATATTCTTGGAACAGTTGATATGCAGACTGCGGCATACTTTCTCCACGGCTGCATAATCAAGACTTTGATCTTCAGCTGGGGGAGGTCCTTGAGGGAATAATCTTGACATTTCACGTTGCCAGTGAGCCTGCAGAACAGCTTCACTTTGAGTCGAACCAGCGAGACCAGCCATGAGGCCAATTCTGTAGCGGGAGATGTGTTCGAGTGTAGTGATCCACAAATCAAGAATACGATCGCTGGGGGCAATAAGATGTAGAGTCTTGACCGTGCGGCCCTTGGAGCGATCGGAATCCGCGATCACAATGGTAAACCAACGGCGCTCCAGGTCTTCCGGGATCTGATGCTCTTCCCGATAATTGCGAGCATCGGGGCCGACCCGGATTTCCTTGATGTCATCAATGTAGAAGCGCTTCGCAGGATTGGAGACATCCCAGAAGACCTTGGCAGCATCAAGGTCCAAAAAGAAGCGCACTTGCTTTCTGCGCTTCTTGGTAACTTTTGTGAGGACGGTACCGCGCTGAACGGCCGAGTCTACCTTGGGGGCGATGACAACCGCAGCAGGAGGCCCGGCCTCACGAGCAGCAGACATACGGCTTTCGCTTCGAAGGCTGGATGCCTCCGAGCCGCCCCAGGCGCCCAGATTATCCAAACTTTCGCCGGTCTCATCCTCGTTGCTAGAGTCAAGCGCGCTATCACGGACAGGTTGAGGTCCATTTTTACTGTCACTCCGGCGCCGCATGATGATGGGGCCGGTGCTTCGATCGCGCTTTTCATTCTGAGTGGCGGATTGTCTCCTGCGGGTAAGTTTGTTGGCAGCACCGCGAGAGATCCGTCGCATCAGGCCTGGCGCTTTTGAAGAGGCCGCTGGATCATTGAAGCTGGAAGGGCTCGCATTGCCAGGAATAGCCATCATTGATTCACCCAGCTCGAGAGGGCCTGGTGTGGGTAATGATAGACCGGTTACTCGGCCCCGGAGTCCTTCGCTGGCAGTTTGGAATGGAGTACCAGCGGGTGTAAAAGCATATGGAGTGTCGGGAGCAGGGAATGATGATGTTGGGGTAGAGATAGGGGACGAGGTGAAAGATGGCGCGTTGGAGGGCGGTTGCCCAGAAGGGAAAATGTTGGAAGGTTGTTGTCCAGAGGGTAGAGAAGTGACAACATGGTGTAGGGAAGTCGGCGGAGGGAGAGATGTTGCAAGTTTTAAGTTGGATTCAGAGTCGGCATCCAGAACCGGAGAGGTAGTCGTAGCATATGCCATGATGACTATCTATCAGAAACGACAGCGCAGCTGTCGATGGGTGCAATCCAAGCCTGTCGTGAACCGTGCCAATGTCCGAGTCACCTGGACCCAGAAATAGACGAATGAATAACAGCCTAGGGGACCAGCCTACTGTCAAGGTTCGCAAGGCTGCCGCCTGTCAAGTTGTTATGCGATCTGAGCCAAAAAGGAAAGAGAATGCTCTGACGCAGGTTGACAAAAAAAGAAAAAGAAAAGAATCGTTCAGCCACGTCCTCAGCAGAAGTTCACTGTTCTTGAACTCTGCTGCATCTTGACCAGACTTGAATGCAATGCGGAGAGCCCTGTCGAAGAGTAGCTCGCGGGAAGAGACCGAAGCACAAAAAATATGTGGGGTCCTCAGAGAGGTCTCTGATAACAATTGCAAAGGGCACTGGCCCTGTGCAACGGTCAATCTCCCAGAAGGGATCTTCTCAGCACGATGCTGACCACTTGAGACAGACGTCACAAACGACACACGGGGTATGATCTCCAGCCTCAACGTTACGGCCCGCAAGTTGTCCTTCTTCTTTCGGAGCCTGGCTGATTCCTTGTATTGTCTTCCAATAATACCGACGCTAGCCCCCTCTTCGAGCAGACGATCTGCCGGTACGTTGGGCAAGCTACTGCTCTGCGCCGGATGAGGGATGTATTGTGATATGGACCAATTGATCGTGTAATTAACGAACAAACCGGGGAGGGGACGTGGGTGCCGTTCGAAATTGAATAGCGTGTTCTGTAGCGAGTAAAAAGCCGTATGCAATGCGCATGCAGGTATCGGCCCTAGAGTTCAAAAAAAAAAAAAAAAAAAAAAAGAGCCCCAAGAACCGGCTTTGAGTGTCTGCGGAAGTCGACGGCGCTAGCGACCAAAAGCCAAAAAAGATTGTCACGAAATCCCGTAATTCGACAGAGCTTTGCGCAATTGGGTACGCTTAGAGACTAGCGATGCGGCAGGCGATGGGAACACCCGTGGTTTTTCCCCGGCGCGTCGTAGCTTGGGCAGGGGGAATGCGATGAAAATCGGGAATTGCGACAGGGTTGCCAACACAGTGGATGCAAGAGGTCGAAAAGGGAAAGACGAGCAGTCGGCGACTGGGCCGAGTTAAGGAGACGCTGATGTTGGATTGTCTAGTGCCGTTTTGAGAGTCACCGTGAGCTGATCCAGTTGCTGCACGGTTACGTGGTGGCCACAAGTCCGTATGCGAGTTGAAGAATTGCGAAAGTCGGAGGTAGCCTGAAATGATTATGCAAGAGAAGAGAAAGGGAACTGCTCTTCCTTATCGTCTGAGTCAATATATTTTTTTTTGTCTCAAGGAGGGAGGTGGAAGATGAAGGGGGAGGGAAATAAATTATTAAATCAATGAGTCCTCCGCGAATTGAAGCTACAGTGGGTACTGTGGTACTTACGATAATGTATTGCGAAACGTTGTATTCAATACCGGTACTGTGTGTAATGTAATTTTGCGACTCGGTGTATGGCGTATTTTTTGTAATATTTTTCTTTCTTTGCTTCTTGCGGTTTCTGAAGACCAGTATCCAAGGACTTCGCGGGAATGACACGGAGGCTTGGTTTTGGCTGAGACTTTTGTCGAGAATCAATATATCCCAGCAAATATAAGTTGGTCTGACAATATCTCCAGGGATGAACCGGGACAGATCTGATACCAACGACTCGGTACTCCGTAGTCTAGCCACACTCCTGCGAAGAAAAATGAGGCTGAGATCTGCCCAGGTGTGATCAATAAAGAGGCAAAGACAAAAGCAAAAAAAGAATAACCGATAGTAGGCAAAAAAAGGAGGGGGAGGTGCTTCTGAAATGATTAAATACTACAGAACCAGCGACAACGCACTTCGGCTTGCTCATTTCAACCCAGGTATGTGTTTACTACAGTTAGGTACTACTTCAATACCCAAGTGCCTATCAAAATTAAGAGCTGCCTGCCACCAGATGACGATGTGGAATGACTGCACGCCAGAAGATGGGCAGGACCCGGTTAGTCGATGTCATTGGACGATCCCTAGGATCTCTGGGGAATGTTATCTACCAAAACGGGTCGATCTGTGTTTCAGGTGCGTTGGACGGGAGCACTAGAGGGATGACGACGGACATTACTCGTACAATCGAAAACTCCTCTATACCTAGGTACCTATCAGTATCTTTGGGGCCTTTTGCGGTGTAGGGCTAATATTGTTCCAAAAAAAGGGGGTCTTGGGATTCTTTCATCCAAGCGCTCGGAGAGATTACGGGACTATGGGTTATAGTGGGTAAAAATAGCAGTCTATTCACTCAAACTTCTATAGTCTGACAAGGCGCCGGGCTCCAGTTCCCCCACAGTTGTAGAATCTATATTTCCAGTTAGGCTTTTTTGTTCTCCCTCATTTCTTTTTCCTAGAATTAGGTTGTACAACAAGGATATTAAAGCATACTTTGCCTGCAACTGACCCACATAATGTCATATTTACTTGTATTACCTCGGCGTAATTCCCGCCCAGCACCGACAGAGCGGTCCCGGGGAAGGTATGCGGAACCTTCGGATTCTTGCATTTCCTACGTTTTGATCTCGAAATATCTTTGAATTAGACTTCCCTGTCCTATCTGTGGTGGAATCATCCAGGACTCATGTTCCTTGTGTTCACAATTGACTAATTGGGCGACTACGCGTATCTCTGCCCAATGTGCCCAGAGACATACTTATAAGTAACAAAGGCACAGTGCCACAGATGATCACGACACATCAAATGAAGTTCCCTTCTGTTTGAGCATGCAGCGGGGGTGAGTGGGGGGTACATACACCGCAAAGCCCATGAATCTTTGTACCTTGTATTTACAAAATTGCAAAGTACAGAGAGCTGCTCCGTACGGAGTAGTATCATATCATCCCTGAGACGGTGAGGCTTACTGTGGCAGTGAAACGGTTTGGGCGGTGCTGTGGGGCAAACCAAGCTAAGGAGATGGTGTCTTTTTTTTCCTGCTCTTTTTTTGTTTTAGAAATTATGTACTAACTTACTAACTCGGGGAATCTGTTGTCTCCGTCTTGTCACAAACACTGGATTCCATGCTCAAAAATAGGGCTTTGGTAATCACTTCTGAGTCAAGTGTTTTGTGGTCCTTTTGCCCTACCAGACCCGCATGCGTGGTTTTCGTGATATTCATATGATATCTCTTAGTTAGCCCGTGCTTCGTACTCTATACTTTGTAATATCTATAAATGGTACCGATATAACTAGTTACTAGGAGTACGTGGTATAGTCTACTTTGAGGCCTCCACTCCGTAGTATCTGTACAATATACGAACATCTGCGGGGTTGATATCACCTACTCGTACCAACCCCGCAGCCGTTAGGGTTGATGAGCTGGCGATGCCGTGCTTTACCATTTCCTTGATTCTGACAATTCTTCACAGCTCCCAGCCGCTGCAGCCGGGAAAGAAAGGCAGAGCCCCTTACCCCTCAGATTACTAGACCTTCTGATCCCGAGCTGCGCGTAACCCGGTGAACTGGCTGTAATCAAATGCAACTGACCTTCCAGCGCCTGAGGTAACATCTTCCGGTTTTAGCAGCCGCATCAACCTAGTAGCGCTGGCAGGGATCTTGTTCAAACATCAGCTCATGATGTGGTTGTTTATCATGGTTTTTTTTCCCAATGAACAGGGATGATAAAGAACTTGCTCAAATTACCGATAGCTATGGTCCCCGACGAACCCGATTTCGATCTTTTTGTGGGAATTTAGAGGCGAATGGTCATTCCAAATTATCCTATCCATGAGATTTCTTTGTTGCTTTTTCTCCTGCGCCCTAGGATTGTGGCTTCGGGCAGGGGCAGTCCTGTATGGAACACGAAGTATACCAAGTGAATGAAGTGAAGCGTCTGCCCTATCAGGCAATCCACTCCACATTTACCTTTGGAAATAGAGCCAATGTTTGCGTGTCTTGTATCCGGCGTATCCGTGCGCTATCAACACATTGTACATTGCACCGAGCGGGTGTGGCGGGTTTGAGAAAGCACTTTCACGAGACACGACCATAGGGTAGATCAAGGCTCACAGGCAAGACAGGTTCTATGATTATTCGATGATGTATCGAAAAGCGCCACGGTATCAGTCAAGACATCATGGCGCCCGATTAACCATTGGGATGACTGTCAGTACTGCCTGCCCTATCGCCAATACAACCCCACCCTCGAATATGTAGAAAAGAGCGGTGGCTGAAGCAAGGATCCGTTGAGCCACTCTTCGGTGACCAGGCCACAGTCACTAGTCAAAAAAGGGCAAGAAAAAATATCTTGACCGCCTATGATAGTGATCCGTTCTGTGGCTCCGTATTTCAGGTGCAAACCGTGTGTCCGAGTAGGCCATTGAGCGGGCTCCACTGGAGCCAACCAGGCGGGTTTTCGACGAATACGATCATCAACGATGGTCGCAGACGGGAAGAGGATTGTCAAAGCTCGCCAGGCCACGCTTTGCCCGTAGATGGGTTACCAGCGCTGACGTGCGATCTATGACCTCGTCCAATGCGGTGTAGAAATCGTCCCATAAAATCGCAATGTCACCAACGTGTTTCAATTCCATCCCCGTGACCCGGTCTCACATTTTATTGGGCGCTTGGTCTTAACGCCGTCACAGTAGTAATATCAGCGGTGGTCTAACCTTGAATATCTGTCCAATCACGAATGGGGATGTCTCGGATCCCCCGGTGTAAAGAATGTAAAGAACAGGCTGGGGTTCAAAGACTCGGTTTTGCGTGGGTTATGGGACTGAATGTCTTACCAAATTTCCAAGGATTCTTGGGGTCCTCCATTGGCTTCAGCGGGGACTAACGCCGTTCGGCCCACTTGACAGGGTCGTTCTTTGAAATGGGACAAACTAGTGTATTACTGTGTATGTCATCACTTCAGGGGTTCCAATGATGTTCTACGTGTCTTCCAATGTTCTCTTCTGGAAAGACAAAATTACACTGTCTTAAGACACCGATCTTTATAGAAGTTATGGTCATGGGGCGAGAAGTGGTAGGCATTCCGCAAAGAGGACTCCGTACTCCGAATTAGTTAGTTACTAGTCTACACGGTGGAAGTCGCCTCGATTCCAATGAAGCTAGAGGCCTATGCCGAGCTAACTCTGCACTCCATCATTGATGTGCATGTACGGAGTACGTACATACCAGTCCGTCAATCTCGCAGCCGCTCCTTGTTGAGATCAACGGCCCTACAATGACGACACCCCGCTTTTTTGTTGATGGCCCCCCTCAGATGGGACACTTCGGAACGCCTCGGTTGAGGACAATTCAAGGGAGGAAAAATAGAAGAAAATCACTCAAGAGTCCCCTCAATTCGCTTTGATCTTCGCTGATTTCGCGGGGGGCTCTTCCGATGTACGAGTACAAGGCTTCAATCGATAGAATCAATAAAGTTCAAAGGGGAAAATTGCCACCCCAAACACCAATAACTCGGCAAAAGTTCTCTCATGCTTAAGTATTATCTCCTACATTGTCATTTTTTAGTCCAGCATCCTACGAATACACCATGTACAATGTAACTGCTAACCATGCCCCGGAGGCAAGTGAAAATATGATGACATCATGAAGACGCACACGAAATATTATTGTCCAAGTCAAATTACGGTATTACTTCCCTTTCCATACCGATACACTGACAGAAGTTTTCAATGGTATACGGAGTACATATTACCCCGTAGGGAGATGTTAGGACCGTTCAGGGGTGTAATGATCCATTGAGGCGAAAAAAAAGGGAGCCATCAAACCAAGCTACGGCCTGATCTTCAGGAGAAAACGGAAGGGGCGTATCTTCATTCCAATGCAATTTCAGTTCTCCCTTCCCCCGATTGCACTAAGCATTTAAGATTTGACTTTGGAAATTTCAGTAATGAAATCTACTCGAAACGCTTCTAAAATAACCGTTTGGGTAATACTCCGTACCCGCCCTGAAGTCCCAGGGCAACGGAACCGTTGCGCCTCAATACAGGGCACACTGGTTTTCAGACAGTTGGCACATTCGATACCATAGGAAGTGCTCTGTACACAGAATAGGTGCGAAGACATATCTATTTGGATGTGACAATTGGAACAAGCCTGCCTCCATTGTCCTGCCCACTCCGTATATTGGTTCTCTATGGTATGTACTATGTACTTGGCAAAGGAGCAGCCTAAATATACGCCGTACTAGGCCAAATCCAAGCAGGTTGTCTGAGGTTACCACTTGCAACTTTAGAAGCAAACGAAGTCTCGCTCAGGCACATGCACGTCGGCAGGTTTCTACTCATGAGAGGTACGGAGTACGAGTACGCAAAGCGATTATTGTCTGGGCATTACTAGGACAAGCAAGCCATCGCGACAATGCGACAGCAGATACATCTCAGGCACTTTCATTCGGCTTGGCCAGCGGCCAGCAGCAACTGTCAGCCCGGTTCGCTTTCGTTCCTTCGATGCGTCTTCGATGCTTCCAAGAGGGGTTCCGATGTAAACTGCCCAGTCTGTTTCACAACAATTCCTCATCTAAACGAAACAGGGGGAAAGGAGCTCCAGCTCCACACAAACGAGCCATCCCACCATCCTCGGGCCTCCCCTGTTAATGTGGCGTCCCGGGCCTGCCTCTCCAGGGCTCCATTCGTTGTGCCTGTCAGCGCCTCCCCCATTGGACTGTGGCTGAACACCATGAAGCTTCCCCATACCGACTTACGGAGTACGGAGTACCCTATACCACATTGCATTTCCAGCTGCAGTAAGTAGATGTATCTACTCCTTCCCTCCTGTTGCATTTGCTTTGTTTCGCCTTTTCGCCCGTTTGTTGCTGAAGGTGCATGTGACTCACCTTGGAATGAATCTCTCAATCATTTCCGAGGTCTGTTGGTGCGACTTGGTGATAGGATGTTGATAGCTCGCCCGCCACTGAGTGTGTAACCAGAGTCAACCATTGCGACTCGCACTGGTCCTAATGAAAATGACGCTCTTGTTTCAAGGGACAACATCCCGGAACCGGCATGATGCCGTTGCCTGTCTCAAGGTCGACAGTTTAAGTTTTGTCTACTGTTCCAGTGAGCTTTTTCCTGCCTGTGCCGATTCCGGCATGGAGCTCCTCCGACATCTACTTGGGGATCGACTTGCAGTCCACATCTCTGGGCAATCTTAGAATTTCCCGGCGATCACAAAGCATATCCCATTGGCAGAGGTGTGGTCGTATGACCCAGAATACTGATACAAGGTCTTGATTTGGAAAGGAACCATGCTACACCCGTTTGTTCAAGCTGCCACGCCTTACTTTGTACACTATATCCCGTACTCTGTACTCCATATAGTGAGCGGCATCACGGAAGAGCGGCAAGGCGGAAGGCCAGAACATCGCAACGACCACAACCACAACCACAACCAGTCGGAACGGGTCGCATGATCCATCATGTTAGCAAAAACAGGCTTCATGCCAATCTGCGGGATATTGTGGCTGGACATATCTCTGCTGGAACCGACATTGCCGATCCATCTCTCCGCTCTTGATATGTACATAACTACATACTATGTACCTAGTAACTAATTCCATTGCCCGGTCTCAAGCGGCTCTTTTCACCCTTCTCCTCACACGTCCAACCTCGGCCCTGCGATTGGCCCTGCCCAGGCTCGGAAATACGATTACGAATAGTAAGCCGACGCCGGCGTCCTGACGCAGTTGACCGGTCATTATTCGTACTGTCTTCAGCCCCAGCGGGGCAGGTCGCAAGGCTAGGAAAAAGACCCCGGGGACGCCGTTCCCGAAGCTAGCCTATCTCTTGTAAGCTAGATATGTTTCAACTTCATCCCGCGCGTCCCTGAGACTCGTATGCTCACAAGTAAATAGATTTTTTTTTCCGGGTCTCTCATCTTAATTTAATAAACCAAGATTATGAAATCCGACCCCTACAGAGTCGCGACTTACGACTTCAGGAGTAGCACAACGCGTCCACTTTACACCAGACACCCGGATCCTGACCGCAACGTGCCTTGCACTAGGCTGGGCTCCATATGTCGCAGATCTAGGGCTAAAAATAACCCCTTTGAATCTGCGATCATGAATCAAATCCCCACAGTGGACAACGTGGCTTCCAGAATTTTCATCGAAGGCTGTTCAGCCCACTTCGGTAGTTGAGTAAATAGAGAACTCCTTACACCGCGCGTTTCTCAAAGTAGCGATTTGGAAGGGAAAAAATGGGGAGAAAAAACACCACAAAAAACTGCACGCAAATCTCAAACAGCTTCAAACACTTAATTTTTACTTTCCACAGAGTGTTTGAAAATTCTTGAATACGACACACGGGTCGCCCCAGTGGCCCTAATATGGCCGTTGCCAGCAAATTCTGGTCCGGTCTTGGCGGTGCTGAAATGGGTTCCCGTGTGTTGGAAACTCGTTAAGCCCTACTTCGTATAATGCACGTTGTGTATCAGTGTCATGTTGCAATTGTGGATCCGGGCTGTGTTGCTAACGCGACGTGTATTGCTGTAATTCAGTTGGCATCCTTACAAGATTAGTACACCCGTTTCTTGCTGGGTTTCAAGTATCTCGTCGTGGAGGCTCGGTAATCCCTGTCGAGGGCACAACCTGCATTCAGCCTCTTCGCTCCACCTCTCCTCCACTTCCAAGGTTCAATCGGAGATTCACACCGACATTGACTTGCGAAAATCACACCATTGACTCCGTACGGAGCACTATGCGCAGAATTGGGTTATGGTGTGAGGCAATTCTGTGTCCATCGGCCCCGGGGTCGGAAGTCGGTTTGGAGCCCCGGGGCCCATGACTCATTATGAGACCGGGACACGTGGGCCCTAGGGCTAGCCTAACGCTCACTATGTATACTCGTACTGTATAGTATTAGGGCCCACGAGTACGAGTACATTCGAGCAGCACCTGGGGCGTGGGATAACATCTCACATACAGTAGGACTTCGATGGTCACAGCAATTTCTGTAGTGAGTCTTGACAGGAGCAAGCGATTGTTTCTGGGCTTCCAAGGTTGAACTCCAGGGCTCCAGGGCCCCAGGACTCTTGGCTTTCGTCGTTGTGGTGTTCTCCAGGTGCATGATATGGCAACAGGGAAGACACCTTGGAAATCTAAAACCTTGGAAGAATTTCAGCTTAGTCCAGGTGTACCAGGTCTGCAATTGGGTTTCCTAAGTAGGGAAATTCACACAAGATCGGGGAAGCAGAATATATATCATGTTCGGGAGTCGCGGACCATCAAAGCCGGTGTTCAACTCCAAATTGTCGTAAAATCATAGAAGTCTCCCTTTTCAGGAGCAATTATATACATCGAAGCCAACTCGACGACGGCGAGGTCGGAGTAACAACAAAACGAGAAGGGGAAAGGAAGAGGGAAAAAAAGAACACCTGGAACGCCACTTGAATACCACCCCAGTTCACTTAAACCTTTTGAGTCAATGGAGTAGGACCCTTATGGTCGAGCGATAGCTTGTCGAATGAACTTCGCCCACCATGGGCCTCCAAATCACTGGGATCCTGTCCGTATGCAACGTCAAGGTCCAAGGTATCAATATCGACCTCGTTCCAAGTCGCGCTCGTTCCAGGGACGGGGAAGAGCCACGTCAAAATGAGATACACAGTGCCTGAAACGATCACGCCGGAAAAGTAGTTCACGTTGTAGATATATTCTGCGCCGATTGGGACCTTGCATCCCACTGCACCAGCGAAGCCCACAATATTGATCATGATGCCACAGAAATAAGCCGTATAAGCACGCCACGAAAATCCGAAGGTGAAGTAGTAAGGGTCGGTGTTGCGAGCGCTGTAAAGTGAACGGATGTCAAGGTACCCCTTTCGAACAATATAGTAGTCGCAAAGCATGACGCCGGCAATCGCAGATAAGAAGAGGGAGTACGCGGATAGGTAGGTCGTGAAGTTGTTGGAGGAGGAGACGAGGTTCCACTGGAGAGTAAGTTAGATCTCGAACAGATGTTGGGTGTGATTTTCATAGAACAGTCGTCACTTACCGGACACATCGCCAGGCCAACAATAGCACAAATGTAGCTGCCGCGACGAATATTCAAGTATCGTGGCATAAGTGCAGTGAGATCAGTGCCTGCAGAGACCGAGTTGGCAGAGATGTTGGTTCCCAGCTGAGCAAGGACAAATCCAGCGGCAATGATGAAGATACCGAAACGCTGGCCGGAACTAGCACCGTCGAGGAACTTGCCGAGAAGGTCAAGTGGATTCCATGTGTAGCCGTCGTTGAAGATCACCGAAGATGAGGATGAGACGATAATGCCGATAAATGAGGTGACTCCAAATCCAATGGGAATAGTGAATAGTTGTGACCATGTAGCGTCCTTGGGTGTTCGTGCGAAGCGTGAGAAATCGGGATTGTTCATGATGAGGGCGGCAAAGTTTCCGATACATGACATGATTGCTTTTACCATTGCCCATCTGAAATCGGAGCCGTGGACAGTGTTGGATTGATGAATGATGGGACCGAGGCCGTGGGCGCGAGAGATGGCCCAGGCGAAAAAGGCAATAGCGGCGATGGGAGAGTAGATAGCCTTGGCCGTGAATAAATGACGAACCTTTTGCACAGGGAACCAGAGCGCTGGGAGAGAGCACAACCAGAAGAGGAAGAAGCTGAGGAAATTCTTGGTATCAACGCCGGCGCTGGCAGAGAGGCCGTTGTGGAGGTTTCGATAGCTTGGCCAGATAGCCTCGATCATTATAGTCACACACTGGCCTAGAGTTTGTTAGGGGTTGCCTTTTTATTTGGATAAGAAGAGACGAACCTCCAATGTAGCTTTGCACACCATACCAGATGATGGCCATCACGACTCGGTTTATCACAGGCCAGAATGATCCCCAGATTCCGAATGAAGCGCGAGCCGTTACTGGAAATGAAATGTGATAGACAGCACCGATCCGCCCCGTTAGAGTCACGAAGCACGCAGCCACGAAATATCCCACCCAGACGCAAAGCCATGACTGCCACCATGAAAGTCCGTCGACGATCATTGAGGAAGAAATCATCCATGTGTTCTATACTTTGGTCAGACTTCTTCTCTTTTTGTTTTTCTTCTCCCGTTGCATGGGGTGGTTCTCGGGGGGTACCGACAATGTTTAATGAATCTGCAATCCAAAAAGCAATATAGTTTGGCCATCGCCATTGGCGTCGTTCTGGGTCGACTATAATGATGAAGATATTCATTAGTCTCGGTCTTTTCGTTGATTTTCCTTCCATCAAATTGATAAAACAGTAGATTCTCACCAGGCCTGAGGTCACTGTTCGTGAGCATCATTTGAGCATTGGTGAGCTCAGGGTCGCTTTCGACGGCCACCTTGTCCAGCACCCATTTGAGGTTCATCGTGGCGCTTGGCTGCGCTTGTTAAAGGGTGGACAATTGAGAATTGAGTTGGCAGGCAAGGAATGGTACTGTGGGTATGTGAAGTCCCAGGAATAGACTATATAGCAGAAAATAAGATCTTGTGGGAAACCACAAGCCACGAGGGGACCCATTTGTTATAATTGTTCCACGGAATTGAAATGATATTCACAACCTAACACGATAAGACCGCACTGGAAGACCTCGGAAGTTTGGGATATGATCATAGGCCGGGAGTAACGTCAATGTACAGCTATCATTTCCGGTGACCGAACGACTCGAGTCACCGTTATCTGAGGCACCTCGACACATGATCCACTGTGGCCTCAGGGAGGAGAATCCGAGCCTATGATTGGTTGGTGGAGTATCTAATCTGCCCATCTGGGCACACCTGTGGGCCCGAGGGAGCAGGAGTATGGAGAAAAGCTGGAGATAGAAAAGATAGAAAAAGGAGCTAAATCCCCGCTGACTCGATGTGATCGAGTAATAACCAGATCACATGATCCCTCTCTGCCTTTCATTGGACTCGGGTTCCCGTGATTCTTTCCCACGTTCTCCCGATGTATTATCCGAGCAGCCTTTAGGGAGTTTGACCTCACAGCTACTCACAGTGGAGCCATGGCTTTCCTCAACTGCTAAGGGTTCTATTGACTCCTTCTTTTTCTTCCATGCTGCCGCTGCCCCATGAGAATGGCCCTTTTCTCTTTTAATCACCCCCACAGACTTCAGGAGTTCCTTTCCCACCACTGATAGTATTAGTGTCCCCACCTGGCGGACTTGCTTTTAGGTAGTATCATTAGAGCCACGAACGTTTCTCTTCCATGGCCACTCAGCTTGAATTGCGAGAGATTTTGCCTTTACTACTGCAAATGATTGAATCCAACGATCAATATGTATTCCTGTCAAAACCCACATTGGAGTATTCCAAGGTTATGCGAAGATCAAAACTACAAAATGGCAAGCGCAACAACACATGGTTTTGCGATTTTGTACTTACAGAGCTGTGTCACTCCCCCAAAGGAGGGCAGAGATGACTTTAGGATGACTTATAGAGCATACATCCCAGCCCGGACTCGAAAAGAACTTAGTGTGCGGATCTTGGCTACAAGCGGAATTCGAGCAAGCCTTTTCGTGGAGCGGCTCACAACCTCGTGGTTCCTGGCCTCGTGCGCTGCGCCAAGGAAAGACCACGAGACGCCTGGGGTCATGTTTTTACTTGCAAGGCTGTACTTGCCTTAAGGGCGTCGATCGTTGTGACAGCGACAAGGTATAGCTAACAGAAATTAGCCTGCGGGGTATAAACAGCCCTCTGGCTGTATTTAGTGGCTGGAGTGGTCCCATCCGGAACTTTAGAACTTTAAAAGAACATGGCTTGTATTCAAATAAATATTTCTTGAACCAGGAGACATGACAAAAACTAAGAAATACCTCGCACGGTAGTGACAATCATTCGGTGAACACCAACTCTACCAAATCTTATGAGCCCAGCACAATCTTGGACTGATGAGTTCCTATTTCCCTGTACAATGGATACTATCGTACACACTCAAGGTTTCATCTTTAGCGACGCAGAGCATCTCTGATGGGGGAGTCACCGCGACGGAACGAAGCTGGATAGCCGTTAGCGCAGGAACACTCTAATTTCGGAAGAAGAGATCGGGGAAAAGCGGATAGCCGGGCCTCAGTCAAGAACTTGTACAATGCTGCGAGATTATCGCTCACAAGCTCCAAAATTCTTGTTCGAATGCGGCTCCGAGCTTCCTATTGACCCCAGAACTCCTCGGAAGTCTGCAATCTATATGGACATGGATAAAAACATACCATCAGCCTCTTCCCAGGCACGTCCGGCTCCGAAGCCGAGACCAACCCACGCGGGCCAAGCTCGACGCTTGAAGAGGAGCACGGAGAATACAACTCCAAAAGAAAGACCGAGGGAGGACTTGATGATGACGGAGGAGATGGCGCGGTCCCACTAAACATTCAAAGTTCGAGATTAGCCGGGAAACTATCACATGCACCTCCAAGAATGACGAGTATCGCAGAGCTTGTGCTTCGAGCAGTAAAATAGGGCCTTTTGCATCAAGAGTGAAGACGAGCGCGTACCTTCTCGTTCAGCAGAGCTTCGCTGACAGGCTTGGTAGCCCGCGCGATCGGCCCGGATTCGTTGGATTCAGCCATTGCGAGATGTCTAGTAGCAAAAACGTCAGAAAAGCTTTATTCAAAGCTAGTTTGATAGTCCAGAAAACTCACAGGGTGCAATGTTACGGGATTGCAGAGGTGAACGTGGGCGTGAGTAGTGCAAGGAGGGCGTGTTGCAGCAAATGGAGTTGATTTGGGCAAAGGCGGTCGGAGGTATCTGCGGCTTTTCTTTTTGGTCTCTTTTTTTTTACCCTCCACGAGATCACTCACCATTCACCTGATTTTGATATATTCGAGATGCCGTTGCTTGCGGAGGTAAGCTTGCCTTTCTTGTGAATCGATGCACATCTTTTTTGCCCGAAATCTAACAAGCTGTTCCAACAGCGTCCGCGCTCTTCGCAAGAGGCGCTCCTCCGCCTCGAGAAGGGCACCGCCAATCCCACCACCCAGCTATCCGACGCGGCGCAGATTTTAGGCCTGGATTTGGCTCTATGTGAAAGCCACCCGGAGGTCCATCGGGATGTTCGAATCCAAACAAACGCTACCCCGAAGGAAGAATGGGTTCTACGATGGCTGTTGAAGAGACTCCGAAGCGGAAAGAATTACAGAGTGGACGCGGCTTCGTTCCTCTTATTGCGACAGCTCATCAATCTGATCCCGGCTAAAAACCTTGCCGCTGTCCTCAAGGATCAAAAATTCTTGTTGATCTTATGTGATACGTTTGCAGACCTGGAAACCGACATTTTTGCAGGCCTTGGGAATGGACTTGCGACCTTGAGCTCTGACTCGGAGTCCAGTCATACAGTGGGTGGCTCCCCGGTCCGTGACGATCGCCAGGGCAAAAAGCGCAAGAGAATGACGACCGAGACGGACGCAGACCCCGTGGAACAGGATACACAACGACAGAGCCCCGCTGCATGCTTCCTTGCATTTATTCGCGCATTGGATTGTCTTCATGGGTTCACGACTCTTTCGCAGCGCATACTCAGTACTGATGCAGTGGCAAATTCACACCTGAAACTTGCACTGAGGGGGGAGCCCGAGGCTGTCGCTATGCTGCTGGGTCGATCATTCCGGGTGGCCGCCATGGCCGCCAAGCAATTCTCGCACGCTGGACAAACAACCGATCTGCAGCACCTGCTCTATGTGTTCCCATCTGTGGTGGAGTTGTGGGAATTGAGGTCGTACCGCGAGGACGACGCGGACAATAAATCTAGCAACGAATTTTTCGCAAGGCACTGCTTTGCTCACGCGTTGAGGCTGCAACACTGTGTGCGGTCTGTCAAACTCGATACCGATGAGCGCGCCCACCTTCTTCATGCAATTGAGCGCATCATAGCTCTCCATGTTTTACTTCCAGCCCGCGCGGCGTTCTTTGAGCGTGGAGGGTCTGGAATTGACTATTCTAAAGATGAGCCTGATTGGAGTTCAGTCAAACCAATCACGGATACATTCAGGCCTATTATTCGCGAATTCGCCGTGGCCAAGGAAAACAAGACATCTAACGACGGATGTGTCCATCCCTGGCGATCAGTCGAGCTACTTCCCGAGCTTTTCGACAATGCCGTGCGTGCTGTTCCAAGAGACGTGTTTCGACGACAGACACATGAAGCCCCATGGCTGGAGACCTTATTCGTTGCTGTTGCCGAGCTTTCATTCTCTACAGCAAAGGAAGAAGACTTTGCGACATTCTCTTTCAAGTTTATCTTGGTATTGGAGCAGCTTCTCCAGGTAGCCTGTGACCGAAACGTCGGGCTTTCTTTGCAAACTATCATGGCCCATGCCAATTACACCGGCCTCTTTGAACAGGGTCTCGAAAAGGCTCAATGGAACGTGACTGCATTATTCATCAGTCTCGGTGTTGATATCTTCCTCCCAAACTCTGGGTTGCGGGATTCCGGTAAGCTTCTCGATGCATTGCTCGACAAAGTCATTATGCACTGGCGCGAAAACGGCACCCGAAACAAGAGGGAATACAACGTGGTCAAAAATAAAATTGTGATCCCACTGCTGCGGGGTTTCGCTGCGGCAAGAGACCTGCCTACCTTCATGGAAGTGTGGCACAACCAACTCATCGCCATTGAAGAAGCTCGCCAAGATAACGGAAACCTGAGTCTATTTTCTGTCTGGGAGGACGATGATCTTTCGAATGTTTATGCGGAGCTGATGCGAACCTCTCTTACGGAGTCCCAGGTTGCTGCTCAAATGGTCACCGCAGCTGAAAACATAAGAGACGAAACGGGCAAGGTTGCTGAAAGTGCTCAAGCTTACGCGAAACTGGTCATTGTTGAAGCAAGCTTCCGTGGCCGTGTTTCACCATTTTCGGATTCTGACAAAGTTTTGTCTTCTCTTCTCGAGACTTTGAGTTCTACACTTTCCTCCAAGCAGGCTTTGCACTGGCGCTGGCGTTTGTGGCGCTTGCTTCGCAACCTCCTAGACAATACCTTAGAGTCAGCCGACACTACACTCGCACGCTCAATCATTGGAATGGTTGAAGTCGCCGAAAAGACCATCCATCGCAACCACAAGGATCTGAGCAAAAAGCAGCTTGCTTCGTTGGAATCTTGGGAGGCCTATCGTTTCTCAATTGTCGCCATCAAAGCGCCTGCCAGTGACGCCTATCTCAGCTCTTTCATCAAGACCTCCAAGGATGTGACAACTCTCATCACCTCTGTCTCAACCAAAGATGCCAAGAAATCTATGAAGGCGCCATGGGATGGCCGCACAGAGACTGTGAACTCAGACCCCAACCTTGCTTTGGCCTATTTCCTGGCACTCGTCAGAGTCCCTGAGGTGTGGTCTCTCATTGGTTCCGATGATCGATCACGTCTTTTCCAGCATATCTTGTCTCTGGCAGCTGCCCAATATCGCTCATCTTCGTTACCTCTGGAGGCGGTCGCTGAGGAGGCAAGATTCCTTCAAGCGTGGGCTAGTGTTGTGTGCCACGAGTACATGCTCAATGCCCCCTTTGTCGTCTCTGATTTATCCCTTCTCCTTAATGAGAGTATTGAGCAAGACTCTTCCAATCGCCGACTCCTCATCGAAAGTCTGCAAAGAGTGCCGGCTCCGTTGATTACGAAGGGTCTCAGAACCAACATCTTAAACAAGTTGCAGAATGTGTTGCTCCAGCAAGACAGCTCTCCAGAAGTCTTGGTTGGCATTATTACCATGATGGCAAAACTTTCCGCAATGCCGAAGTGCGACGCCACACTCACCAGTGATTGGGAGCCTATCTGGACCGTTGCGCGCGCGGTGCCGTTGGAGGGTACTGATCTCGACCTTCTAATCATGAAGGCATTCCGAGGCTTGTACCGTACCATTCTCGCCAAACTTTTGGTTCTGTCCGAGGATGACCGGAAGAAGCTGTTCAAGAAGCTCTTCGCCAAAGTATCGAAACAAACCTCGAAGATGAGACAAGTTGACCGTGACTCTATGGCCTGCTTCCTCTTGCGATTGACTTTGTCAGAACTCTGGATCCATCGCAAGCAGTTGCAATTCGCGTTCTCGGAGAAGGAACTTGGCGAGTGCCGCCAGAAAGTCTTCGACTTAGTTCTGGCTGACATGAAGTACGTCAGAGATCAGTGCAAGAAGGGCAAATTGGAGGAGACAATCACTCTTATCAAAACCATCGATGCACTCGAAGATTTCGAAGACCTGGCCACCAACAACATTGAAGTGGAAAAGTTCTTGTCGAAGATCGAGACTTACATGGAAATGTCCATTGATTCAGGCCCTTCGCGGTTGATTCGACGCCGGCTTCTCGCCAGCAAGGGTCCGGAGATGAACATTGCTCAACCAGTCTTGCAATGCGCCGAGACCCTCAGCCTCCAATCTCTATATGATGAAGACCAGCAACTTTTCATCCGGACGACCACCGAACGCTTCCGTTCCATGCCAATGGACAGAATCACTCAAGCGATCTGTGAAATTCGCGGGCTTGGCTTGCTTGGCCAAAACTCCGGCTACAGGCTTCTTGTCATTTATCTTGCCGTCGCCTCCCTGCCCGTCGTGGAAGACAAAGAGAGCGCCGCGGCACGGGAGATTTCCTTGCTTTGTACGGCCCTGGCTGAAGCTATCCCGCAAAGCACAAGCATAGACCAGTTCTGTCTCGCATCCGAGTGCCTCGATCAACTCCTTCGCAGTCACACTCGTTGCTTGTCTCAGTGCAACATTGACGCCATCCTGGCCGCCATCGCAAGTGCGTCATCCAAGATTGGACCACAGATCTCTTCTACCTACGCCCCAACCATTTACACTCGCCTCTGTCGCCTCATGGGAGTTGTGCTCAGTCTCCAGCGTCTCAAGATCGGTGGTCGATTCCACCTCGTGGTCAACGCTATGCAGCGTCTCCTAGGCTGCCTCTTCGCTCGCTCCCGCAAGCGTGGCCGTTCTGCACGCTCTCAGACAACCCTCTCCCAGCCCTTCTGGCTTGCTCCTCTCGACTCCTCGCACGCTACCTACTACACCCGTCTGCTCACCTCGCTCTGCGATCCCACTGTGTCGGCAGTTCTCCGTCCCCAGGCTGGTGCCTCTCGCGATGCGCTGACCGATCAGACGAAGAAGGCCAAGCGCATCGCTGGTCAGTACCTGCAGTACGTTGTTATGGAATATGCGCAGTGTTCGCTTCGCGGGTCGCTATCCCCAGATGTCAAGGCTGCCATCATGCCTGGTCTCTATGCTGCTTTGGATGTCATGTCTCGTGAGTCTATGCGTGCGCTGAACGCCGCGCTAGATGTCTCTGGTCGGGCTGTCTTCAAGTCACTCTATGATGATTATGTCAAGTTCGGCAAGTGGAATAAGGCCTGATTGGGCTCTCGTAGGATACCTAGGTATCTTTCGTCTGTACACTAGCTTTTGTTTAAGAATTATGATATCCCCCAATGCATTGATGATCATATTAAATCCAGTAATTGTACTTAAAATTGGAAGAGACTTCCAAGATATGGTTTGACTTGTCTATTCTAAACTTTAGAAGTTGATGATATTGCACGAGACCTGGTGTAGAGCACTGCCTATTCTAAACTTGGAGGCAGGCTCTTTGTTTGTGAAGGGTTAGTTATATTCATCAGCTCACCTGGGCAAGGTAGTGCTTGGGGAACAACAGCGTCTTTGATATCGGAAGTAGAAGAGTAGTAAGTAGTCAGATTGATGCGGCTGGCATTCTGTGGATTTCTTAAATTGTCATCTCAAAATTTGGCATGAGAAGGTAGCCCTACGAGATCACTTGAGTAAAATGATGTTGAGGGCATTCAAACCAAAACATGCAATCTAACATTGGGGCCGTCCAGAGCATAAATTCTAGATAGGGTATCATTTGAAAATCATGAATCATACAAAAAATCAAGGTAACTCGTGAGAAAGAAGAGGGGAGAATCAATTTGCGAGGTATGACAAATTGAAGATCATCTAGATCATAGAAGTCTCCAAGGTGCGAGGGCTCAGGCATGGCACGGACAAATTGTCGAGCATTTGGTTTCGAGAGTCGGAGCTTGGTTGTCGAGGATGAGGCGAGCTTTGCAGTTCTGTAGTGTCGGGAATAGGGTTTTCGGGGGCAGTCATGTCTAGAGAGAAGCCGCTGTGGCCGCTGTGAGTGAGACACCCAACACAGCTGCAATCACTACCACACTGGCAGCTACCTGTCACATCAGAGCAGGCGCTTGGCAACCCAACAGGATATTCCAAGGTGTAATACTCTGAAGGGTGCATCAATGGCTGATTCATATGATGATTTGTAGCCAGCGGAGAGGAGTAACCGCTGGGTAAAGCTGAGTTGGGGTCTGAATAACCATTGTATGGATGCGGCTGGAAACCGTGGTCCAAAGTCTGTGTACTTTGCATGAAATAAGGGAACGCGTTCGGAGGAGCGCCGCCTTGGAAAGATGCGGTTTGGTAGGGATTGATGACGTCTGAATTTCTTTCGTCGCCATTGAATGTGATCATTGTGCCCATCTCTTGCACATGCTTTCGTGTTGTGGTATTGAAGGGGTGTGCCGCACATCCCAAGCATTGACATTCTTCTCCACAGCTACATTCGTGACAAGGATCACCACTTGACGGAGCAGCAAATGTAGACTGGGGCTGACTGAGCCTAAATGGGTCCATAGAGGGCTGGGTGATTCCAAGGCCGTTGATGGAATTTTGGTAGGTCATAGATGGCGGCGAAGTTACACCAAGGGAAATTCCGTCGTGGGACATAGATGGTTGAGAGTGGGACGGTAACATCTGCACATAACCATTTGGAGGGAAATGCTGTTGGGGATGTGTTTGGCCGATGGTAGGGTGCATGTAGTTTGCACGCGGGTGGATTGCCTGATTCTGCCATGAAGTCATCTGGGGATCACCAAAGCGCATATAAGATCGATCATTCCAAACGGCAGCTGGCTGGAAATTCTGTTTGTTGGACTCTTGGTGCTCGGGTTGGCTCGCTGCGGGAGGACGAGAGCTACAGCAGGAACCTCCATTTTGAACTGGTTGAAGGTGAGAGACATTGGCTGAGGCCTGAGCTGGAGCCGGGATGGGTGCCTTGGGTTTTTGAGAACAGCAGCTCGATGCCGGAGGAGATTGCGAGCTTTCCCTGGCGGGTTCTTGGGGCGATGGTACCGGGGTAGGTTTCAAACCCGCATGGGGTTTACTTGAAGCATCTAGCTCTGATTGCAAGGGGCGATTTGACAAGAAACCAGGTGTTCCTTCCTCGAATTTGAGGTTATCTGGCATGCTGTCTAGTGCCCGCGCAATGTTCTGCGGCGCAGCTTGCATGGTGCTCTGCCTCCTTCCAGACTTTTGAACTTTCCCAGGGGCCGGTGACGAAGTTGACGGCGTCGAGGGCGTGGGAGATTGTGTAGGTTCATTGGCATTGACAGGAACTTCATAGAGCGGCCGACACAGGCAAGATGAGCCTGGGGTAAGTCAGTACAAATATTCATGAGTACGCATAGCCGTCGACAAAGGTATACCTTTCGGAATGCGGACCATCACAGCATATGTTTTCTGGCAGCTACAAGTTCCTTTCGGGTGAGGGCATTTGGCCAGAGGGCGCCCAGCCTTGGGGACCTTCATCATGAGTCTATCAAAGTGTTGACATTTTGACGACCGATGACCTCGAATGCATGGTTCACTGCGATCGTTTAGCCTGTGTACCTTGGAGATCGATCAAGCGCTGTCATACCAGGACCACTTGGCGCCTTCCTCGTCGAGAGGCATATTGGCGCAACAGTGTGTATGGTTTAGTCGAGTTTGTAAGACGCAAGGTCGATTCAAGATGCCCGCATGCGCAACGCTTTCACAGGTTGCCCAGCAGATGCAGTCTTCCGCTTTCACTAGAATCCAGCGCCTCGTGGTTCACAAAGACTAAGCCATATGCATGTGGTTGAATGGTCAGAAAATGATGATCCGAGTGGAGTCGAGACGGAACGAAGTGGAGGTTCAACGTTTGGGCGGGAGGACCAGGAAAGCACCGATACTGCGGTTGGAAATGACAGCAGATGAACAGCCAACTCCAGACTATGCGATCTATCACAAGGAAAACCCGAAAATCTGCAACAAGTCCAGAGCGAAAAGGTGAGGTGCGGGGAGATCGGTCTCTGGACCCATTAGGTAAGTCAGGCAATGACTTCCTGTTTGGGCTTGGCGTCCTTTTTGTAATTGTTTCGATGACGAACTTCTCCTTGTCAACATATCTGCACAACATGCCTGACACTTCGGGGAAGCCCTTCTTTACAGTGCCCGCTCCTGTGAAGCGTCTCTTTGACAAGTTTCCATTGACAACCTATCCTGCCAACGAAATCCCTCAGCGCTCTCAGTCCAATGGCGCCAACCAGCTATTTGTCTTCACCGATGCGCGTGGAGCTCGAGAGGGCCGACCCTCGTTCAATCCCCAATGTCTGAAGTGGCAGGTATGTCCTTCTTGGCGCATCGTCGCGCTTTTCAAACGCCGCGGAAGCCATGCTAATTGACCTCGGCCTAGGCATACCTGAAATTCGTCGGAATCGGGTTCGAGATCACCTCTGCCAATAACCACGCATCCCCCACCGGTGCCCTGCCCTTCCTCATTCCCTCACTCCCTACAGACATTTCAAACCCAATCCCTTCGCACAGACTCCAGAAATGGGCCATTGAACAAGTACACTGCGAGGAGGAACAACAGTTGAATCTGCGCTTCGAGGTGTATGCTTCGCTTTTGGACCATCGGATACGCAATGCTTGGGTAGGATGACCCTCCGGCCGCCTGTATCGCAACGGATTCATACTGACATACCCAGTTATACATGCTGTACCTCGACGGCGAGAACTTCGACGCCGTTGCGCGCCGGCTCTACGTTGACCCCGCAACCTCCAATTCGCTCGTACGCGCAACGCTCGGCCACCAACTCCAGCAGGCCGCTCGCGATGAACTTTTGAAAACATCACAATACATTGATGCAGCCGATCTGGAAGGCGACGCAAATGGCGCCTTTGAGGCGCTATCCACCCTTCTCGGCGAAGACGAGCATTTCTTCGGCCGACCTAACCCTGGTCTTTTTGACGCCAGCGTCTTCGCATACACCCAATTGATCTTGGATGACACCATGGGCTGGAAGCGAAACCGACTGGGACAATTGCTCCGAGAGCATCCCAACCTTGTACAACACCGCGAAAGACTATTGAAATTCTTCTGAATGTATAACAGCAACTGGGAATCACAATGATCCCCGAAAATTAATATTTCCCCGATTGAATTTTACCCCTGTATCCCACATCGCTTTCTAGCTGCCTCTCACCCACTTGCCTTTCTGAAACAAATCCCAAACCAAACCTTGACTCCTACCCATTTCTTCGCTCTGGCGCCTAACATATCTCCTAATGTCTCATCAACACCTCGGACAAACACGCCATTCTCACAGTCATCAACTCCAGTCGCGCCATTGATCATCGCAACGGAGAATCCTGCATCTTGAGCAGCGTCAACGACGTCGGGGATAGCGTGACAATAACTAGTAGGTCGAATCTTGACACCACTCTTCGGATCTGTGAAACCAGCCTGGCTCTTCATCCCCATCTCCTCGTGCATGTTTGTCAGCAGGAGATATCCGCCAGGCCTCGTGATCATTGAGGCAACCGCAAAGAACTGCGCAAGTGGTATGTGCTCGAGTACCAGAGTGCAAATCACACCTGCAGCTCCTATTCCAAGTGAGGGCGGCAACCGTGACAATGTTGTAGTTTGCAGTATATCCAGAATGTCGAGTGAAACGGTCTGAGAGTATCCCTTCTCATTCACATGCTCTTTGACCGCGGTCCGTGCTACTTCTAGCATCCCGGGCGAAGCATCGAGCCCGATAAGGTCGAAGGCATCGATCTTTTTTGTTGACAGTGTATCAAGTAGTTGAATGGTGTTTCGGCCTGTACCGCAACCCAAATCTACGAGACTTGGCGTTGGGGCTCCTGTTTTGGATGCATCTTGGAAAGTGACCACATTGTCGAGAAAATGAGGGAGCAGCGAGCGCATCTCGATCGTATCAAGACGCTGCAGGAAGTTTCCATCTGTGTCATAGACCTGTTGGGTTATCAGTCTCAAATGTAATAAAGTAAATAATAGCACAAGCAAGCCGCTATTTTTGGTTTAAAAGGTACACACCTCTGCCCATTGGTCGTACGCTTTCACTGTATCCACGTATTGGGTTGGCTGTGAGTTTCTGAGCGGCTCAGTGGCCAAGAGATCTTGAATTGTTCCCGCCATTATTCAAAGGGTCTAGGTATCGATAGTCGGTGCACCTGGGGTCTGAAGGAGAAATTCTCAAGGGTAATTCTCTGCGCCTAAGCGCAACACTCTCCACTTAATAGTCCACGGGTTACAGCCAGCCTGACTCATAATTAAGCTACCTCGGCTACGCAGGGAAAAGCAGTAAATATGCAGGCTCGAATTTTCTGTATATCCCACCCTAGGCGTCTAGTTAATTCATCTTGTGCAAAGTGACATTTCTGAGTCCCTCTTGCGTCCTTGTGTCAAAACAGAACCAGGATGGCAGATACCCAAAACAACTCCAGTCAACACCATGAGACATGCATCGAAAATGTAAAGAAGATACTCTCTTCTCATTATGAAGCCATCGTTTCCTTCAACAAACTCCACAACACGGAAGATAGAACGCACAAGAATAAGCAAGCAGGCAATGTAGAGTGCCCACATGATAGATTCCCAGGTCATCTTGGTTTTCGAATTTCGGGAAGTTGTAGTAAGAGAAGCCCCAGAGAGGTTGCTATACTCTGATCGTTTTTTCACACGCCAGTGAAAGATTGCAGAGACAACGACGAAAAATCCAAAGAAGAGAAGCTGTATAGCTAGACCCCCGATGACTATGTTCGCACCAATGTCCATTGCAGACAAAGTTCCAGCAGCCATATATCCGCCACCTAGCTATAGTTAGTGCCTGATCATAGTGGAAACAAAACACTTTGGGGATCGGAACAAACCTCCACATTGCAGCAAAAAGGAGATCACATCCCCAACCACAAATATCTTAGTCAAGAACCTGACTGGCACCAGAGACATCTCCTCGGCATCAAGTTTGACAATGATTCTGCCGAGAGTCATGTAGATCGAGGCAGCGAAAAGAGGAGGCGCAACGAGAATCAACATAGTTTGGACAATATATGGGCCCAGCGCTTTTGTATCGAAATGGGAAAATATACGAGCAATGTAACCTGCACATTCCACTGAAAATACATATGATCATGTTAGCTGTCTGTTCCAAGGTTTTTCCGTGGTCAAGAACGCTGTGGTTCGAGGAGGCTTACAAAGAAGGCCGACCAGGAATGGGATGAAGAAATACGACCGATGCTTGATCAATCGGATAAGATGCAGTGCTGAAAGTAAAATGAAAAGTACAGCAAATATCACTGCTGCAGGAATCGAGGGGGTATAGCGATAGAGAGCGTAATTAATCCCACCACCGGTGTCAGTCATCTTGGACATGCAGATCTATAGATGGGAAAAGAATAGAGTTGGTTGACAGAATCTGCAACTGTCTGAGCTGACTCTATGGGACATTTTATACATATTATGCCTCTATCATATCCATGGAACAATAGAAAAAACTGTTCTACCTAACATTGTAATGCGAAGATACGAAGATGCGAAGATGCGAAAATACGAGAATGCGAGAATGCGAGAATGCGAAGTGATATGGTTCCACTAAATTATGGAGCAGATTTTCAACCTCGCCACATCATATTTTACTTTTCTTTTCTGTTTCTTAATAAAGACCTTGGAATCAGGGGAAATCTACTTAAGTAGAACAGCATGCCAAACCCTAAAGCAGGGATAATTCACTGCGAGGAGATATACCAACTACAGACAACAACTCAAATCTGGAACCGACTTCAGGAGAGAATTTGGACCCTCTACCAAAGGCCAGGGAGAGCGGATAAAGGCTTATAGGCCATACTCCAGGAACTGAGTAACATATGTCCACGGGTAGCTGATGAAAATCTCCACCGTCTGTTATGTTCGCCTTCTCTCCTTCCATGGTTTTGTGGTCTCTCTTTCTCTCTTCCCATTCACATCTGTAAATCTCCCATTGCTTTTCACGCTCGTAATAACGCACCTTCATATGCCCATTTCATGGGCTCTGATTCCCCTTTCAAACACCAAGAAGGCCCTGAAGTAGCATTGCATGAACGAAGTAGAGCTTCTGCCAATGACCAGGAGATGAAAACTGGTTTCTGCACTCACAGTATCGGGCTTGAGGCTTGCGATGCACTTGGTGAGAGAATTTGCCCTGTATCCCTTTCATCGCGAGTGTATAGTCCATAATAATCGTTGCCTCAGGCACTAATAATTGCCTGAGTAACCTCTCCCGAATCAAACCCACCAATAACGATCAACGTCACATCAAGCAATAGGTCTCTCGTTGGGATTTTTTCCTGCTTGAAAACCGAGTACCTTGAGAATCCTACTCGGCGATGCTGCGGCATTCATCACGTACAGATGGCATTTCAGTGCCAAATCCCAACCCACCTGTTCGACTCAAAAACCGAATCAGCCATACCAAATCACGGAATGGATGCTACACGTGCAAGAGAAGGCGCGTAAAGGTATGCTAGTTGTTTGAATGGAGACCAGCATCTCGCTAAGTATCTGGATTCCCTAGTGTGATGAAGAAAGACCGATTTGTGGCGCCTGTGAGGTCCGCGGCAGTCAATGCACCTTTCCAGACCCAGGGAGTACAAAGAATAGACCCAGGCATTCTACTCCTCGTGGTAATCCTGAATCCAGTCAAGATTCAATACCAGGGCAGCATGAACATGCAGCACCAAGGAGTGGTCATGAGTTTGCTATCAGCCCCCTGTCTTTCAACCTGGGTCGTTCCGGAACACCAGCCTATGAAGGCCAATCCGGAGGTCATCTGAATATGAACGACTTGAAATTGCTCCAACATTATATCCTGCATACGTCAAAGAAAATGTCACTCACTCCCGGCAGAACGTTGGTGTGGACCTCTATTTTCCCAGACATAGCCGGCACAAACGAGTTTTTCATGCACCTACTTCTGGCATTGGCTGGTCTTGATATTCTAAGCGAAGGACCAGAAGTCTCTCGGAGCCAACAGAGTTTATCTGAACCCCCCTCCCGGGATCTCGAATTGGCAAAACTAAGATTGGTGATCGAGCATCACCAATTAGGCCTCCAGGGGTTTCAGGAGGAGCTATGCTCCACCAATGACTCAAATGCAGAGGCATTGATGACAGGATCAATGCTGATAGTTGCATTTGCATTCGCATCACTTCGATTTGGATATATGGGCTCTTCCCAATCTTCACCAAGCAATCCATACAACGATGCAGATGTAACCATGGGCGCCCAGAAACCACACACGCACTGGCTGCGTCTAGTGCGTGGCGTTGGTCTCATTACACAGAAGCATTGGATGGCAGTAAAAATGGGTCGGTGCAGAGCTTTGGTGCAGTACCAGAATGCCAATGATGATTGGAAGCTTTGTCGATCTGAATTGAATGACCTCGTGCCTATTTCTCTGGGATCAAAGATCTCGAAGTTCGCATCCGGCGCTGGCACAGCAATTTCTGATCTGCGCAATTTGTTACATTCTCTGGAAGTCACCGCTGAGCAGTCCCCACTAAGCCCTGAGCAGAGCAATATTATCAAGGAGCAACATCATGCACTCACTGTTTTTGAAGAAATGCATATGCGTGTCCTATATGCGATTCGGCTCCAGAGAATTCCGTCGCGGCCATCATCAAATCTCGATGTTCAGGCAGAGATCGAAGAAGCGGCTGTCACGTCATGGCCGCATCTGGTTTCTCAGGGATTCATCTCCTCGTTAGAGACCCATGATGACTTTGGAGTTACCGATGGGGTCTCATTCACGATTTTGGCTCATCTATACTTGGTCCTTGCCATCTTGGAGGGCACATGGTATCTCGGAGCTACCTTTGATACGGAAATTGGAAACATCAATACCTTCATTTCTGGATTGAAGGATGCCCGGTTGGTAAAGTTGATGGAATGGCCGATGTCAGTGATTGAAAACCTGTAATTCTTGACAACGCTCATATATAGAGGACTGAGCCCCAATTCAATATCTAGACAGTACTAGACTGGTCAAAGACTACCACAATTATTCAAAACATGGGCGTTGGAAAGGTTTATGGTCATTATCAAGTATTTGGCATTTTGGAATAGTCACAGAGAAGAATCGTTCACAATCATGCCGCCATTAGAGAGACAATGGAAATGACTGTGGATAAAAAAAAAGGAGCCCGAGTGGGGCATAATGGAGAAAACCCCCAGAACTGGGGTAAGGAGAGCACCAAGACAGGCCAAAACGAGGGACATCAGTACAGGGAATCACATGAAAGCCGTACCGGACGGAACATAAGTCAAAGGCTCAAAGAAACAAGAAGAGAATTGAAAATAAGGGGAAGGCAGAAAGAAAGAAAGAAAGAAACCGAATGAGTCGCCCCGAACATCGCACACATTTGGTCATGATGCAATAAGTCAATGATCGCAAATCAAGTCATTTAGTAAACCGTGGCTCCAAATGGAGCCGTTTCCTTCAAGTCCTCAACAAGGTCCTCGACGTTATTCAAATATCTTCCCAGAAGAGCCTGCTTCTCGTCCGTTGTACGGGTATCACGACTCATTTTACTAGCCGCGTTAGCCGCGTTATGCGCACTGCGGGAGAAAGGTGCGTTGGACAACTTGCTAGGGCTGCGCTGCAGACCCGGCGGGGAGACGGGAGCCTGGGTGGGAGTTTCAGGCATCAAGTAGAAATATAAGAACTCGACGAGCTTGAGCTTGACCTCTCGGGATGTGGCACGTTGCTTGAAGAGTGATGTCACGGTGAGCAGACCGTCTAAGTCCTCGAATGTGCGAGTATTGGCTGGACAGTCTAAAAGAGCGGTGACGAGGGTGAGAAGTGTGGCGGACTGAACGGCAGGGCAATTTATGGGGTCGAGCAGGTCGAGGAGAAGGTTCATGTAGATCTCGCGTGCGAAAAGGCTACGTGAGCCAGGGTGGAGGAGTAGGGCGCCTTGGATTAGGTCGAGGGTGCAGACAATCAGCATATCGTTTGTTCCGTTGCTGCCTCGGCCGAGGAGGTGTTCAAGACATGATACTAGGCGCATTGCGACTGGGGGATGTGTTAGTGGGTACAGTTGGATTGGAAAGATCGAAGACATACTGTTCCATTGAAAGCTCTCCTGGAGCTTGGAGAACTCGCGGAAGGCGGGATCATCTCGCAATTCTGATAGTGCTTTTGGTACGGGCTGTGGGATATCGGGGGACATTCGGGGTTTGCGTCGGTCATTGGCGGGTTTTGATTTGGAGAGGCATATTTGCGCGAGTAGGCCTTCGACCTGTCGTAGACCTTTTCGAACCTTACTCGGCTCGTAGGATGAGAGGTAGTCAAATGAATGAGCTAGTAGAGCCTCCATTGATGAATCAGATGCGGAAAGAAGAGATTTGAAACAATAGCTGTTCGCCACCCTACAAAAGAAAGGAAAGGCTTCTCATATACTCTTATATGGAAAAAAACACAAAAAATCAAGAAGTGGAGGTGGTCCGTGTTTGGGGCTGATGTCAGTTGGGTCAGCTGGGTCTGATAAAATGTAAATAAAGCGCCTATAAAGGGTTTCCCCCAGCGCATCAAGCCCCGTTGCCCCCGGCAACCCGCAAACAACCAAGGAACTCATCACGCACTTGTGGTTCTTAGCTGCTGTTTAGATCGACCATGGCGTCAGTCACTGCGGTTAACGTTATTTTAGTCTCTCTGACAATCCGGGCTAATCCATTGTTAGGCGGAAATTGGGAGTATATAGCGAACGATGTTCTCAGCCTCGGAGATCCCCGTTGCTAGGCGCAATTCCATCTTGTACATCCCTTTGTTCTCTTTTCTCTCGTGCTAATATATATTGGCTCGGAAAATAAATCAAACCAGCAATATACTGTTTGCTCCCTTGTGTGTTGTGTTATCTTGTTTTTTTCTGACCTATCGACATGGGGGCAAACTATAAGTAGACTCATCACATTGTTGACCTTGCAGGAAAATTGCAGGCCCTGCAGCCTAAAATTGGAGCCTGAGAGCCTGAAAGACCTCGGGAAAGCTGCTGGATTAGTAATATCATGTTCAAGCTGGAGGGACCTCGGGAGCTTCAGTTGATTCCGTCGATGGCCCGTTGCAGAACTTAGATCCCGTGACAAGGGCCTCGGCCTTGACTTTGATGTCATGGTATCCGCCCCTCACTTAGCCCCTCCAACAACAATGACCTCCCCTCCGACAACAGTTCTTCCTTGCGCAAGCCCCCCTGGCAATAAAAGCGGTTTCTCCCTTCGCCGCAAACCAACGAACGAAGAAATCAAGTCCAGGCACCAACGAAATAGATCGAGCGTGGATGGCACGAAATACAAAGATGGCACGTGGTCATCACAAAACGAGAAGATATTGGTAGCGCCCTATGAGTATATGCACGAGCATCCTGGCAAGGATATCCGTCGCCAACTCATTCACGCGTTCAACGCCTGGCTCCAGGTGCCCCCCGAGAGCTTAGACATCATTACCAAGGTGGTCACGTTGCTACATACCTCCTCTCTGCTGTGAGTCTTCCTTCGCTCGGGCTGTGTCCATCCCCTGACCAGATCCAGAATCGATGATGTTGAGGACAACTCTGTACTCCGTCGCGGGATTCCCGTCGCGCATAACATCTTCGGCACCGCACAGACGATCAACTCCGCCAACTACGTCTACTTCCTTGCCCTACAAGAAGTCCAGCGGCTCAATAACCCGATCGCAATAGATATCTACGTGAAGGAAATGCTTAACCTTCACCGTGGTCAAGGGATGGATCTCTTCTGGCGGGAAACCCTCACTTGCCCGACCGAAGACGAGTATCTCGAAATGGTGGGCAACAAAACGGGTGGGCTCTTTCGACTAGCTGTCAAGCTCATGCAAGCGGAGAGTACCACTGGCAAGGACTGCGTGGTCTTGGTCAATGTCATGGGTCTCATATTCCAGATCTGTGACGACTACCTCAATCTCTCAAATTCAGTGTATGAAAAGAACAAGGGTCTTTGTGAGGACTTGACCGAGGGCAAGTTCTCGTACCCAATTATCCACAGCATACGCGCCAACCCGTCGAACCACCAGCTGCTCAACATCCTCAAGCAGAAGACCAAGGACGACGAGGTGAAGAGGTATGCTGTGCAGTATATGGAAAGCACGGGGAGCTTTGCGCATACACAGGATGTAGTGAAGCGTCTGCAGGACCAGGCACTTTCGCTGATTGATGCGATCGATGCCACACCAGACACCAACGGTGTCAGCGTGGGCGATGGTGCAATGGTACGTGCCATTGTGGAAAAGATTGTGCAGAGTACCCTTTCAGACTCCTCACGCTAGCTTAAATTTTGGGCACATATTCTGCATTTGGACACGAGCTTGGCTTTGTATATATGTTGCTATGAACACTTACGACGATATGATTCATACCACGATGTTCGACTTAGGCGGACCTCTTAAATTTTCAAGAGTAAAATGTTCAATTACTTAAGTAGTAAATGGCAGTTTCATTAGGAACAATGTCATGTTCATGTAGGGGTCTGCGGGTATATCCAAAATCCCTGCTATCATGAGTCGTGTCTAGGCCAAGCCTAGATCTAAATGGAAACGAGAAACCAAAGCGCAAACGTTCAACAAAGCCCAACAGCGTGCGAAGATGCCTCTGTATATGCCGAACACCCAGATATACATGCTCGAACTTACATGACCACGCAGCAAGCCTTCTCCAACTTGCGCAGAACCTTGGGCAGCATCTTCTTGGCAAACTCTTCGATCTCGTCGGGCTGTTGTTGTTGACCTTGGTGCTGGCCTTGGTGTTGACCCTGGTGGCCCTGGTATCCATGCTGCTGGCCGGGGTAGCCACCGTGGCCCTGCTGGGGTGCGTGGTGACCGCCGTACGGTGGCATGACAGCCTCACCACCAGTGAGGTTCACATAGATGCGACCAGCGTTGTCCTCTGTGGCATACTGCAAACCAAGCTCCTGGCACACCTGCTCGACGCGAGGCTTGATTTTCTGAATGTGGTTGGCGGAGTGGTTTCCCTTGCCGACGATACTGCATGCGAGATCCATGTAAGCCAAATTCAAATCCAAGCACGATACAATATTGCCCCTGTCCTCAAGGCGTTTGTGCGACTTACACATGCAGGTGGTTCTGTCCATGCGCCTTGGCATACTTGATGCGCTCTTCCAAAATTTCTTCCGCCTCCTCGACGAACTGACCGTGCAAATCGATCGTGTCGGCCTCGACACGTCCATTGGCATTGTTTTCCCGGAAGATAAATTCCGACGCTTGCTTGTTATATTCCTCCATCTTGCGACCGTGGGCCTTTCCCTCCTCGGAGAGCTGCTTGGCGCCAGCGCCGTCGCCATTCGCGTAGGCATCCTTCGACTAAGGAGTGTCAGTCTGGTCCAATGGCCCTTCGATTGCAATTGCGACTGCGATCAGAGTTATTTCAGGATCACATACCCGTCCAAAACATTGTCCGCGCTTGGAGGCTTCCTGGCGGGCGAGGTCGCGGAGCCGATCGTACTCCGCCTCGGCGTCGCTACTGTTGTCGTGGTTGAAGGCTGTGATAAATTAGTGCTTGCAATTCCAGACGGATCGCTATAGTTACCCCGAGGGCCCATGTGGGACATTTCGTGCGACATGGCTGCTCAATTACCCTGAACGGTGATAAGGGAAGAAGGGGAATCTCCAAAAGTGGGGACCCAAAAACCCGAAAAATCAGAATTCCAGATCGATCGCCTTTCCCTGGTACAGTCCATTATTACCCACCGCCCTTCTTACCGCTTTGGAAATACTATACGAGTAGAGTTATGGAGCATTCATCGAGTGCTTTCAGAGAGCTGAATGTTTAGACTGCATATTCCGATTCGGAGGGCTTTGAACATGCTTTGATAGGCCACTGTCTTCCTAACTATGTGAAACTCTATACTAACTATGTTGAGCACGAATAATCTTGTTCGTGCCCAGGTGGTCGTTGGTTGACGCAAACTTGAGAAGCATACTTAAGCAAAAAAGGTCTAGCCAAAGCAATAAAAAAGATGCGGGGAGAGACGATTCTCAACGGAGTACAGTTATTCCATAAAGACCATTGCAACCCATAGTGGATCGCTTTGGCTCCGTGCCCAGGGTGCCGGGTCACTTGCGCCCTAACCTACCTTCAGTTGCAGGTAACGAATAACTAAGGAGTACTCCGTACCTTGTACTCTTCCTGAAGGTCCTGCTATCAACCCGAATTCAACGGAGGCTTTGGATCCCAACACCTGGGGCGGAGCGGCAGTGTAACATGCCCCCCAGGGCTGGGCTCTGATAGATCTGCCTAAGAGACGACATCATCCCAACGGTGACATCAGCTAGTTATACTTAAACAGACTGTTGTAATTCTGGCCACGAAATATGTAGTGAAATATTGGTCGGTAATCCTGGATCATTATGTATATATGGCAGTCAATAAATTTGATGATGGCAAAATTGCACAGATCTCCATGGATTCTGCCAGGCTCAGTGTGCATTCCAAGGGTAGGGCAATGAGGCGCCGCACCTGGATCTGGGCCGGGGGCTCCCCGATCGCCCGAACCACGGGTCTCTGTCTGTGTACTCCGTAGGTCCGTACAGGTTACAGTATAAGACAATGGCGTTTAGTCTGGTTTCATCAAAGGCATTGTGAGAATTACCTAGAATATCAAATGAGACTAACAAGTGCTCAGGTGCCATTAGTGTACTTAAGTACAGTCCAGACGCTTATTAATGATGTGGATATGTCCACAGGCTGGGATGATCTACACTTTTAGTCAGGAACGACACGCAGGTACAATACCAAGTATCGGTACTATATGTGTATTGACAGCCGATCACATTGTCACTCCTCCGTGATGAGTACTTTATCACCATTTAACTACGGAGTACTCTTCACGAAGATGATGCACGGAGTACGGTATGTATGCCATGTGCGTGATGTGCGGATGGCTCCGTAATTATCTTTGGAGAAACCGAAACGTCGAAAATTTTATCCGAAATCAGGGGTCCCACTTGGGCTAGAGCCGCGGGCTTCAATAGTTTCGCGCTATCGCCACGAGGCAGTGGGGACCAATATCAACCAAAAGCATAAGGAAACGGCTAAAATCGCTAGCTGGTGGGTCGACCGGTATATTTTCAGGAGATATCTGTACATCTGGGAAATTCCCCTAACTTTTTACCTTTCCTCTATTTCCAGCTTCCAAGATTATGTCCAATGCTGACGGATCTCCTTTTCAACCACCCTGACACGGTCCGTACCACCTGGTAGAACCAGATGTGACAGTCAGTGTCGGGCTATCGCTGCGTGGCTGAGGCTCCACCGTGACGGGCCCACGGGGTCACATACGAGTACTCGTACTGGTACCTGTCGGAGTTTCCGTAGTCACGGAGTATACCATGTAGTATATCCAAAAGACTTCGGTGGCATGGCTCAAAGAACTTTACAGGGGTTCGTGGGCTGAGGGGTCGACTGGTTGAGCTGATTGGTCTCTGAGGTTGAGACTAAAATCAAACCTTGAGCTTTGTCTTCTTCAGACTGAAACTGAAACATGAGACGAGGGTGAAGCCAGATCTTCTGGATGACAACGTTGTGGAGAAACATGACTTACAGAGTACAGCTTTGGAGGTTTTACGGGTGCATTGAACAATGTATAGTGCACGAGTACGGAGTACTGTACATCAGGAGCACTGGTCCATGGCGCTTGAGCAGTGTGAACTTTGGAGACAATGGTTGACAATGCACGGAGTACGCAGTAACTGACTAACTAATTGACTGATCAAGTACGGAGTACAGTGTGGGTGGTTTTGGCCGGAGAACGGAGTACAGTGTGTATTTTGATATTGCTGCACGTAGTTTTGCTCTCCACAAGATCTGCACGTCTCCAGGAGTCCACCACGATTCTATGCCTCGTACATACTCGTACAACGTACGAGTATATTTTAAATAGCAGAAGTATAGACGTGGGAAGTGGAGCTATATTTCCGCAGGTTCACTTCCAATGAGGTGCACTCTCTAGCCTTGGATGCCAGAGCATATACTCCGTACTTACGAGTAGAGTCGACATAGTTACGTGCAACAGATAAATTACCCAAACCAGACTGATACCACGGCAAAAGCAAAAGGGGCTGCTAGGCCCTCGCGAGGTCGACAATCACTCCCCACACCGCCCAATCATATCGGTGCAGCTAGGAACTGGTATTGGACTGGTAATTCAGTCTGTAATTAAAACATTGCATCACGTTCGGTACCCAAGTGGTACCCTCAACCACCGCTATTGTTCGCGGTTTCGTGTGGTATTGCGCTGGTATCCCCTTTCTGCTGCTGAAACTTTCCCAATTTCCCCCTCAGTCTTGCCCCTTACCTGTGATCCTTTGTGCTCTATCACCCCTTCTCTTTCTCTCTCTCACTTCTCTCTCCAGATTGGATTCCATTTGAATTCTTCTGTTTCTTCCTTTCTTTTTGTTTCTGTTCATTTATACCCTTCCTGACGTGATTGTCGACCATTCATTCTTGCAGGTACGTGAACTTTTTTTTTTCTCCTTTGAAAGCTGCATGTCACTTCGGGGGCCATTTTGCTGGTACATTGAATTTTGTTCCCGGCTCCTTGCGTCGGCAGGCTTACACCAACTCTGAAACGATGTCTGCCTCTGCTCAGCGCAGCCTGTACCACCAATGCGGCGCCCTCTCGAACCCGTCAATCCGGTCTTTCGGATGAAATCGTTCTAGCTTGCTGATTGTTGATCCATCCTAGCCCCTGTCACGGAACACTGATTCCTCTGCGATTACACTTTTCTAACCTTCACACCATCAACCGCGATCACTCCATACCGCCAAAATGGGTTGCGGAATGAGCACTGAGGATAAGGAGGGGAAGGCGCGGAACGAGGAGATTGAGAACCAGCTCAAGCGCGACAAGATGATGCAACGCAACGAGATCAAGATGCTGCTTCTCGGTATGATCGGTCGACCCCTGAGCTGTGGATGGATGGCTGACTCGGAATACAGGAGCCGGAGAGTCGGGAAAGTCCACGATTCTGAAGCAGATGAAGCTCATCCACGAAGGTGGCTACTCTCGTGACGAGCGCGAGTCTTTCAAGGAAATCATTTACAGCAACACTGTGCAGTCCATGCGGGTCATCCTCGAGGCTATGGAATCGCTCGAGCTTCCTTTGGAGGATGCGCGCAATGAGTACCACGTGCAGACCATTTTCATGCAGCCCGCCCAGATCGAGGGTGACAGCATTCCCCCAGAGGTTGGCAACGCCATTGGCGCACTTTGGCGCGATACCGGTGTTCAGGAGTGCTTCAAGCGCTCGCGCGAATACCAGCTGAACGACTCTGCCAAATAGTGAGTATTGATTGCAGCGACGCAGTAGTATGCGACTAACATCCCTCTCAGCTACTTTGACTCCATTGAGCGCATCGCCCAGCCGGACTACCTCCCCACCGATCAGGATGTTCTCCGCTCCCGTGTCAAGACCACTGGTATTACCGAGACCACATTCATCATTGGCGACCTGACTTACCGCATGTTCGACGTTGGTGGTCAGCGATCCGAGCGTAAGAAGTGGATTCACTGCTTCGAGAACGTCACCACCATTCTGTTCCTGGTTGCCATCTCCGAGTACGACCAACTGCTATTCGAAGACGAGACCGTGAACCGTATGCAAGAAGCCCTGACCCTGTTCGATTCTATCTGCAACTCCCGCTGGTTCGTCAAGACCTCGATCATTCTGTTCCTCAACAAGATCGACCGCTTCAAGGAGAAGCTCCCCGTCAGCCCCATGAAGAACTACTTCCCCGACTACGAGGGTGGAGCCGACTACGCCGCGGCTTGCGACTACATTCTCAACCGCTTTGTTTCTCTCAACCAAGCCGAGCAAAAGCAGATCTATACTCACTTCACATGTGCCACTGACACCACGCAAATTCGCTTCGTCATGGCTGCTGTGAACGGTAAGACCTATCGCCTCCGTTCTCAATTAGGAAAATGTACTAACTTTCCCAGATATCATCATCCAAGAGAACCTTCGTCTCTGTGGCCTGATTTAATGAGATGATCGTTCCAGTGACGAAGTGTGTCGAATCTAGATTGCATGTTTTATTACCCCGGGGCTGATCGGATCCGGTCAAAAAGCCTCGTGTCGAGATCCCGGCGTTGGCTTGATTTTGCGTTGGTTTTCTTTTCTATTTCTCTTTCTCACCTTTTATTCACCATTTCTTGGCCCTCGCCTCCCACTCACAGTTCTAATTGTCCCCCGTGTGACACGATCTCTAGCCGGTTTTTGTGTTTTCCTTTGTCGCTCCTGATATCCACGACAGAAACAGAGAGTGTCCTCGCGATTTTCCACGCTCAAAAGCTGTGGTTGATCGATCTCTTCTCTCTTTTCTTATTTCCTTTGCTGTTCTCACTTTTTTTTTTATCTGTCTGATTTGAATGCTGGATATCCTATCATCTCTTCCCCTTTCTTGTTTCTATTGTATGTAACCATACCGTCTCCCCCATCATTTTTCCACATCTTGCGTCCGTTGGGGGCTTCTGGTCATCATCTGGGCGTTGGATACTGGGATATGGCAGGATCCACGGATTTTCATGTCTCCTTCTCATGTGTCATGCCAGGTCGGTTGTTGGGTTATTCTCAGAGTTCAAGAATTGAATCCAGGGTTCTGACTCTTAATCTGTTCTACCTCGGTCCTCATCTTTCGTTTTGTATGAACGCACAACTGTAAATAACAGATAATACTTGATATCTCCACACTCCCTTCATTTACAGAGTTATAGGGTTGGTTGTACTGTAATGAAGGATCTGTAAGTTTGAGAACATGCTTGTCCAAAACCACCGGTTCGAGATCAGTGAAAGTCTCATCGAGTGCAGTGACGTTATGTTCAATTTGAACGGCGAATGGGGGTATCGTGGTTTTTGAGCTTTGCTACGAAGAGATAAATCAAGATTCACCAGGGAAAGAATCCAAGGTCTAGAACCTCAACTTGGGCCCAACATAAACAATCAGAATAGCGACAATCCACAGTCCAAAAATCCAAGCATAGAGCATCATTCGACCCCACAGACCCTTTCCCTCCGTCATTTTGCGTAGCATCCCCATCCTCTTCCCCGCAGCCTCCATGGTGGTACTCGTGCGGTCAATACCAGACACCGCTCGGTCTAAAGCGGACTTTTCCCCTTCCAGGGCAGACTGGAAAGACATGGAAGATGTCTTGAGCTGCGCAGCTAATGTCAATAGCGAGCCAGTTAAGTCTTCTTGCTCCGTTCTGTGCGTGCTGAGCTCGCTTTCTGTGTCGTGCAGTTTGGTATTGCTTCCTGTTGCGGTTGCTTTATCTGTAGCCACTGATGGCTTGCCAGTGTGGCGATTGCGGAGGGTAGGAGGAGCCAATGTATTTGCTGAGGGTGTAGAGGTTGGTTCGGGTTGCGTGGTGGTGGGTGGTACCCTCGTGGTGGTGGCGGATTGGATGTTGTCATGTTCCTTGATTTCCCGAGACGTTGACGACTCCCGGTCCTCAGTATGAGATTGAGATCCCGGTGGAACGTCCTTTTCCTGGGCTACAGGCTTCGAGAAGAGCTCTTTCCATTCGTCGTCGCCATCTGCGTTGTCATCGTCTTCGTCCTGCACCGCTGCCGCCTTGGCATCCTCCTCCTCGAGAACGGTTTGTATTCTTTTGAGAAGCTGTTTATCCCGCGCGATCTCGGCTTGCGCTTCATGTTTGCGGTCGAGTGGCTTTGATTGTGGGAGGGAACGCTCAAGTTGCGTTAAGAGGGAGCGTGCGTATTCCACATTCTGTACTCCTAGGTCAGTTCTGAGTGATGATGCAGTGGCAGCTCGCTGCGCAAGAGCTCTCGGTGTTTTCTGCATGACTGTACCTTATTCACGCGCATGCGCTGGTATTCAGATTGTTGGAGAGAGCGCCGGTCTGTGCCCGGGGATAGCAGGTTGTGCTCGAGTCGGGTGAATAAGCGAGCGACATTGAGGAGGGCAAGATCAGGAGATCCAGCTGGGAATGCTGTGACGGCCATTATGGTTGAGGTAAGGAGGTGAAATGCAACTGTTTACAGCGAACGTTGGAAGTAGCCAGCATTAACACCCGGGCGTTACCCAGTGATGACTCAGCGGGTGGATCCGGATGTATACAAACGTTAATTGTGTATGTTTGCTTCTGTATACTTCTGTATAGACTGCCTACGGTACTTCAAGTCATTCCAACAAGCGAACTTGAGAAATCCTGAGAGTGTAGGTCTGACTTCAGTGACAACCAAGGTTTCAAGGTTGGAGTCCGGCCAGAACAGCCTTGGCATCTGCACCGGGGCCAAATACAACACATTGCAAGGCTTCAATCCGTTGGGGCCGGTGCACAGGTCCGCTGATTCTAGAGATCTAAAGTTTAATTTTGCTCCCTCTTTTGACTCCAATGCTGACTTGAATCAAGTCTACTTATCTTGGTCAAATTCAATAGCCAATAATCAGCCTTGAATTGAACGCGAGTCATCAATATATATTAAAGCTAATCAACCACATCCTGGGAACAACGCAGACAATCCATGCAACAGCCCTGGAGTCTTTAGGGATGGCCATTTTGAGTGACATCCACGGATCCATGATTGAAGAGATACTTTACAGGTGTCAGATCCGCGTTTACCCGTTCTTCACCTGGGCAACCTGCAGCTTCCAAGGTTGCTTGCATCGACGACTTGGTCTCAGTTGAAATCGCGTTATACTATTCGCCCAAAATCTGCTCTTAGGGTTTACATCTGCACCTATGCGTTTCTGGGGTTGATCCGTGGATATTTCATCACAAGATTCTAGAGTTATTCCAAAGTTCAACTTTAGAAGGCTGAGGCCGAAATTGTTTCTTTTTATTGCAACTTTAGAAGCACAAATCACGCTAACCTATTGACATTCGAGATGTGCTCCGCAGAGTCAACACACCTCTACCACCCAATTAAGATTTGAATAAACAGAAAGACAAAGCTAGCCCACGCTATGTTAAGGAAAGACATCATAATTCATGAGGAAACGGAATTTCACGGATGGGGATGAAGAACATGGAGAACATCAGCATAACAAAGTATGAAAGACTTCAGGACAACCTGGGGAGACTATTATAGCCTTTGGCCAGAAAACAGCAACAGAGGGATAACAGAAGGCTGTCAAGACGGAACCAGAAGAGTAGACATAGAAAGCTTGCAAAAGGGAAGCTATCTGTATTCGATAACAACCCGTTTCCAAGTTCGCACGCCTTCGGAGTCCTCGTCGGACATTTGCTCGACAGATTTGTCAGACCGGTGGACGGATCCGCCATCTTCGAGCGTGAGAAGGGGAGGCACTGTTGAGTTTGACGTTGATTTCAAAGATTCGGACTGGCTTCCCAGTGCCATTGCGGCGAGAGCGCCGCTGGTCGGACAGGAGCTTGTCTGGGACAAGGGTCGCAAGATATCACACGCGGAGGCGGGATGAAAGTGTTGAAAAGAAGAGTCTCCCTTCTCCATGAGGGCAGATTGAAGCCAAGAGTCTTGGTCTTGTTTGAGATTGGCGTCCATGTGCTTTTGTCTTCGATGGATGATGTACCGATAGGTGAGGATGAGGCTCAACACGGATAAGCTGACTAGACTGGTGATCGGAAATATGAGTCTTGCAGTTGACTGCGGAATCTCCTGAGATAGATAGGTGTATAGATGTTCCACGGCTTTCATGACGAAGGTTGAGTTGGATGGATAGCGTCCACCTTTCGCAGAATTGTTGACTGTCTCCCCCCTGTGGATGGGGGACACAGCTCAACTTAAGACCACGGAGACCAACTCGAAGTGTGGCCAAGACTTGACACAGTGAGCCAAGTCAAAGGTACGGGCGTTTTTGTTTTTGTTTTTTTCTTTTTCTTTTCTCAGATCGGGGCTCTTCAGTCTACGGAGTTTGACCGGGATGGCGGGAGGCGAACGGACCAGTAGAATGAGGAATGTGTAACAGGGGTTGGGGCTCTATATATGATCTAAATAGTCTTACTATTCTGTACGGAGTACTCCATCCGGAGTCGACGCTAGAAAGTATACGGAGGGGTGAGGTGATTGGCATGATCGACGCTTAAGCATAGCGGGGCGGATGTATCTAGGGCTTGGTACGAGATGGGAAAAGAAAAATCAGAGGCAGATACACAAATAAACAGATAACAGGTAATAGAAGTTTGTAGGAATAGAATTAGAACAACTACCTAGATACATCAGAAACCTAAATCTCTTGATTTTTTTTAAAAAAACTGAAAAAAGAAATGTGTCTTAGTTGCCTCATATCACAGCAAATGTATACCAATGTGGGTAGATCTAAGCCAGCCAGCCTTCGCGGTGTTCAGCTTGCCTGGACACGCCACCTGCGTGGGTTTTTATTTACGTTTTTTTTTTTCTTCGGGGAAACAATGGGAAATTAATGTTAATTCTGACAAAAGTGCGCAGGCTGTCCCGCCTTTCATGTCCGATCTTACCCTTGTCTCCCTATTCGGGGGCTAGATTGGATCTTACCAGGATCACCTTTCCCAAGGCTTTGGTTGCGGAGAACACATGTGCCGTCGATCAAGATAATTGTGTCTGAGATCAACTTGGTCTTCAGCTGGCGCCTGCAATGAGCCCCGCGCTAAGACCCTTCAGCCGTCGAATCACCGTCCACAACGCGGTGCTCGGCTATTATAGCGTACGCTAAATCATTTGCGTTTACCTTTTATCGTGCACTGTTGTCCCGACACAATGGGTCGTGTCTCGCCTTAGGAGTATGTACTGACATGTATTCCAATATTGACAAATCTGTACTCGTATGGAGTACAGAACATGGGGATTGACTTCGTGCGGCTACCCTAAAGTCTAGCGGTGACACCCTTGAGCTCCTCTTTTGCCTGCTCACGCAATTTCGCCCGTAAAATTTTGCCCGATGGGTTCTTAGGGATGGCGTCGAGGAATACCACGCCGCCTGTAATCCGCTTGAAGGCGGAGACCTTGTTGTCGATGAACTGCGTGATATCATCCGCGGTGGCGGACTTTTCGGGAGAAAGAACCACGTATGCACGGGGGCGTTCATCATGATTGCTTTTCTTGTCAGTCCACATGTTCAGTTGATAGATCCAAGTGAGAGCGAGAGCATGAAACAAAGAAGAAAAAACCCTGAAAAAAAAAAAAAAAGAAAACAAATAAACTTACATGACAGCTCCAATCACAGCGACGTCTGCGATCGCCGGGTGTTCGAGAAGAAGAGCCTCCAGCTCGGCGGGCGCCACTTGGTTGCCTTTGACCTTGATTAGTTCCTGGAAATTGGTGTCAGTTTTGAGATCTTAGGTACTTTTGTTTTTCTTTCTTTTGCAATTAACATACCTTCATGCGATCCACAACGTGGAACTTGCCCAAATCATCCACAAATGCAATATCTCCTGTCCGGAGCCAGCCATCGGCGGTCTTAGTCTCTTTAGTCGCTTTCTCATTGCGCCAGTAGCCTGTCATGACATTGGGCCCGCGCACCCAAAGCTCGCCACGCGTATTTCGCTCTGCAACCTCTTGCCCGTCAAGTGATACAATCCGAGCCTCACAATTAGGATTGAGCTCACCGACAGAGGCGGATGTGCTTTTCTCAGAGGGGTCCCATCCCAAAATTGAGCAAGTTGCTCTATAGTTCCGGGATTAGCTTCCAATCTCAAATCCCGACATTTTCACAAAGGATGCGAAACTAAGATCATGAAACATAGAAGAGACACTTACTCAGTCATTCCCCACCCCTGCTTGATGTTGATTTTCCCCTCAGGCCATAACTTCTCAACTTCTTCACAGACCTCTCTTCCCAATGGCGCAGCACCACTCATGACCGCCTCCACACAACTCAGATCAAACTTCTTGACAGCAGGATGCTTGGCCAATGCCACGACAACGGGCGGGACGAGAATGAGATCAGTGATGCGGAAACGCTGGGTATACTCGAGCATTTTGACAAAATCAAACTTCGGCATAACATATACCGGGGTCGCGCGATACAACGCAGCTGCAATGAAGATGTTCTGCGCCATTGCGTGGTACATGGGTAAGAAGCACAGCCAGCGTGAGCGCTCAAGACGACTCTTATAGTCTGGGCTCAGTGTCCCAAAGTGACAGTACTGAAGCATATTCGAAACATAGTTTCTATGCGAGATCTCCACGCCCTTCGGGCGACCCGTTGTTCCACTCGAGTAATTCAAGGCCAGGGTGCGTCTTGCCAGAGCTGGCGTTGAGAGCTCCTCCCAAGAGAAACCTGTACCTTCTTTCTCGGAGGCCACAAGATCGCTCCAATACTGACAACCCTTTTGGGGTCTGGTATTTCCATCATATATCGAGCTGTCGTAGGCAAAGACGCGGTCTTGGGGGAGATTGGCCTGCTTTGCGGCTTCGATACCGGTCTCTAGGCTTCCTACCGCACAGAGTAGATACGTTGCACCACTGTCTTGGAGTTGATAGGCCAATTCGCGGGCGACAAATGTTGGATTGGCACCGGTGAAGATTCCACCTGCCATGATCACACCCATGAATACCACCGGGAAGAAGAGGTCGTTGCCGGAGAATAACAAGACTCGGTCTCCCGGTTGGAGGCCAGAGTTGCGAAGTCCAGCGGCAAACCGCTGGCTCCAGAGTCGAAAGCCATGAGTGGTTAAATAATGGGTATCTGGACGAGCTGCGTCCAAAAAAGCTGAATGTGTTTGGGAAAGAGTCGCCGTGGGCGACTGTAGCAAGAGTGAGGCTAGGTGAGTATCTGGGACGTCAATCGTCCAGCGAGACTTATAAGGCATGTTTGAGGGATTGTAACAGGGATGTGAAAAAAAAAGAATCAGGACATGTTCAGCCCCATATACGTGTGGCCCCCGTATACGTGCGGCCCCCGGGAATGCGGCGCTGCATAACTCGTTGATCTCATTCCCCGCTCGGATAAGTATGTCCATATGCGGGGGAAGCCGAGGTCGCGAGCCTCGGCGCTCACATTGTGCGTTGAAAACAAGATCATCAGTACTAGAATGTTTTAGTAGTACTTTTGTACATAGTCCAGTCAAGAAATAGGATACATATTAAAAATCTCCAGGGGAATGACATCCATGGATTGTTTTCAATTCGGCTTCAGAATACATAAAAACATCTCTACTACACCCCGACCAACCCAGAGGACGCAAAAAAAAAGAGAAACAAGGTTAAACTGGCCTATCATGATTCTTCACCACCGAGACAGGCAATCGCTGCCTTCATCTCACTGACAACCTTCTCCTCTAATCGGTTTTCAGCGCCAGAAGTGGAATCGAGTGGTTTCTGGCGAGACCATTCCACCTCCTTTTCACTAGTCGCGACAATGCGGGCGCGCAGGGCGGGTCGGCGACGGAGAAGCTCCTCAATGTCCTCCTTCACCTGTACCTTGTCCCATTTAATGTCCTGAATGGATAGGGTATCAACTCCAGCGCTGGCACCGGATTCCCGGAAGCGCCCCAGAATGAAGGTGATCAGGGCCAGCGAGTAGGCCTCTGAAACCATGCTGAGGCTGATCCATTTAGAAGCTGGTGCAGATGACGCGGAAGTCGCGTGACCGGAGGAGAATGCCTCTTGAGCTCGGGTCAGGCGGCTTTCGAATTGGTTGATGAAAGCTGCCACCTCGGGCGCGGTTCGCATGACACTGTAGATCATATTGAGACAGAGGGGAAGGAATCCTCCGGTCCAGATTGTGTACAGTCGAGGGACAGGGTCAAAAGGCCCGAAGGACTTGTGCTGGGTGAGAAGATTAGTCAGGCGACAGGTGGATAGGTTCACCAATACGCCTTCGACGGCCAGGTGCTCAGCGAGCCGAGGCAGACTAGACATCTTGACCAAAATTGAGACGCTGAGCTCGGCATACACTGGATCACCCGACACAGCTAATTGATCAGCCCAGGAGAAGAGTGTTGTGGCGTGGCGAGCGGTCTCATTCTCCTCAATTGGATAGAGGATATGCTCATAAACACGATCAACATTCTTGACTTGCAAGGCTGTTTGCAGGATGGCAATGATGATGGCGAAATCTTTAGGGGTGCACTTGTCTGGCTCATCATGCAGATAAGTAGTGAGAGATTTGAAACCCTGGGCCACGATCGTTTTAACAACTTCCACGACAACAATCAGATCCGATGAAATCTCGGCTCGCTTGTTGATGGCTTCGGGGACGCTTCGGGAGGGACTATCCACGTGGAATTGGAGGGCAAGGAACAGAACGTTCAGAAGAGAGCGGAAGTATTCGGTATCGTTGTTAATCAGAGCATCTTCATATGTCAGATGACGAGCGCGCAGTGCTTTCCATGTAATCTCAAGCAGCTGGAAAACCTCGGCACCTCTAGCATTAACTTCGACAAGTCGCTGTAGAAGCGCCTGGGCGAAATTGATACGCGCTTGTTGAATCCGCACAAAAATAGCCTCAGGAGGACCGCTGCTGATGTTGGCTCTCAAGCAACTCTGGGCGACCAACGCCATCGACTTTCGGATTTCGGTATCGGGCATGAAGTCGGCGCAATGCTCGATTGCAAAGAACTTCCAGCTGTTCAAGAGACCCTGTTCAATGTTAGTGATATGGGATATAGCGCAATGACAAAGAAAAACTTACAACCTGAGCCTCGACAAGAGACAAATTAATGTTGGCTCGCTCGAACTCTTCGGCGAAGCCTCGGTTTTTAGCGCCCGCCCAGGCAAAGTCGTAGGAGAGAAGCTTGTCTCCCATGCCCAGATCGTAGTAGTAATCCCGTCCGAGTGAGCGAGCTTCGAGCGGGGTCCTCTTGAAGTCAACCATCTTGCATCCTGAATAACGATTTTCGAAATTCTTCTTCAGGTTAGCATGCAATGAGGAGTTGTAAGCTGAAACTTCCACGGCGTCCTTGGAATACCATGATACCAGCGGGATTAAAGTCTTTATGAAGCTTCGGTCGCCCATTTCCTTTGCAGAATGTAAATAGACTGCACACAAATCTGCGACAACGGCGGCTATGCGTGTGGCGTAGATCTGGTCCATCATGGGCAGAGAAGAAATTTTCAACTTTGATACATGATTGATGATGCTGGTGAAGAAGTGCGGGTGCTTGCTGAGATGAGGAGTGGCCCATGGCCAGTTCTCTTGGGCGCGTGAAACGAATTCAAGCAAGGCCAAAGCCACCTCAGGCTGCTCTTGATCAATATGGGAAAGCTTCTCAAGCGCCATATCTAGGAAAGGAACGCTTCTCATGCTGAGACCACTTGCGCCAGATTCTTTTTTGAGGGTTTGACGAGGAGATGAGCCTGTGAGAATGAACACAGCAAGCCATTGTTGGCGCTTGCTGACAAAAGTGGAGAGTAGCTGCCATACTGCAATAACCAAAGACTGGTCGCACAGTGGCCTGTCAAGTTGTGACAAGACGTCAAGGAAAAGACCAGCTGATTCTGCTCCCAGATGACCAACAAGGGAAGGAGGCTCATTGTCCGCATTTGAGGCGGCACTTGATATCAAAATCTCGAGTAGGGATACAACTGGCAGCCTATACGCATCATGCGATGCGTAGAGCTTGATGAGGACCGGGGTCGCTTTGAACAGCTGTTCTTCCAAAAGCGAGCCGGGCAGCTCCGCTAGATGAGCTGCTTGGATGAGTTTGATACAGAGCTGTAACGTGGACTTGACCTGGTCCTCGACGAGAGTGAGGTATCTGAGGTGGAGTGTAGGGGGTGTTTGAAGACCGTCCGCAATAAGTCGGAATATCGGGTTGAAGGGCAAGTCAGCGGTGGACTGAGGACGTAGCATATCCAGAATGTATGCCGCAGATGTGGAAAACACCCCTGTGATCTTCGCCTCGACCTTTGAGCTATCGTTGATTCCGTAGGCATAATACAGTACCCGCTCAAAAGATCTAGCTAGCATCGAGTTGATCTTGAAGCGCTGTTCTGGCAAGTTGAATCTCCAATTCCCGTTGCTGTTGAATACCTCCACCGTCGTACGAGTGAAGTTCAACAAAATAGTCCTCATGGCATGTGATGGGATTCCGGCACTCCAATCAGAGGCAATGGTTGACTTGCTCCCAGCAATGCCGGGAGATTTCCGCAGCACGGCTCGAGACGCCGCATCATCGATCACAGCATCAACGAGCTCGACACAGTTCAACAAGAAGGGGTAATGACCCGCCGGGATCTCCATAGCAGAGATAATGGCAGTCATCACCCCACCCTTCCCGTCAGACCCAATGAAGCTACTGCGCCCGAGGAAAGGCCAGACACGACTCGGGAGTACTTTTAAGAGTGCCTTGATGAACCGCAAGCATTCCATGGTTGAACCCAAAGAATTGCCCAAGTCGCCACGGGTGCCGATGGTTTGCAGGCTGCGCTCAAAGATGTCAAAGATCACAGAGATTATATCCCCCTGTTTTGACAAACCGTCACTTGCCATTTCCAAAATCCTTTTGCCACATGCTTCTTCGGAGCTTTGTGTTTTGGAATTTGCGATCAAGTCCGCGAATAGGGCAATGATGTCTGTGGCCGTGTCTTCGGTCCATTCGGGGGACTGCGCTCCGCTTTCACTCCATTCTTCAAGCCAGCTTCCCAAGAAGCTCAAGCAAGAGTACTGGTGCGCCCACTTAATGACAGCAGGTCTTGACTCAGAGACAACTTGACCAACGGTTTGTTGAGGAATCTGAGAGGACCCACTGACAACGAGTGCATTGCTTGTGGTGTTTTCGAGAAGACGGTGTCGAGAAGAGGCTTCAAACATTGGGAGAGGCTGTAGCAAGGCTACGTAGTCTGCGTTCTCGTCCTCTCGAATGGTGTCGTAGCCTTGGAAGTGGGGTGATACGATCTGAGTGAAGGATTGCATGTTCTCTAGCTCTTCAATGATGGATGGAAGACCATCTTCAGTTAAAGAATGTGGGCTGACAAGAGCACGGCAAAGTTGGAGGAATGGTGAGGTTTCATAGGGGAAACGAGATCGCGCAACATGAAAGATAGTATCCATCAAATCCTGGTCCTGTGCGAATGAGATTTTGGGGTCGGACTCAGGCCCCAAGAAGTCAAGGTCGTTCGACGACTGGTTATCGCTATCACCCAATATGGTCAGAACCGCCTCCAGAATTTCGGGGGAATAATCCAAAAACAGCGTAGAGACTCGGACAAGGTCAAGAAGCGACAAGCGAATCCATCTGCTCGTCAGAGCATCATCAACTGCTGACATATCTCCCGCTTTGCTAGCAAGGACGGAGACAGTGCGGAACGCCGATTCTTTGAAGACTTCAGACGTGAGAATGGTAATGGCACTTTCCGCGGTATCTTGTGGGGTTTGAGCACAATCAAGAATTTCTTCATAGATCGTCTGTTCCGATACGAACGAAAGGTCTGTGTTTTCTGTATTTGTGTTGAACGATCTCTCGGCAGAGATTCTCTGTCGTTCTTCTCGCCCGTGTCTCGCAGAGTCTGCCAGCTGTTGCATGGTGTACAAGACCAGTCCCCAGGAAAATGCCGCCGGGGTGGCAGTAGTGATTTCGCCACCTAAGGTGGTAAAGATCTCCGTAATTTTGGAGATCTTGTCTTTGCACAAAAAGTAGGGCTTGTTGGCGAAGTTGGTGTGCGTGCCATCTTTGATTGAAGAGATAACATGTGGTAGTTTCAAGATTGCCAATGTGATAAGCGATGCAAGTGCTTGAAGAGGGAGCAAGACCTCCGTTGGTTGTTGACAATGCTAGAATATGTTAGAGCTACGAAATTCCAAATATTCAGGTAAAGACGGGTCTTATGACTCACCACTTGGATTGTCTCCATGAAACTGTAGTCAGACATGAGTTGGAGCCAAGAAGACAGGATTGTCGAAGTCGGAATTTCCCTGGAGCTTTGAACTTGATGGAATATAAGTTGCATCACATGGACAACTTCTTCCACCAAAGCCGTTCTCCAAGTGGTCTCCAAGTCTTCACTGCTTTCCGAAGCACTGAGCCAACCACCATTACCTTCTAGACAGGTCAATCGACTCCGTATCGAGTCAATGCAGTCTTGGAGGAATCGCTCCAGCTCAGCGCCATTGGACTTGTTCTTAAAAAGCGCAGTTCCCAGCTTCTTGAGAGCAACTTTGCGTTCATTACTGGCTGAAGAAACCGAGGAGACTGCAGGACCATCATGCTGGGACAAGGCAAGTAGCTTGCGAAGTGTCTTCACAACATGGCTTGCCTCAGAGAGATACACCTCACGAAGGCGTAGTCGCCTACTCTCCTCTGTGTCGAATGACTTAGTCACTTCACTTCTAGCGGTTTGGGTCAGGATGCTAGCCAGGCTGGGGCCAGCTAGTGAACCCCGAAAGTTCTCGGCTCCAGCCGCGCTCTGTAGACTTGTGGTTTCCTCGGTAGAAAAGCCGGAAGCAAGGCGGGTTGCCGGGCGATTTTGCCATTCCAATACTGCGATTCGAAGAGCAGCGACCTCATCAATTCCAGCCTGCTGGCTCACCCACAAGGCGTCGGCTTTGATTTCCTTCAGATCAAACGAGTTCTTGCCATTGGTTTCGACATGAATGGCGGCAGTTTTGGACTCAAAATCAGATTTTGATTTCGCGGAGGGTGGAGGGAATGGTTTCAAGCTGTCGGAAAGTATGCGAATGCTCTCGGGGTGTGAAAGGAAGGCATCGATGTTGCCCTCATTGTCGGGATGATCCTTCTGGTCAAGAGTGTAGATGAAAGCCCTCTTCCAGGACCTACAAAGAGTCAGAATCAGAGAGCTTCTGGTACGTTTAGATCAACGTGCACTTACAAGAGCTGGACGTCCCCGGAGAAGCACTTGTCCAGGGACGGGAAATAGGCCTCCGGGACGGGAGCCATTCGGGGCAATTAGATCATCATAGGATCAAAATAAAGAGCAGAACGAGGCGACACCAGATACGGTGGCGATTGCGGAAAGGGAGGGGTGGACGGCGAGCGTGGGGAGCTCTTGAAATTGAGAGGGAGCTTTCTTAAAGAATATTATTCACCGCGACTGGGTCAACAATCAGGTGCCTATCTCCGTTCTGCCGGGCGGTGAGACTTTTGTACGAACATGGATTCTGGCCCTCGATGGACGTTTGAGTCATCCTGGCATCTCTACGAGCATTGCTTATATTTCATAACAATTGCAGGATCGGGATAGATTTCATTGATCATATCATTATCTTTACTCCGACTCTCCCTGATATCCTGCTGCCATGTCGGGCCTCGTCGATCGTTCCCCCAATCATCCCACCATAGCGGCTAAATTGTCCAGCGCCTCCAATGTCATCTTGGTAGACAATTACGATTCGTTCACTTGGAATGTGTACCAATACCTCGTCCTTGAGGGCGCTACTGTGTCTGTGTACCGCAACGACCAAGTGACCGTCGAGGAATTGGCAGCCAAGAAGCCCACCCATCTGGTCATCAGCCCTGGTCCTGGCCATCCCGAGACCGATGCGGGAATCAGCATTCCTGCAATTGAATACTTCAAGGGAAAGATTCCTATTTTCGGTGTGTGCATGGGTCAACAATGTATGATCACCACCTTTGGTGGCAAGGTCGATGTGACTGGCGAAATTCTGCACGGAAAGACGTCTGAGTTGAAGCATGACTCCATGGGTGCCTACCAGGGATTGCCTGCGTCGCTCGAAGTGACTCGCTACCACTCCCTCGCGGGAACGCACTCGACTATCCCTGATTGCCTGAAGGTGACTTCGTGGGCCGAGCTCGAGGACGGTAGCGGCAAGAATGTCATTATGGGCGTGAGACACAAAGAGTTTGCAATCGAAGGTGTTCAGTTCCACCCCGAGAGTATTCTGACCCAATACGGACGCCAGATGTTCAGAAACTTCCTCGAGCTTACATCTGGAACATGGGACAGCAAGAGTGAAGAAGCTGGCGCCGCCCTTGCCGCCGTCCCCGCCCCGACTGATAAGAAGCCTTCTATCCTGGACAAGATCTACGCCCATCGCAAAAATGCCGTTGCTGAGCAAAAGAAGATCCCAGCACTGCGCCCCGAGGCTCTTCAAGCCGCATATGAGTTGAACATCGCACCCCCTCAAGTGTCATTGCCCGCGCGCCTGAGACAGTCCGACTACCCTCTCTCTCTCATGGCTGAGATCAAGCGTGCATCGCCCTCCAAGGGCATGATCTCAGCGGACGTGTGTGCTCCCGCTCAAGCACGAGAGTATGCGAAGGCCGGCGCCAGCGTCATCTCCGTCCTCACAGAACCGGAGTGGTTCAAGGGCACAATTGATGACCTGAGGGCTGTCCGTCAGAGCTTGGAAGGCCTCACCAACCGTCCAGCTGTCCTACGGAAGGAGTTTGTCTTTGATGAGTATCAGATCCTGGAGGCGCGTTTGGCTGGAGCTGACACCGTCCTGCTGATCGTGAAGATGCTGGACGTTGAGCTCTTAACCAGACTGTACAAATATTCGCGCAGCTTAGGCATGGAGCCTGTGGTAGAGGTCAACACCCCAGAGGAGATGAAGATTGCCGTTGACCTGGGCTCTGAAGTTATTGGTGTCAACAATCGAGACCTGACGAGCTTTGAGGTTGATCTTGGAACTACAAGTCGACTCATGGACCAAGTACCCGCGAACACAATTGTGTGTGCGCTCAGTGGAATTTCAGGACCCAAAGACGTGGAGAACTATAAGAAGGATGGCGTCAAGGCCATTCTCGTGGGAGAGGCTCTCATGCGGGCACCCGACACCTCTGCTTTCGTGGCTCAACTTCTTGGCAACCCTCAACAAAAGTCCAAGGCATCACCAAGCTCTCCCTTGGTGAAGATTTGTGGGACTCGGACCGAAGAGGGTGCACAAGCCGCTATTGAAGCTGGTGCAGATTTAATTGGCATTATTATGGTTCAGGGTCGCTCCCGACTTGTCCCAGACGATGTTGCTCTCCGCATTTCACAGGTGGTCAAGTCAACTCCTCGCCCCAGTGACACATCGCCGGAATCCACGCAATCCCCGCCACTGGAGTGGTTTGATCAGTCCATTAATATTTTACGTCACCCGTCGCGCGCCCTGCTCGTCGGTGTGTTTATGAACCAGCCCCTTGCCTATGTTCTATCGCAACAACAAAAGCTCGGACTCGATGTTGTGCAACTGCATGGATCAGAACCATTGGAATGGGCCAGCCTTATCCCAGTGCCTGTGATTCGCAAGTTTGCTCCCGGTGATCTTGGCATTTCACGGAGAGCTTACCACACTCTTCCCCTCCTTGATTCCGGCGCTGGAGGCTCTGGTGAGCTGTTGGAAGCAAGTGGCGTTAGCAAGACCCTTGATAGTGACGAAGGTCTGCGTGTCATTCTGGCAGGAGGTCTGAATCCCGACAATGTTGTCGAAACTGTGACGCAGTTGGGCCCGTCTGGTCATAAAGTGGTTGGCTTGGATGTCAGCTCCGGTGTTGAGACCGACGGAGTTCAAGATCTAAACAAAATCCGAGCCTTTGTCAAGGCAGTTAAAAGCATCCGGCAATGAGCCGGCTGAACGTACGGGGTATATCCTTGGATAAAATGTGGCATATATAACATTCATGTTGTACTTAGACAATGATAACGCAACTTTGAGGACAACAACCTTGGAAACAATCTTGAATACCGTTATCTTACTCGTATGTGCTGCTCACCCTCAGCTGTTGATCTTTACAGGCCTTAGATGGGTTCTGTGCATTCTTCGACATCACCCCTTGCTAGGAACGGTGATCAGCCCCACGATAAGCGCCAGTTGATGGTTGTTGAGGACACTCCAGGATCGAGTTGCCCAAACCGGGTGTGTGCGGGGGTGGGGTCAGATAAACTCGAATGACACTCAATATCAAGTCATGTAGTCATCTCCTCGAATGAGACTCTTTTGAAGATCCCTTTTTCCCCGCGAGAACCGCCCACAGGCTGTTATCTCATGACTCATCCGATCTGCCCCGGAGGGTCCGATAAGGGCATTCAGCTCTCGTGACATTGATGAATGACCTCCAGGACTATCTTCAGCTGCTTTGTTTCTCCTTCTCTTCGCTCGAACTTCATTCTTCCTGCTCTCTTAATCTTGCTTACTCTCTTCGACCTATTGGGTATATTGTCGGTCTTTGGTCTTTCGCTCATACTTTATGCCACACCCGCCCAAGGCGCACGAATCTGTGGTTCACAACACTCAAGCCCAAGAGTGATACATCGCACATAACACAATAGACCATGGCTTCATTATTACACAGCTTCCTTCTTGGATCCCTCCCCGACCATTGTCAACCGACATCGCCCTTCTTGACCGCCGTCTCCTCGCATCTCCACATCTGCATCCCCACACCACTAGCGGCGATCTCCTCCGTCCTCGGAACCCTCAGCATTATCTCCTGGCTATTTGCCCAATTACCACAAATATACAAGAACTACCAGGTTCAATCCACCTCCGGATTATCGATATTCTTCCTCGTGATTTGGTGTCTAGGTGACGCAAGCAATCTTGTGGGGGCTATTTGCACTCGACAGGCGGGATGGCAGGTAATAATTGCCAGTTATTACGTCTGCGTGGATGTTGCTTTGGTGTTCCAGTTCTTCTGGTATACTCACTATAAATCCCGCCAGAATGGAGGGTATGACAACATGGCGCACATGCGCGACTCGGACTGCATCATACAAGGGGTTGCTGTTCCCGAATCGGGATTGAACCATGCGCCCGTGATGAACATCAAACAATCGGAAGCCAAGGATATGGGTGTCCAGGCAGGATCGGTCCGCAACTCAGCCGGCGGAACACCTTCATACTCAAATGAGAAAATGAGTTCCTCACGTCGGTCCACCCGGGTCGCCGGAAGCGCCAACAGCCCGCCCTTCGCAATCCCCCGCACCATGTTAATGGCATCACTACTCTGTGCTGTTCTGGCCAATGCCGCTCCAACCGAGAAACCCCACCCGCCTATCTCCGATACTCCCAACGAAGCCATCATCGAGATTGTCGGTCGTGTCTTTTCCTGGATGTCGACCATCCTATATCTCGGTTCGCGTCCTCCCCAGCTGTACAAGAACTACCAGCGCAAAAGCACAGAAGGTCTTTCGCCGCTCCTGTTCATGGCTGCCTTCTGCGGGAATCTATTCTATTCCAGTTCTCTCATCACGAACCCCAACGCGTGGTCTGACTTTGCCCCATACGGCGGCGGCGGCTGGTCCGATAGTCATGGCAACGATCGCTTGGAATGGATTGGACGCGCGACACCCTTTTTCCTTGGTGCATTCGGTGTCCTGGGGCTTGATGGGTTTATGGGAATCCAATTCCTGATGTACGGCGATGGTCCGCAGAATGAGGATGATGAGAGTTTCGTCAGTTCCAGCACTGGAAATGACCGGAAGCCTGGCCGTGGTCGTCGCTGGAGACGTGTTCATGGTTGGATGCGAGGATGGATCCCATCTTCTTCACCACCGCGCGAGCAGTCCTCGGTCCAGGAAGGCCAGGCTTTACTGGGCGCGGAGCCTAGTCGGTACGGTACCGTTTAATTGCATATAAGCGTGCTTTTGTTGTTTGACTTGTCAGTCTGTATTTTCCAGCGAAGCAGACACAAGATATGATACGATGACTTTTTGTTTTGTTTTACCTTTCAATTGGGGCGCAGCATGGATTATCACGGGTGTTTTCATCATCGCATATATAGGTTGGGCTCAACCCATATACACATTTCTACCAGACCCAAGCACAGAAATAGACACCATCGAACAGTCTTTACTCAATTGGGCGTAGCTCGGGGGATACAAAGCTCGAGCACAACAAATGTCTCACGTCGCATCGGATCGAAAATGTGGTTAGGCAGGCCGAGCGGCTCCGGGTAGATCGCCATCTGTCCACTTTCCCATGGTCTGCACTCAGTCCGGTATCTTGTACCTGAAAAGATTCCCTGATCATATACGGAGTACCCTACCTAGGTAGTACTAATAGAGAGGCAAACAATGGACTCATTTCCCCTGACTCAAGCCCAGGGGAAAACCCCACCAAGACAAGCCACAGTAAGCACCAGGGCATTCACCACCTCCAGAGCCGACATCCAAGCCCTAATTGGAAGAACGCGAACCTTTAATCTCCCCTCCGTTCGTCTTAGTGCAGAGCCACCCCAAATGACAATTTGAGTCAGCCAAATCCCTGCAGGAACCAATCCACCGTCTTCGAACGAGTCAAATCTCGCTCCGAATTGCCTGACAGCTAATTTTCTGAGTGGAGCGCCAGCGCCACAAGCCGGCGAAGGCGAAAACACCAGGGTTCATCCGACTCTCCATTCTAACTAGATATATAAATGCTCCCAGGCTCGATCTCGCGATGGCGTTTATTTATTCAAAACTACGATTCCATTCGCTCTGTGGTGTACAATCACCCGTCCATTCGTTTGATCAGATACCATGATGGTCCCTAGCCATCTTCTGTGGCTTGCCCATGCTTTGCCAGCTGTTGCACTGACAATCACTGCAATTCCTGCGCCCTCGCCCACTACTACATCATGTAGTTCGGAAAATTTGATCAAAGAGGGATCATTCTCGGGCGTTGATCTCAACGATGGAGTATGGGAGATCGTCGGAATGGAACCTGGCACCGTCGTCGACAATTACCTGTCTGTATATACCTAGGTGATCTCTAACATAAGAACATTCACTAAAATATATACAGGCACCTGACCGCCACCGCTGTCAATGCGATGTCGCTACTGATCCAGCCTGGATCCGGCGCTATCTCAGGAAAAAGCTATACATTTTCCATGGATTTCCGCCAAAACGCGGGTACCGATACCTGCTCTGTGGAGGTTCATATCGGCGGCGACCTTGTCGACACTAGCAGCCACACCGCGAGTGATTCATGGGTCACTATCTCTAAGCCATGGACTGCTTCTGGTCCATCTTCTGATGTCTTCCTCGTCATCGACTGCGACGGCCAAAAGGATGTTGGCTCTACCGTGGATGTGACCAACATTTCGCTGGTAGAGAGCTGCGGCACTTCTTCATTGTCAAGTGTCTCTGCGCCCATCAGGACTCCATCCATTCCTCCTGTCTCCAGCACACCGGTTGCTTCGGCGTCGCCATCTGCTGAGCCCAGCTCCCAGGTGTCTTCTGGTGTGGTATCATCCAGTGCTGGAACTTTCCCTTCTAGTTCTCCCAGTCAGCCCGGCTCTCATGGATCTTCCAGTGCTTCGATTACTCCCTCTGGAAACCCTGGATCCCACGCATCTTCCAGTGCCCCGGCTTTCCCATCTGGCCCTGTAACCACACCTGACTCTCACGCATCCTCCAGTGCCTCTGCTACCCCCTCCGGCCAGCCAAGCTCCCACGGATCTTCCAGTGCATTTGCTCCTTCTTCTATCCCTACTTCTGAGTCTGGCTCTCACGAATCATCCAGTTCTGGAACTGTTCCTTCTAGTTCTCCCAGTCAGCCCGGCTCTCATGGATCTTCCAGTGCTTCGATCACTCCCTCTGGCCATCCTGGATCCCATGCATCCTCCAGCGTCTCTGCTACTCCTTCCGGCCAGCCAGATTCTCATGGGTCTTCCAGCGTCTCCCCCGCTTCCTCAAGCCTTGCAACCATCCAAACTAGCTCCCAGGGCTCATCTAGCATTACCAGCACCAGCTTGGTGTCCACATCGTTCCCTGGGTCCGCCTCTTCGACTCCCGTCTCACCGGCCTCGAGCTCTAGCCCTGTGAGCCCTCCCACCATTACAATCACAGCTACCGAATCAGCAAGCCCAGTATCTAGTGGAACTAGCCACCCCTCCAGCGCCGCTCAATCCTCTGATGCTGCTACCAGTATTCCAGGAAACTCCTCGGATGGCCAAAATGAGGAGACCACTTCTGCAGCACCGGCATCCCAGACCACTGTTGCTTCGTCGCCTGTCATCTCCTCTCCAGTGGGGACTACTACACAAATGACCACCTCTACTGTTTTCACTACTCGCACTGCGACAATCACCGCTTGCCCCTCCACCGTCACCAACTGTCCTGCCACTGAGAAAACCACTTACATCACTACTGAAACCATTGTCGTTTCGACTACTGTTTGCCCAGTCGCTGATTCGACTACAACCGTTGAAGGCTCACACCCCACTGGGTCAGCAGGTACTGGTAGCGACTCGGACTCTGGATCTGGATCGGGCTCCGACAGCAGTGGCAGCAACAGTGGTACTGGCTCTGGCTCTGACTCTGACTACACAGTCTCAACGATCTACTCCACCCGCACAGTTACCTTGACTGAGTGCCCGGCAACAGTGACCGACTGCCCAGCCCGTGACAAGACGACGCATGTTGCAACTGAGACTGTCGTTGCCGGAACCACCATCATCCCCATCAAACCTGTGACTGCAACTACTACCACCGCTGGCGCAGTTCACAACTCTCCCGTGCCTGTTCAGACTACGACTGTCGTTGTCGGAACCGAGACCAGAACCTCTACTATCTTCTCTGCAGTTACGGTCATTGGTACCTCCGTCATTGAATCTGGTGCTGCTGAGACTGGCGTTTCTCACATCGGTGGAAACACTGATTATTCTCATAATGGCAATGGATCTGATGTTTCGGCAGGTCAAGGCGAAGGCTCGATTGGTTCTGAGTCTGAGTCTGGCTCTGACTCGACCGACTCTGACTCTGTTGGCGCTGTTGGCTCTGATACCGCCCCATCCAACAACGGTGCTGCCAGCTACTCCAACCTACCAGGAATTACACGCATCAGCTCAGCTGCACCAAGCCTCACCCGGGCCGCCTCTTCCACTGCGCAGATCTCATCCATCATCCCTAGCCCATCTGCTGGTAGCGAGACCAGCGCTACTACCATCGTTGGTTCGGTTGGTACTGGTACTGGTACCCAAACTACCGAAAGCACAGCCAGCGTGTCACCCATTTTCAACGGTGCTTCATCTCGAACAGTGTCTGGCACTGTTTCGGCTCTCGGAGCCATCGCTGCTCTGGCACTCTTTCTTTAAGTAATATGATTCAGGAAGCTCGCACTCTGTCTTGAACCTCTATCTTGAATTGGACCATGGTTGATAATTGATTTCCCTTGCATCTAATTAATTTGACACTCCTTCTGTGTGCTTTTTACCCTATGTTGATCAGTTAGACTCAATGAATAGTCTACCATCGATGTTTCCAGTTCATATTAGGCGGTAAACAGTTCGTATGAGACAGTGTAGTATCACAAGGAGTTAAATGTGTCTTGCAGCATCGATGGGGATTTGTTTGGTGTAGACATCCATGCTTATTTACAGATGAAGTGCAGCCCTGGAGGACTTTAGGACAAGACGAAAAGAAGAATATTGACAGTTATCTCATCTAATTATAAACATAGTAGTCACTTGATAAAACAGACATACATAAGGACAAGCATCAACATCACACCATCACGGTCGCCGGGCAATAGATCCATGCTTGGGGGGCAGCTCTGGTATTGCGGGATAATTTAGCCCATCAGTCCGTGATCCCATTTCAATCCAGATCCGTATCCACAGCGAGAAAGACGGGAAGAAAACCAAACATCATCCTTCGTCAGAAAAAAAGATGACCAAGAAAGCAAGAAACAACATTGAAGAAACGAAAAGGAGCCAGCCTTCGCCCCGTGCGAAATGATACATAATATACATCTTGGCAGAACCCAACCATTCCAGTGGAGATTGGCAGGTCGGCTAGATGCGACTAGAATATTGGGCAAGGCAGTATTAGGCAATATTTTAAGTAAAAGGTAAGAGTGACAGAGAAGGCAATGCAAGAAAGGTGGAAGAAGGGTCATATGGGGAACAGGGCATATTCATTCGTTGAATAACTCGTGACCGAATTGGGTTTTGCTTGGTTCCATGGTTTCTAGTTCTTGAGGTGAATGCGCTGCTTTGATGCATCGATGAGGCCTGTGAGGTTCAACGCTAAACATTACTCGGAACAAGAATGGGAGCACCTGGAATTGGGTCACGTGTGATGACCAGCACCGACACTCGTGAAATAACCCTGGCGGAGGACTCATCTCAAGGTAGTTTGAACCCAAGACAACATCATATCAGCCACCGAGTAGCAAAGAGTCAAGTCTAAAACAGAGGAGTCTTGACATCTTGGACTCCGCGTCGGATGACATCTTCGATGCGCCAACGGGGAGGGGTAATGTGCTCTGAAGGCTTGTGCTGGTATTCCTTCTCCAACTCCGGAGGAGGGCTGGGTTGCTCGGTAGGAGGAAGAGCACCACCGGCGATACCCGTCGAGAACTTCAGCTGCAACACGTTACCGATTTCATCGCAAGCAGTCAAAACGCGATCGAGATCTTCTTTGGTGTGGGCAGCAGACACACAGAAACGAGCGCGCGATGATACCAGTGGAGTGGCGGGATAACCAACGACAACAACGGAAATTTTGCGACGCAGCATCTCGTGGGAGAAGGCAGGCATCTTGGCAGGGTTGAAGAGTAGAACAGGGACGATTGGCGAGTCGTCATGACCATAAACGATGAAACCAAGACGCTTCAAGCCCAGACGAAGGTATCGCGAGTTGAAAGCCAATCGCTGCAGACGCTCCTCACCCTGACCGGGGACAAGCTCACCACTGATGATGCGCAGAGCGGAGGAAATTTGCATGAGAATAGCAGGCGCGGGAGACTCTCCGTAGAAGACACCAGGGTTGGTAGCACGAAGTTGATCGATCATCACTTTGTCAGCCGCGATGTAACCGCCGTTGGCTCCAAATGACTTTGTAAGGGTTCCCATCAGAACATCAACCTCGGAGGTATCGATGCTGAAGTAGTCACACACACCTCGGCCTTTGGGACCAATGGCTCCAACGGAGTGAGCCTCATCGACGAAAAGGTTGAACTTGTACCTGCGCTTTAATTGCACAAGACCCGGGAGGTTGCACATGGAACCTTCCATCGAGTACAGACCCTCCACCACGACCAGAATCTTCTTCCAGGGACGGTGGGTGCGGGGTTGGCCTTGAGAAATTGCCTCTCGCAGTCTCAATTCCAAGTCACTCATGTCATTGTGCTTGAACATGGAGATGGAGGCACCGGAAAGACGAGCACCGAAACGGATCGAAGCGTGGTTCAGCTCATCAGAGATCAGGAGACAGCCCTTTGAGACAAGGGCAGGGAAAATGGTTGCGTTGGTACCAAAGCCCATGGAGAATATCATGGAGGCTTCCTTGCCGACGAATCTGGCAACCAAATCCTCGACCTCAATGTGCAGATCTTGGGTACCAGACTCGGCACGTGTGCTGGGCGCTGTGATTCCGTACTTCTTGATAGAGTCTTCCGCTTGGTCCGCACAGGGACCCTCGGACTGAGCAAAACCCAGATAGTTGTAGGAGCTCAGGTTGAGGGTGTCAGTAGTGGTACCCGTCAGGTAGAAGTGCTGGTTGTGATCATCTGTAGCCCGATCGATCAAGGTGATAGTGCGACCAGGGACACCAGTCACAGGGCGCTCAAAGCAGTCGTTAATGCGAAGCTTCAGACGACGGACGTAGAAGTTATCAAAGTCGCTGTTGAGAGCCGCATAACCGTGGCGGGGCTTGAGATGACGGTAGTTTTCTTCGCGGAAGCGTTTTCCAAAGAAGTCACGGACATGCCCAAAGGCAATTAGGATTAGATAACTGATGTAGGTAGTGAGCAGGTAATAATACGGTGGCTCGTCCATCACCGGTTCTGGGAAGACACCGCCAGGGTGTCGACTGGAATAGCGGTGGCTAGGATGACCGATTGGGCCGAACTGCGCATGTTGCTTGGCCAGGCGACGGGCCTCCTCCGGGGTCGGAGGTTGGAAGAGAGTTTGAGGTAGCTCGTCCATGTTGGGGTTATCCGCAGTGGCCGTTGATAATGATATCGTCGGTAAGGACAGTGATGCCGAACTTATCGGCGGAGAAGAAGCGTTAGGTTGGGAGTTCCCACTGGACTGTACAGATTCGACTTTTGACTTGGGCGAGCTCGAAAATAGCTGTGACAGGCGATTGGACTTAACAGTGGGTGTCTTGATAGAGATACCGCCCTTCCCGGAGGGTGAAAAGGACGGTGGGTTGGTAGAAGTGTCGTTGGGGGAGTTGCTGCTAAATCGACGAGGCATCGCAGGAGGAAACAACGGAAGGTTTCAGCGCAGGTCGTTCGCACCGTCAGGATCGAGGGGCGCGTTGCGATAGGTGCGTCCGGGATGATGATCGAGGCAAGGACTACCGAAGTAGCTCTGAATTGCTTTTTTTTCTTTTGGAGGGGCGCACTGTTCTCCGGGAGAAAGTCGACCGTAGCTACCGCGGGGGATGTGTCTGGAAACGGAATTAGCTCAGTGTTCTGAATGTTCTGGACCAGGCACCAGTGGGACTCCTGAAACACTCCCGCTGCCTGGTATTCGAGGCACCAGAGCTGCAAGGTCCCTCAAGATCCCAGAACGAGACATACCACGGAATATAGTCGAGGGAAGAGGAATCCGAGAACTCCGAAAGGGCTTTCAAACGGAGGAGCACGTGGGATTTGGGGGGGGGCAAGGAAACACGACTAAGGGGCAAAGAGCCCTACGTGAAGATGACGGAAGAACCAATCTCCTAAACCGACAAAAAGCAACCAAAGATCACAACGAGTATGGTTGAAGAAGGGGAGAAGTCTGAGAAGGTAAATAAGACTTGGTTCCCAAGCTGTGTAATCATCATTGAACCTCCTGGTAATAAATTGAAACCCCGGGACAGCCGTGAGCCCGCATGATTGGCCCAGGGGCTTGGCAAGGAGATATTATTACCAGTTTGGTACTACTGGTTTTTTTTCTTTTCCCGCTAACTTTTCGGGCCCGAGTCCACACTCGCATTACACGAGTACGAGCACTCTGTACGAGGTGGTTTAGGTCGCTTCAGTCTGGCACAGATCACCTGGTTCGTGATCCGCTAATACGGGATAAGCAGATCCGATTTACGCCGTACGATCTACTACTTTATGTGTCGATATTTCGACTTCAATGCACGGAGTACTTGTGGACTCCGCAGAATCCACTTAGTCAGGTACCAGAGAAAAGAGGGAAAAAAAAGAAAAGAAAAGAAACCCTTCCAAGGTTATGCTAGGTTGCACTTTTATTATGGGGCTGGGCACAAGAGCTGGGTCCTACGGTACCTGAGATGAAAACGTCTAGACCTGACGCCTGAGGCATCAATTGCTTCCATATCTCCAGGGCTGTTCTACGGAGTACTTGGAACGGCAATAAGATCGCTAGATCAAAATTTCACCCTACTGAGATCGTGCTGGATCTTGCCTATCTACTCGTAATCCGTTGCCACAGAGTGCAAACCGAAGGCAAAGCAATCAATTCAACTATGTACGGAGTACTGAGCAGGGTTTCCTGCAGGTACCCTTCGCAAGTCTTGCTGGTCTCCACCGACCAGACTGGCATAACAAGGACTTTTTATCAAAACGTCCACTGAGGCCATGGCCATTCTCTGTCTTCGCCTCAGATGGCGGCTATTCCCCACAAAAGACTCGTCCGAGCATACTTCCCCGTACGGAGTAAATCTGATCGAGATGTCAATTTCATCGTTGGGGCACTAAGGGGCTGGGTGGGGCCAAAGGCACAACGGAGGCGCCTTGGCTTCGCCACGATATTCGAACAACAAACCAGCTGGATACGAGTACTCCAAAATGGCCTGATCTGATATTGTACCAAAAATAATACCCTCCCATACTGCTGATAGAAGAACATCTGTCACACTTCCTGAAGTCATTGTTCAGGCAGACAACGTGAAGCTAGACAAGTATTTGCCTAGTGAATGCCAACTATAGCCCTGGAGACTGATCGCAATGAAAATCTCAGCTCCCCCAATTCACAAAGTTCCTATTCTGAAAGAGGGGTGTAAGTCTCTGTGCCCTATAGACTCTAAAGGATCCAATGTCAGGAACGTTTGTAAATAGTCTGAACCTGCCACGGGTAGCAAGTCCAAGTGCCTTGATCTATAGTACAATAACATGACCCACGCGGTGTCAGCGTATTTTCGTTAAGCCGATGAGTTCCATCGACGGAGCTGACAAACAAGACCTATGGGGATAGCTAAATCCGCCAATGTGTTATTGTTAAGACGAGCCTATCTTTGTGGTTCAGATCGCCCGGTGGAGATAGATGCGTCTTTGCCCTCCCTTTCCTTCTCTCTCTGAGAGCGATCGCAAATTAAGTGCTTTGGATGAGGCTCCCATAAAAATTTGAAGGAAAGACCAATGAACCCAGAGGAACAATGAACGTCGTGTGGGGATCAAGGACTGCGCCAACATAGTTGTTGCTCATGTCCATTTATTTTCGGGTGATTTCGGGGACGGTAGGCTCATATTAGACATGCTGAGCTAGTTCAGTTGCACAAAGTATTCGATCATCCTGCTACTATAGTGAAGTTAGAAGTCGTGAATTGATTTCACATATGACATCATGGCACCTATACCGGACACCTCGGATGATATTTCCTTTCAGTTCTACCAGGAGAATCAAGGAAATTGAGAATCGGTTATTTTCATGGTGAGCTATTTGAGATGGAACTGTTCCCATACGTGATAATCTATCATAAAATTCCGAAGGGCCCTCTCTACCAATTAGTCCACAATGGCGGCATGTCATCCTCATACCTATGAGAACGAGATCTATGCAAACGGACTCAAAAATATCAAACCATCCATAAGCTTCCATCCGCTTGAGTGGGAGGCCCAGGCTAAGGAGGTATTACCTGCCGACAGCTTTGGTTATGTCTGGGGCTCTGCTGGCCTCCGCGAGACCGACGACAACAATCGAGCAGCCTTCCGCAAATGGGCTATTCTTCCATCCCGGCTTGTCAAATCAGGTTTTCCAAGCCTGAAGACCACTCTTTTCGGTGAAGAATACAACTATCCCATTGCTATTGCACCTGTGGGAGTTCAGCGAATCTTCCACCCCGACGCTGAAATTGCTGCAGCCACAGCAGCTCGAAAGCAAGCTGTTACATACACACTCAGCTCGGCCTCGTCCACAAGTATTGAGGATGTTGCAAAAGCAAACGACAGTGGATCTCGTTGGTTCCAACTTTATTGGCCCTCCAACGAGCACCATGATATCACTGCGAGTCTGTTGCAGCGAGCCAAAGCAGCGGGTTACAAGGTGCTCGTCGTGACCCTCGACACTTATATTCTAGGATGGCGTCCATCAGACTTGTGCAACGCGTTCAATCCTTTCTTGCGACCTGATAATATCGGTGTTGAGTTAGGATTCACAGATCCGGTTTTCCGTCGCCAGTTCCGCGAGAGACATCACAAGGAAGTGGAGGAGGATGTGGGAACAGCGGCAACAGAGTGGGCGCGAACCATCTTCCCGGGCACCAGCCACTCCTGGGAGGACCTTCAGCTTCTGCGGAAACACTGGGACGGCCCCATCGTCTTGAAGGGCATTCAGACTGTTCAGGACGCCCAGCGCGCTGTTGAAGCCGGGATGCAGGGCATCGTTGTCTCCAATCATGGAGGCCGTCAACAAGATGGGGGCATTGGATCTCTTGATGTGCTTCCCGAGATCGCAGAGGCTACCAAAGACAAGCTGGAAATCATATTTGACTCTGGGGTCCGCAGTGGTGCTGACATCGCTAAGGCACTGGCCCTGGGTGCCAAAATGATCCTTATCGGTCGTCCGTACGTGTATGGGCTAGCCATCGGTGGCGAAGCTGGCGTGTCACACGTACTCCGCAGCCTCCTCGGTGACCTGGAATTGACGCTTCACCTTGCTGGAATTCCCTCGGTATCTCCCGAGGTTCTGAATGATAGTGTGTTGCGTCGGATCGCTTCATAGGTGTGCGCCATCCGAGGAGTCCTTCTTACTATCTCCGAGACTTGACACCTCCCGCGGTCGTATAAAAGCACAGGGCAAGAAGATGGGGATCGGCTAAGATCCAAGTTAGTAGACTCGAAAATCAAGAATCATGTATCAATTAGATCACGTCAACTTTGAAGGAGCCGTTGACCACCCCCGGTCCGGGGATCCAAGATGCGTGAAACGCACATCTCCCATCCGCTTTGGGAAGTGCCATCCATATAGTTGCAACCGACTGTCCAAATTTTCGCCTCAGGCAGATTAAACCCCTTTCCTCGTTAATATTTTGTAAATCAATACTACTTAAGAGTGACATTACGCTCATCCATCTCGCCAGATCGAAGTTTCCATATGCAACGTCCTTCCCCATACCCGCGGAAATCGGCAACTTAATACCCGCCCACTCCCGCCCCGCCATCCGCCCCTTGTTGGGACATTTGCACTGGCCGTTGACTCGTCAAGCTTTGACAACCCCTGCAAGAGAACCCTGTCAGGCTTCAATAGGCCAATTACAGAACTTGCACTTCATTGGGGCTATTGCCACATTGTCTCCGAATTTCAGTGTCACACGGCATAGGCTGTTATTCCCGACATCAATCCACTCTTAGCGATACCTTTCCGTCCCTGGGATCTAATAGTCTCGGGCTTTTTGTTTTTTCATTAATACCCAAACAAACTGCACCAATTGGTCGAAACAATCATGCCCCATATTGATGAAGCTGAGTCTTTCGACTCTGAAGTTGAGGAGCTTTGGCGGCCCTCTTCGCCCGAATCAACTCAGATCTATGATTTTATGACCAAGGTGAACAAGCAGTACGGTCTGTCTTTGAAAGACTACAGTTCCCTCTGGCAATGGAGTGTATCTGAGCCTGCCCAATTCTGGGAGCAAATTTGGCACTACACTCATATCAAGGCCCACAAGCCATACCAAAAGGTAAGAGAATCCACGGTCCACCTTAATTGTATGAGGCGAAACTTCTTGGTGCTCACTGAAATAAAAGGTCCTTGAATCGAAAGATGTGATGTTTCCTAGACCGTCATTTTTCGAAGGTAGCCAACTGAACTTTGCTGAGAATCTTCTCTTTCCTGCTACTGCCCCAGACGAAGATTCGGTGGCAGTAATAGGCGCTACCGAAGAAGCTCGCGAGTTCATCTCGTGGAAGGACTTGCGAGAACGAGTCCGGCGGTGTGCCAATGCTTTGAAAGAAGCGGGCGTCAAGACCGGTGATCGTGTTGCCGGTTTTGTAGGCAACCATGTCACCACTGTTGTGGCTATGCTGGCAGCAGCCTCCATCGGTGCCTTTTGGACCGGTGTGTCGCCAGATACTGGTGTTCATGCAGTTTTGGAGCGACTCAAGCAGATCCAGCCCAAAATCCTCTTTGCAGACAATGGGTCTCTCTACAATGGCAAGGTGCATGGCTCACATGCCAAAGTCTGGGAAATCGTTTCAGAACTGCCGGATCTCGAATTAATGGTGCTGCTTGTGACTGCCCCCGAGTTGGAGGTCAACCTGGATGACTTGACGCCTGCCAATGGCAAAGCAAAGATTTATGATGACTTTTTGTCAGAGGTCCAGAATCCTCTGGCGTCATTGGAGTTCGCAAGTTTGACACCAGAACACCCTGTCTATATTCTGTATTCCTCGGGCACAACGGGGGCCCCAAAGCCCATTGTACACGGCTCTTTAGGAACTCTGTTACAGCACAAGAAGGAGCATCTTCTGCATTGCGACATTCGACCGGGTGATCGTCTTTTCTATTTCACAACGACAACCTGGATGATGTGGCACTGGCTTGTTTCCGGGTTGGCAAGTGGTGCTACTATCGTTCTTTACGATGGCTCGCCATTCCGGCCCTTTGACGCTGAGGGCGGGAAAGGAGAAATGGCGATGCCAAGGTTGATTGAGGAACTTCAAATCTCTCATTTCGGCACCTCAGCCAAATACCTCTCACTTCTAGAGCAAGCCGTTCTGAACCCACGCAAACACGCCAACCGACCAGTTTCATTGGGTTCGCTGAAAGCGATCTTTAGTACTGGGTCTCCGTTGGCACCTTCAACATTCGAATACATATATTCGTCTTTCCACAACGATATTATGCTCGGCTCCATCACCGGCGGTACGGACATCCTCTCGCTGTTTGCTTCAGGCTGTCCCATTCTTCCCGTCTACAAAGGGGAGATTCAATGTCGCTCTTTGGGCATGGATATCTCAGTGTTCGACTATGCCGGCGAAGATATCAGTGCATCAGGCGAGCCTGGTGATCTCGTTTGTGTGACGCCTTTTCCCGCACAACCAGTCATGTTCTGGCCACCTGGGCCCGCCGGCTTAGAAAAGTACCGAAAAAGCTATTTCGATGTATTTGGCCCATCCGTCTGGCACCACGGAGACTACGTCCGCTTCAATCCAAAAACCGGGGGAGTGGTCATGCTGGGCCGCAGCGACGGTGTTCTAAAGCCCTCTGGAGTACGGTTCGGCAGCTCTGAGATCTACAATATCCTCTTGAAGCATTTCGCTAGTGAGATCGAGGACTCTCTTTGCATTGGTCGGAGACGTGAGGGTATTGACACTGATGAAACGGTTGTCTTGTTTGTGCGACTTGCTTCTGGCGAGTCGAGGATCTCGCCAGATCTCGCCACACGCGTTCAATCTACTATCCGTAAGGAACTAAGCCCACGGCATGTTCCGGGGGTCATTGACGCTTGTCCGGAGATCCCGGTGACTTCTAATGGCAAAAAGGTCGAGAATGCTGTCAAGCAGATCTTGTGTGGGCTTAACATCAAGATTGGTGCGAGTGTTGCAAATGCCTCATGTCTCGACTGGTATCAGAGATGGGCTTTGGAACATGCTTAACTCGATATGTAGCCAGGACTTCAATGACATCATATGCCCTTAAAATGATATTGGGGTAATCATATTAGCTATGTTCAAGTGACGATGTAGGCCAGCAAGCTGTCAACACGAGAAAAATATGCTTTACAAAGATTGGAAGAAACTTCATAGTGCCAAACCTGCGAGTCGAGACCTAGCCAGTCTTGATAAGCAGAGTCTGGAGTCCGGGACCGCGGACTGTACCCCAATTGGGCCCAAAGAGATGGCGGATATTACAGATACTTCTATTTCTTCTCAGTAAGCAGATCCATTCTAGGTCCAACTATATGTACTCTGTAAAGTACACTCCGAGTAGATTCAATTTTATGTTGTCATGCAACCGATTAGCTAAGCGATTTCGGATCACGGCTCCTTCCTAAGTTACGATTCTTCGTAGTCCCCGAACATTATCTCCAGAACCACTCACAACACTCGGCATTTCCCAAGTCGTTGCATCTGCACAAATACTATAATCATGCGCCGTACCGCATTGCGGGCCATCGAGTCCGCGAAGCCATTGGCTAGAGCTCCTCGTGCTGTGTCGAGAAGCTTCTCTACCGCCAACGACGCCGCTAAGGTAATACTGTCTTGCTGATGTCGCCTGTGCCTATCAAAACTAATATGTTTCTTCTTTTTAATTTAGGACCCTGCCGATTTAGAACAGATTACCACACTTCCCAATGGAGTCCGTGTCGCTACAGAATCCTTACCGGGTCCCTTCGCTGGTGTTGGAGTATACGTCGATGCTGGATCTCGCTATGAAGATGCGAGCCTGCGCGGTGTCAGTCACATCATGGACCGCCTTGCCTTCAAGTCCACCAAGGCACGTTCCGGGGATCAAATGCTCGAGGTTCTTGAATCGCTCGGCGGCAACATCCAGTGCGCCTCGTCCCGAGAGTCATTGATGTATCAGTCTGCCAGTTTCAATTCGGCAGTTCCGACCACGCTTGGTTTGCTCGCAGAGACTATTCGTGACCCCTTGATCACCGACGAAGAGGTTCTCCAACAACTCGCAACGGCGGAATACGAGATCGGCGAGATTTGGGCCAAGCCTGAGCTTATTCTTCCAGAATTGGTGCACATGACCGCATATGCCGACAACACCCTTGGAAACCCACTTCTGTGCCCAGAGGAACGGCTCGGCGAAATCAACAAGGCCGTCGTGGAACGCTACCGTGAAGTCTTCTTCAACCCGGACCGGATGGTGGTTGCTTTCGCCGGAGTGCCTCATGCGGAGGCCGTTAAGCTCACAGAGCAATACTTTGGTGACATGAAGGCGCGTGACAACAGCAAATCCAAGGGTCCCGTCTTGTCGGGCAGTGGAATTGAAACAACGCTCTCGGATTCACAGCAGGCCGCCCACGAAGGTCAAGTGCCGACCGTCCCTTCGTTCACACCCTCATCAACTATCACAAGCCCGGCGGCTTCGCAAAACACACAATCCTCGCTTTTGTCGAAGCTTCCTTTCCTCAAGAACCTGACATCTAGCAAGCATAGCGCAGTCGAACCTCTCCACCCATCTTTGGTTGAGCCCTCCGCTTTGGACCTCCGCCAACCCGCTCACTACACTGGTGGATTCATCGCTCTTCCACCCATCCCCCCACCGGCGAGCCCCATGCTCCCCCGACTGAGCCACATTCACCTCGCATTTGAGGCTCTTCCCATCTCCTCACCCGATATCTATGCTCTCGCCACGCTCCAGACTCTGCTTGGTGGTGGTGGTTCATTCTCGGCCGGTGGCCCCGGAAAGGGCATGTACTCGCGTCTTTACACCAACGTCCTGAACCAACATGGTTGGGTGGAGAGCTGTATCGCTTTCAACCACAGCTACACCGACAGCGGAATCTTCGGAATCACCGCGTCGTGCAGCCCAACTCGGACAACAGAGATGCTCGAGGTCATGTGCCGGGAGCTGCAATCGCTCACTCTGGATACTGGATTCTCTGCGCTGCAAGCTCAGGAGGTTAACCGAGCGAAGAACCAATTGCGCTCCTCGTTGCTGATGAACCTGGAGTCTCGCATGGTTGAGCTCGAGGATCTGGGACGCCAGGTTCAAGTCCATGGCCGCAAGGTCAGCGTGCGGGAGATGTGTGAGCAAATTGACGCTCTTACGGTGGAAGACCTCCGTCGTGTGGCCCGCCAAGTCTTTGGTGGCCAAGTCCAGAACAATGGCCAGGGCACTGGAAAGCCCACCGTTGTCTTGCAAGAAGGCGAATTGGAGGGCTACAAGCTCCGGTCCTTCCCCTGGGAAGAGATCCAGGAACGGATCGCCCGGTGGAAGCTTGGCCGGAGGTAAATAGAGATCATACAATACCTTCAGGCTGGGCGCCGGAAGTAATGGTCATGTGGATGGTCGCATCTATGGGATGACTCTGTAATTATAGACCAGCATTTTGACCCTTGTAGAATACACACCTCTCTTTGTCAACAATATCATTCTTCCTAATAATCACCCGTCCTTTTTCACCTGATATTTAATAGTTTTCCATCAAATATGAATAATAATGTCGCCCTCACGAAAACCATTGGCGCAATGACATCGGTCATCGAGGGTGGGTCCAAGCTCCTTCGCCGCTTTTCGGCAAAAAAGTCGGAGCGAAACGTAGAGCGTCCTTCCATCACTCATCCATCACCTTGAACTAGATCCCGTCCCTATACCCCTTCCAATACCCTTCAAAATGGTCAAACTCACCGAGGTCGAAGACGAGCACTTCTCCGAGAAGCCCACCACCACCAAGCACGATGCCCTCTTGGTCTCCGATGATGAGGACGACTACTCTGACACTGGTTAGTATCGGCTACGCCTCCACCTTGAGCCTTGCATCGCGTCATTGCCATCTGCATCGTCACTCAATCTCTTGATGTGCTTCATCACGTACAATTGTTCCCTTAATCCCTTTCCATCCTCGCCAACCCCAGCACGCGCCTGAACCCCAGATTGAACACGTCCGCGGAAAACACCCGAAACCAAATCTGACATCGAATCCGAATAGACTCCGAGATCTCCGATGATGAAGATGTCGAGCTCGACGGCGAGTCTCTTTACGAACGTATCGCTGCCCTGAAAGATATCGTTCCCCCTTCCACCCGCCGCACTGTCTCCGACTCCATCTCCTCCGTCACAAGCCTTACCAAGGCCACCTTTTCCTTCAGCGGAAAGGCCCTCTGGGTTATCAGCACCAGTGCTTTCCTGCTTGGTGTGCCCTTTGCACTCGCTTATGCCGAGGAAGAGCAGTACATCCAGATGGAGCGTGAGCAGGGAATGATTAAGGGAGCTAACGAGGTACGTGTCTGATCTTGTTTTTTGATTCAATTCGATCCATCCATCCCGAGGGCATTCTGGAATCGAACATTTACTGGATAATACCACTCTCTACCTCGGGTATTCTATTCCAGCGGAATTCCATCCAGCTCTCGTCCTGCCCTCAATGTCACTGAACATCCCTGCCGAACAATGCGCTGACCCGACTCTTCAACAGATGCTCACCCCGGGTGTGGAGTCTGAGAAGCAGGCCCAACCCACTCTGTAAATTAATACCATTTTGGAAAAGAGACCACCGATTCAGTACCCCGCCAACGGTCGATCCTGAATGCCAGCAGAGTACGCGGCGTTTGGAGCCGGTCACTTTTGGTCGGGTTTTTACACAAGACCACCGAGTCCGCGTGGATCCTCACATTTTTTGAACTCTTTCCGCATTTCCCATGCTTTCTCGACACTTCGGCTCCGGCAGCTTATGCATGTATTTGTACAACCCCAACCATCTACTCATGTTTCTCTATACACCCTTTTCTTCTCTCTTCATGTGCATGTCTGTCTAAGTAATGAAAAATGATGGGTTTGGTCGCCTTCTCTTCCTCTCTTTTTGTACGAGTAAGCTTTACACATTTCACGGAACCATTGGCAGTGTAGGATTTTCGAAGCAATGTTTCCAGGTATGCAGTTTTGTTTAATACACAGTGCGCTCAACCAAAGCCCTGAAGGGCATTGTTTTGGAAGTAACACGCTGAGTACATATGCACGAAGCAAAGAACAACATTTTGGGAAGGGAGCCAGGGGACACATTGACCCGTACAGGGATACAATTATATTGAATTTTGAATTGGGCCGCTATTCATTCCGTACTTAAGCAGTCGTAAGATGAACTCCTTAGCAACGCGTACGGAGTATAGACCCTCGCCTTGCTAAACCAGAGCAGACGTGAGAAAAGATTTGCGATGGTCATTGGCAAAAGCAACGCCAGAGGGTCATTGAAGAACAAGGGGTATCATAACAGGGCTTTGTGCAAGAAGGGGAGGGAGAAACTCCTTTTTTTGTTTGGAAAGCAGTTCGCTGGTGGATGTTGGTCGATCGTAGCCTTTTGAGTTGCAAAGCAGCACGGGATGCTAGGGAAAAGCAATGCAGAGACTGAATCAACCATAGATGGACTAATCAGATGATAGACAATATCAGTATCGACAGTTTTGACAATAGAGCAGGATGGAGCAGGACAACATACCTCTTTTTCACGAGCAGACTTGAGATTAAGATGGAAATCACGCCAGAGCTTCTCGACTTCACCAGTCGTGACCATCATATCAAGAACATCATTTGCATTCCGGGTCCTTCGCTTAACGCTCAGATTGTTGCGTCTCAGAATTTCGTCGTCCACCATGAGGCCCATGCGCTCGAGATGGTCAATGACCCACTCATTGAGATGATAGCGCCAGTGCGTAAGTGTGTGAGCGAGCTGAGCTCTTGATTTGCACTGCCTGAAGGGAAATTATGTTAGATGGATCAGAAGGGGGTTTGGGGGAATCACTCACTTTCCCAGATAGAAATGACCATTTTCATCGGGAAGGACATGGCCATTTCGATCACGCTCTTTCCCATCGTCAGTAGCTTTGCTAGACTGGCCATTACTGTCGCTGTCACTGTCATCTTCGTCCTCCAAAGGCTCCAGAGTTTGAAGCGAGTATGGTTTTCCGTAGAGCTTCATGTCGGCAGAAGCCGGGTGACCAGATCGTCTACACGCATCACAGGAATGGTTATCCTCCGTGGGGTACGCAGAAACATCCATGTGTGGTCGGGCTTGGAGGGCGTAGACGAAAGCCGGTGTCCACACAGAAGAGATAAGCTGAGATCCGGCTCGACCCTTGACTTCGTCCTCGAGCTTCATGAATGCCATCTCGTACATGGCGTCTGAGCGAGGGAAAGCTGGGTTAAGTTTGTTCTGAACCATCCAGCCAATGACATCTCGGAAGTATTCCTTTGGTTGTTTGTATGCATGGCGAGTAAATTCGAACGGAATTTCCTCCGTTGGAACACCTAGATCATCTTTTCCGTCTTCCAGAACGAAGTCGTCTTCATATCGATCCAGATCCTCGTTGGGGTCAATGGCCGACTCTTCGTCGCTGTTCTCTTCGTGATGCTTCCAGAGACCTTCGCCAGATGGACTGTTGCCGGTGCCAGGGTCTTCGATTTCTTCCACGTCGGAACCTGATTGTTCTTCATCTTCGCTTTCCTCCTTCAGACCAGCCCGTCTGCGGCGCAGCACATCAAGTTGCTTTAGCCTTTTATCGCGCGCGGATTCGACATTTCGACCACGGGTGCGAGTCTTTTTCACGACTGGAAGTTTTCATTAGCATAAACCAGCCTAGCACAATAGCCAGTCGACACTTACCTGAATCTTGAAGATCCTCCAGGTCCTCCTCTATGTCAAGCTTAGCCTGTTTTGAAGTATGACGAGGTGTTTGGGGAATCTGGGTGTTTTCGGTATCAGGTCCACGTCTAAGCCTCTTCATGGGAGACGATGGAACGGGTTCGTCGGAATCGTCACTTTGCTCGTGAGTAATAACAGGTCTTGTTCTGCGCTTCCTGGCGGTGGAAGGGGCCACAATTTCGTTATCATCCTCGTCCTCACTCAGCACAAGCGGTGAGCTTGAGGACCCTCGCTGCTGGGCAGGTGTAGCTTTCTTTGAGGCATTAGAGACCGGAGGCTCATCTGAGTCACTCAAATCAATCGGCGAGCTCCTCGCCTTCCGCTTAGGCGCCCTGCGGGGTTGAGATGGGTTGAGGCCGTCTGCGACTGCGGGGTCTTTCTGCGGGATTTGCAATGTTTGCTGCGATTTTTTCGAGCGAGACATCTTCAGAGTATTCAAAGCACTTGTATTTTGTGGTTGGTCGGTCCTCACTTCGGGTTTGGCGGTTGGCGCATGCTGCTTTCTTCTCTTCGAGGTGGGGATGGTCGATTCGTCGGAGGGTTCGTTCTTAGATGTGTCTTGCGTGGCGGAATTGCCTTGGGATATTAGCTCAAATTCATAATGACCGGCTCAAGACACTGAGAACACACTGAGTTTTTTGGATATGGAAGTATTCTGCTCAGTCTGGCGAGATTCCGGTTGTTTCTTCTCTGCTATAGCTTGTGGTGTAGCTTTCACGGGCTTTTTAGAACTGATTATCCCTGTTTTAGCATTGTTAAATGTCAATGTCGAATATCGGCTGTTTGGGTTGGAGTTTGCTTCTTGGGAAGGCCCGGCTGCTGATGATGCAAAAGCTAGTCGCGTCTGCTTTTTCTTCGCATTTCGGGGAGGCATGTTGGGTATTTAACCAGCAGGACTAGTTGGATTTCAGTAGCAGGGATGTCACTTCATATATGCGATTGTAGAGCTCAAGCGTGGGGTTTGTTCAAAGAAGAACACGCTTCCAAGGTTAGCTCTGGAGCAGTGTGGTGGATCGCGACAGGATCGCGATCACACGTGATCAATTTAATTCAAATGGGGTCATGGTCGATTGCTAAACAACAAATTTTTGCTACAATTGTGTATGCCAGTGTCTCACTCATCTCACTCAAGTGGGTATTACTAGTGGGTAGGATGAAGCCCTGCAGCATGCCAAAGGATGTATGTGAACTCTGTACTCCTGAAGCCCGTCCTCCATATGGAGTAGTTGATGTTGTTGATGAGTGGGCTGGGCGGTGGATACCGCGGTAAGTAGTGACGGTCAGTAATTAGTATTAATTCAGTAGGCGGTCAAGAAATAGTGACGTTGAAATTAAGGGCGGTGAGTGGCAGAAGTGACACAAAACTAAAAAGACCCCAAGAGGGCGGTCAAGGAACTGCAGGCATAAAAATAACATCACTGCATGGCGGTGAAGGTACCAAATGCCCAACATCGTGGATAGTAATTGAATTATGGATTTTACCTCTTTCAACATCTAAACATGACATGGCTTGTACAATGCTATTCTCCATTTCAATGCTCAAGACAGTGGTGGAAAGCTTACAGTTGCTCCTTTTCTTGAAGGGATCCTCTGTCAAGCCTTTTTGTGCCAAGCAGGTCTAGTGACTGATTTCGACAACGGCTGGATAATGAGAATACGTAAACCATGATATATCCCAGCTTAGGTCTAAGGTCTTGTGTATGCTGCAAGAACTGTCTGACTGCGTTTTTGCCCCTGAGAACCCATGAGGCGAGATGTTTGATCAACAACAAAGCAGTCCCTTAGAGTTCCAGTTGTCAATCTCTACTGAATTTATCCCAGTGAAGTATGGAGTATGCATGCTTCATCATAAACCACCTTGAATTCTTGTCCAACTGGGAGTTCAAGAAACTCCAGAGATCTTGCAACCTTTGTTGTTGGAATCAACTACTGCTCAAGTGGAAAGAGCCAAGGTCAGCCCTATCTTGCCCAGCCCACGAAGCCTCCAGGGCTGGGGCCAAGTCCAGTGGCACCTCGGTTATTATTTCTTCATTTCCTTGAGGCGGCGTTGTTTCTTAAGTATCCTCGCATGGGCAATTTACCTTTATCCTTGAATATTTACCCTATTGGTGGAGTCGACTTTCTCCTATCGCCTCATGCGCCGATTCGTGGAAACCCACCTCTTTCATTACACCGGAACAAAATATCCTCGAACCCCAGATCCTCATGACCCCGGATTCAATTCCTGAATTCTGGGGTGATTTAGACCAATGAGCATTTACCCAGGAGCTCTAAAGTCTGTGCCATGTGCAGTGGACACCATGATACCCCACCACTCAGACAGCGCTCCGCATTATCAAAAGGTGAAATGATCTTAGCGTGTCCGGGGTTGCTTGTTCTGGGGATGGTCTGATTCACGCCGTGGCGCATTCTCTCTCACATGGCTTGGGCCTTTGGGTATCGCCTCCGGGGATGCTCTAGAATTTCACATATAGATTGGATTGTCACCCGTCAGCCGAACCGTCCTCTGAACTGAATTTGAATCTGACTTCTTCTCTTCTCTTCATCCACAGTTACCGTTGTTATCTTTTTCCCATATTTTCTCTCAACAACAGAGGCGGATTGTGTATTTATTCCACCTTCATTAGATTTTGATCGGCTGGCGCCACCCCTCAAGATGGGTTTCATGAGCGCCAAAAGAGCGTACAATTGGTCGGTACACACCCTTTCCCCCGCGAAAACACAGATTTTAACTCTGGTATATAGGTACATCTCCCTTGTGGCAGCATCGTGTATGGTGCTTTACGGTTACGATGCATCTGTGTTCAACTCCGTTCAAGGTTCCAAGAACTGGATGGCTTGGATGAATGAGCCCAATGCCAACACGATCGGTGCAGTCAATACGGCATACACAGTTGGTGCTATATTTGGTGGATTCTTCCTCGGCGGTCCCTGTGCGGATCTGCTGGGCCGTAAGATGGGAATGGGAATTGGTTGTATCATGGTCATTGTCGCTACTTTCATGCAAACTTTCTCTCCTCGCCACAACCTGGCTTGCTTCCTTGCGGGCCGATGCATCATTGGTATTGGTCAGGGTATTGCTTTGAGTAAGACCCCCCACCCCCATCCGCTGCTATATACTACGACTAAACACAGTTGTTATAGCCGCCGGCCCTATCTACATCGGCGAACTCGCACCCGCCGAAATCCGCGGTAAAATTATGACTTTCTGGCAGATGTTCTATTCGGTCGGATCTTTCATCTGCTTCTGGATCAACTTCGGCTGCACCAAGCACGTCGCCAATCTAGGCGAGTGGGATTGGAAACTTGTGGTCATTTTCCAACTCCTTGTGCCGGTCATGATCCTCGTCCTCCTACCTACTATTCCCGAAAGCCCTCGTTGGTAATGGCTCCCAAGTGAATCCATGAGTCCCGACACTGCTAACAAATCCCAGGTATGTCAAGAAAGGAAATCACATCGAGAAGGCCCGTGCTGCTCTTCGCAAGGTCCGCGACACCGAAGAGGAGGTCGAGCAAGAGCTCCTCGAGATCCGTGAAGCCATTGAATACGAGAAAGAAGCTATCTCCGGAAACTACTCTGCTCTCTGGAAGGACAAGTCTCTTCGCAAGCGCATGGCCCTTGCATTGGTTCTCAACGCTGGTCAACAGGTTACTGGACAAGGCTCGCTCAACTCATACTCCACCAAGATCTACAAGAAAGTGTTCACCAGCGATAGCCAAATTGCTCTTATCAATGCACTGAACGCTACTTTCGGTATTTTATTCACCCTTAATGCCGTCTGGATCATCGATCGCTTTGGAAGAAAATTCCTTCTGATTGCTGGTGGTATCGGCATGGGCCTTTGCATGATTGTCGTTTCAGCTGTCGAGACCGAAACACCGGCACTTGCAAACGGTGCTAAATCAGAGCCTGTTGGAATATCGATCGTGTTCCTACTATTCTTGTTCATTTTCTTCTGTAAGACCCCATTCTGCCTGCGTTTACGAACAGCGTTGCTAACTGCTTTGTTACAGACAAGCCATCCTGGGGTGCGACAGTTTGGATCTGGACATCCGAAATCTTCTCCATGAACGTCCGCGCCCAGGCTGTGGGCATGGCCTCGCAGACTCAAAACGTCGCCAACGCCATCGTTCAACAGTTCTTCCCCCTCTTCCTCGACAACGAGGGCTTCTACGCCTTCTACATGTTTGCGGGGATCAACTTCCTGCTGGCAGTTTTCGTCTTCTTCTTTATTCCGGAGACCAAGCAGGTCCCTCTCGAAGAGATCGATACTCTGTTCGGTGGCGCCAACCATGTCGCTCAAGGAGAGGAAGTTCTGGCCTATAAGAAGGAAGTTGGTTTGAGTAACGAGACTGACGAGAAGCCTGGTGCCGTCACTGTCGAGCGCGTGGGGGACAAATAGTGCTCCATACCATCACCGATTGCTGCAATTTGTCTTCGAAAATATTATAGCGATACCGACTTCATTGTTTTCTATAGTTAGCCGTCTCTAATACTATTGCGCTACCTGCGCAGTGTGAAATTTCCACTTTTTGCTGTGATTGCTCACAGCCAGACATCATACAGTATACTTGAGTAAACGCTGATGTGACTTCAAGCTCCAGAGATGTCTCAATTGCTACTTTTCGGTCAGTTCCTGAACTCTAGAATGAGCCAAGATCTTGATTGACTCCTTGCTGGGAATATCAATTCTTGACCATTTTGTATCGTGAGACCTCGGAACCATCACTGAGGCTGATGGCTTGCAGTTCAAGTCTATACCCAAAGATCCATGGTAGAAGAACAAATCGCCCGACGTAATAGACGATTCCCAGGGAGAGGATTGCCAATGCAACAACGGGAGTAAGCCAATAAGGTAAGCTGGTACTTCCCTTTCCATTAGGAGGTGGCACGAATGGCATGACAAGGAGGAACTAGTGTCGTGGGTTAGTCCGACTTCAGCTAACAAGAAAATTGGCACAACTTACAATATTTCCAGCCAGGTAGAACGCAAGGACGGACCATGGAACCCTGAATGCAGATTGAGGTCCCTCGTCTTTGGACAAACGCAGCTTGATTAATCCCACTGTAACCCCAGTAAGAAGAAACACCGTTGGGTAAGAGCTGAGACTAATGATGAAATCAAAAGCATCACCTGCGGGAGGAGCACAGATAAAGAGAATTGTTACCCCCAAATGAATTGCTAATGCCCAGATAGGTGTTTTGAAAGGACGGTTCTGCATGAGAAGATCTGGGAATGGCACGATTCCATCTTTGGCTATTTCTTGGATCACCCGAGCTAATTCATTTGTCAGAAGAATCCTTCGAGTTATATGGTACCGGGAAAGACTCACGAACTGTGAATGCAATTCCTAAAAGGTGACCAATAGCAGAGATAGCAACTAGGGCTGGTAGAGCTTTTGTAGCTGCTGATGCGCCAAAGACATTGTTGAAGAGTGATGCAGCAATTGTAAGATCGGATGCTAAAAACTCCTCTCTGGATACACCAGCAAACTATAACCTGTTAGATGGAGGGAAACCTTTGAGAGAAATGAACACACATATGCGATATTCGCAAGCACATAAAGCACTGTGATACTACCCATGGCAGTTGGGAGCGCAATCTTAAGCGTTCTTTTGGGATTTTTGACTTCAGAAAGGACCTGGATCGGTTAACGATGCTTGCACCATAGATTCAAAATGATATACTTACCATGTTCAGGTTGTCATACCCTTGGAATGAGAAAATTGCATCCAACAAAGCTGTGCCAATGTTATATCCATTTTTTGAGGTACCCTGGAAAGACGTAGATAGATCAAAATTGTGGGGATTGGGGACTCTCAGATGACCACCCAGCGCTGCAAATCCAGTACAGACAATGAAGAATAGAATAAAAAGTTTGACTGCACTCATCATATCTTGCAAATGTCTGCCAACTCGTGGTACAAAAGTGTGTATACCCACTGCAAATGCACTTGCTGCGATGGCCAAACCTCTCAGCTTCCATGTCGTTGAGTCTACACCAGCAGCTTTGAGAAGATATGACGCGCAAGTAATAGCATTGCTAGCAGACACCTCTAGTTTTGTTAGAACTGGCGCTGAATTTCAAAGAATTGTGGTTCTAAAACTTACGCAGAAACACGCAATAGAACAAATAGACACAGGTCATGAGCAATTTTGGAGAGAAAGATCTTTCAAGATAGATCTTCATACCTCCAGATCTAGGAATGATAGTGCCGAACTCGAGCATAACCATTGCTCCACATGTTGAGATTGCACCAGCGATAACCCAAAGGATTAGGGCCATCCCTGGGCTGCCGCTCAACTTGAATATGGACGCAGGCGTTGAGAAAATTCTATAGCTGTTAGTAGTGCCCAAAGAGCAAGCTCGGTGATCAACCTACCCAGCTCCGACAATTTTGTTCACGATTAACGAGACCGCTCCGAAGACCCCGATCTTGCGGTCTTGCAAGATATGAGACTCATTAATCCCATTGACATTGTCATCTGAGCTATCGATAGAGTGAGACTCCGAAGTACTGGGTTCAAGTTTTTTAAACATTGTTGATATTGATATTCAGCACAATACCAAGGTTAAATAAGAAATCGATCCGAGACGCCATTCCCGCTGTGGCTATTGCGCTGGTGGCCAGGTAGATGGTGCGATTGTAGGGATTGATTGGATCACAGGGGGCTGTGGTAGAAACCCTCCGAAGCTACTATAAACCGAGTCATTTTGGTTCATGATTTCGCGTTTTGGGAGGTCGGTGTCGTGCTAGCTAACGAATTTCCATTTAGTAACACGACCCCTCGCACGATCGCAATTTAGAAAATCACCAAAATTTTACGTTAGTTAACTGACCTCTTGTCTTTCTCAACAAGAATAAAGCGGCGCAGAGATTCAGCGAAAAGAATCTATCATCAATAATGTGTCAATGTGGTACCCGTGGCATCTACGTTGGTCGTTTCGAATCCAACCAAAGAAATAGCGGGACTAGCACCGCCCGCGTAGCTTGTATCGACTGTTTGTTTGTATCTTCCGGGCGTTGGCAGACTTCAGGTTGATTAAATTGGCTTGTTGGTGCCGAAATTGGTGCATTGATGATATCGGCTTCCTTCTATTGCTGTAGAATTTTGTTCGGATTATCTGACATTTCCATTCTTGTTGGGACAATTCTGATGAAATTCAGTTCAATTTCTTAATCGAAGTTTTCCAAGGCGATGATTTCATGATTGCTTGCTTGAGAGTACTCCAGGATTCCCGAGGTCTACATGCATTCTTCAATACCTCGAAGATTCTCTTTGTCGGGGTATGCTTCGTATATCGACCATACTAGTCGAATATCATTTTCTGCCAACTGGCTGGGGTTTCAAGCCAATGTAAAGTGATAATTCACCTTGTCGTTCGATTTGACTGACTCGTTGAGAGTTGGGATTGTGTTTGGTAAACAAAACCCTTAGTGTTTGCCCGTCTGTGAGGTTGCTTCCTCCTGAAGCCAGTATAAATTCACCCAAATCGGCCGGCTTCGTGTATTCGTTTACCCGCTTTGCAGTAGGTTCGAGACACTTCAAGCTAGGTTTTGAGTGAACACCTCGAGAGCCTGGCGACGGTCGCTGCGATGGAAGCGTCCGTCGATGAGCTTGGGATAACGAGCGAGATCTTCTAAGGCTATATTTTACAGAACCTGTTGGACTGGTGGGGCTCGCTTCAGCTGCAAGCCTGGACTCGGCTGGGTATCCCAAATGTGAGGTCCTAAAAGCAACTTTGACGGGGATCCATAGCTTTCGAAGATATTTGACGATGCGGCACTACACCCAGCTCCCAACCTTGAAACAGTTCCCAACCTTGATGACCGCCCCTATTTGGCAAGTGAAATGTGTTTTTCTTTGGGAAACTCTCATGCGACACGAAATCCAAAACGGGGCAAGACCAGCAAACGGAAAGAATTAACCAAGGCGACCATTCCCGCTGTGGAGCTTTGCACATAACAATGGTTACTCCTGATGGCATTTTGTTGACTGGCAATGTTTTGGGTGATTTCTACCCTACTGTGGCTCATCGCTGGGACCAAAACAATCCCGCGCCATCTCAGCTCAGAGAGATAACAAACGAAGACCCCGGCCGAGGCAAGCTTCCTTGGGGAGAAGGACTCAGTCGTGCTTTTATCATCGACTTTCGCCGGTTTACATCGATATGCCAACAAACTCATCAGCGACAGAGGTCTGTAAAAAGAACACCGCATTGAGTGGAAACAGAAGACTAAGCTGACCACTCTAAACCCCTTAGGTATGCTCCGACTCCCCTTCAGCACCAACAAAATCCAAATTATGCTCCCAGGCAGGGTCTCCCCATATATATGCAACGCCACTCTGATAGCCTTGTGATCTAGCCCGGATCGAAGTGCATTACCTTACACGCAAGCGCAAGCCGAGCTTTCTTTTAGGCCGAAGAGAATCGCGCCGCTCTAGATCTCCAACCAGTCAATATGGAATATTTCCATAAATTTAGGTTCCCCAAAGGCGGAACAATCTGGACGATGGTCTAGGCAGCTCTTTACTCGTGTATTCCGTCGTATGAAGGGCTGACCAGTTGGAGTACGCCATTTACCGAGGACATGGTTGTTTGGCCTGGAGAATACAGGGGACGAACAACCACCTCACTTTTGCTAAGCCACAGTATACCAGGACACTGCTGTAAATGGGCATAGCGACTTTGCACTGGAGCCCATTATTAGCACGAGCGTGGAATTCTGGGAAAGGATCAACCTGCTCAGAAGAATAGCTTTCAGTGTGACTGATTTGATTGTGAGCCTTGATTGAACGGGTCTTATCATCAGACTTCTTCTGGCTGGGTATTATACCAAACGCCTTATTTCCAAAGATCTTGGCTGTGCGATAGACTATGCGGAATGTCATTCCGGGTACCATTCCGCAATCGAAACTCGATCGACATCAATGGCTTGGCTAGAATCTTGGAACGTCGCTGATGTCAAATCAGAAGAGAAAATCGCTATCCACTTTGCAGCTGAACTTTCACAGCCATATAGAGGGTTTTTCTTCCCGAGCTATTCGCGATTTTCTTTTTCGTTGGGAACGAAAGGGTCATTTTCCCGGGTGTACCGGTGAGCTCACATGTGGTTCGTACGGAGTACATTGGTGGCTCATGTCAACGCACCTTACATTTCACCCTTACCTATCTCTGTGTTCAGGTTAACCTAGTGCGTGCAGGTGACTACTCTGGCTCTTACTTCTGATCGGGGGAAGCACAATGTGCTCAATGCACAAAGTCGCACATTCTCAACGTTTCTTTTTCCCACACTCTTGGGACTTTCATTGTGCTCTTGATCTTCCTAATATCAACCAGCCTAGGCCTGGATTTTCTTGGCTTCTTGAATGCGGAATTGAAGAAGTGACAGCGTTGGAAGACTGCGGAATCAAGATTGGTAGTGCGGGGGAGCTTATCAGTACCCCGGATTTCCCCAGCCCCTATACCCGTTGACAGCTCCTTAAATTCGGATAAATGCATTTATAAACACGCATCTCGCGCTGATTTCTGTCTCCAGATTCATACTGGTGGTTTTCTCAAAATCTCTCATCGACACTAAACAAGTCCATCATGGACTCTGAAAAGAAGTTCGATCATGAGATGGTCGAAGATGTCAAATCTACATCTTCGGTGCCAGAAATAGACCGAGCCGCGGAGAAGCGATTACTTTGGAAGCTTGACATCCATGTTGTTCCCATACTGATGTTTCTTTTTCTTCTTGCTTTCCTCGACAGAATCAACATCGGCAATGCACGACTACAGGGCCTTGAGAAGGACCTTGGCATGGCAGGCCACGACTACAACATAGCACTATTCATCTTCTTCATTCCGTATATTCTGTTTGAAGTTCCGAGCAACCTTGTCTTGAAAAAGGTGCCACCCTCGTGGTGGTTGAGTGGGATCATGTTCCTTTGGGGTATCTCAGCCATCCACATGCTACAGTCTTGAAAATTCCACTGACACTCATAGGAATCGTCACTATCTGCCAGGGGGTAACAAAGAGTTTCAGCGGACTGGTCGCATGTCGATTCTTACTGGGCTTGTTTGAGGCTGGATTCATGCCAGGTGAGCTTGTGTACCCTTCCGTGAAAAAGAGCTGTGCTGAGGTTAGATACAGGCTGTATCTACTTGATCGCAATGTACTACAAGCGACATGAACTTCAATGGCGACTGAACGTTTTCTTCAGCGCAAGCATTTTGGCCGGTGCTGTCAGTGGGGTACGTACTTCCCAATCCAATGACCGATATTTGTGCTGAACACGTTGTCCTAGTTACTTGCCTATGGCATCGCCCAAATGGATGGTGTGGCAGGATACAGTGGTTGGCGTTGGATCTTCATCATCGAGGGTCTAGCCACGGTGGTTTCTGCCATTATTGCGAAGTTTCTGATTGTCGACTGGCCCGAAGAGTCTTCATTCCTGAATGACCAAGAGCGCGCCTTGTTGATGCAGAGATTATCGGAAGATCGGGGTGAAGCACAGATGAACCGCTTTGACAAGCCAGCGATCAAGCGAACATTCACAGACATCAAGCTATACTTGGGGTACGCCATACCCTACTGCAATAATACTAAAAATCACTGACCATTACTGCCAGTCCGATCATGTACTTCGGTATCGTCAACACCGGGTATGCAACCTCATTTTTCACCCCAACCATCCTCAAACAACTTGGTTGGACCTCCGTTCGAGCTCAAGTGATGAGCATCCCGATCTATCTCGTGGCAACAGTAATTGCACTAGCGACAGCATTTGCCAGTGATCGACTCCGCCACCGCTTCGCGTTCACAATAGCAGGCTGCATAATCGCCACGATCGGATATATCCTTCTGCTCTGTCAAAATTCAGTGCCTGTGGGCGCACGATATTTCGCCCTTTACGCAATCACGGGCGGCGGATACATGACGCAGCCGATCTTGATGGGGTGGCTGAGCAATAATATGGCTGGGCACTATAAGCAGTCTATTGCATCGGCCATGCAGATCGGATTTGGTAATTGTGGCGGTCTGGTTGCCAGCAATGTTTTCTTCGATTCAGAGGCCCCGACATATGTCACTGGTTTTGGCGTTAGCCTCGGCATGGTCTGGATCTGTGGGGTCGCGTGTGCTGTTTTCTTTGCTTATTTGTATCGTGAGAATCGAATTCGCGAACAGGGCAAGAGGGATCATCGGTATGAGTGGCCTCGGGAGGAGTTGGAAAATCTTGGCGACGATCATCCTAGTTTCAGATTCACGTATTAGACGCTCTATGAAATCATTGACAGAGTGTTTTGTATCCCATGCAGCTCACATTATTTAATTATTCTCTAGTGAGGGGATTCCGAAAATGGAGATTTGGCGAGTCTTTGCCGCTGCCGAGTCCAATTTGAAGTCAAAGTTGTATTATAATCTTTATCTTATGCAAATCAGCCATACATATTACTTTGAGACTCTGAGGTCTGTACTCAAGTATCACCCAATTGAGGAGAGAGGGGAAATAGAATGAGCACTCTCAACTGCCGGCCTTCAAAGGCTTTGGCATGCACTTGAGAAATATAGCAAAATGGTGTCTTACAACCTTGGAAATCGAAGATATGATTGACTTCAGCAAGTAACCTTGGAGATACTCAGTATTCAAGTAATGAAATAGGAGCTCATTTCTATCAGAAGCCTGCGGTACATCTGTAGACTTAAGTAGAGAGTTCTTCTCTTGGGGTGCCACCAGTGTAAAACACCACATCCAAGGCGCAGGGGAAACAAGGCTTGGTTCCTTTGTCCGGAAATTTAAGTAACAGTTAGAACACAATGAGATATCCTGGGATTCCAAATACCAGTACGGAGTAGTACCTGAGATACCTAAGATGGCCGAGGGGATAGAGAAAAATAAGAAAAATGGGCAGTGGATATCATGACATATTAGACTCTCAAACGTGCCACCCTAGAGTATGGTTGGCCAGTCACTACTTGTTCCGACCCCATTTCCATTCGACAAGTCGCCCACGTTCCCTAGAGTTCTTCTTATTTTCTGGAAAAGCCTTACCACAGGCTGGCTACGGAGTTCGGACGCGTACGATGCTTTGATCGGCATCTCCCTCCCGACATGACGTAGTAGGCCTCACCGGATCTTTGTCAGATGAGTCTGATCGGGCTTTCATGTCTATATATATGTCGCAATGTTGCAATGTCGCATATAGATGCCAAGCACGACCCGTGGCCAGGGTTATGGGAGTCGTGGGGGATAAACCCACTACTGCGCGAGGATGGAGTAGAAAGAGAAAGATTGGAAGGATGGTGAACCGGGGTGATGTCCAATCAACGGCAGGGCACGACCCCCGCGGGTCCCGCGGAGATAGAACCATGGAAGTATGAGAGCGCTACTTGAGTCTTTACTTAACTATCATTTTTCCTAAACCTCCTACTCTCTTCTCCGTACGCGACAATGTCTACCCTCTCCCCCAAAAAGATGGATTCAGTCACCTCTGAAAGCCCCTGGAAATCAGAGCATCCATTCGGTCCTCCTCACGTTCCTCGCTCGCCTCCTCCGGGCATTCAACGACTCCGAGATACCCTCCACAAACTCTCACCCGCGGCTTTCGCTGAGAAGGAACTTTTGCGCAAAAAGAGCCAACACAAAAGTCCTCTCACTCAACGCAATGTGGACAACTTTGTCACCGAGCAAGAATGCAACGAAGCCTACAAGCCCAATCTACACTCCCCAGAGATCCAAGTCACTGAATGGCTTCAACGAGTCTCCTGAGAAGCAGCCAATCGAACACGAACGGTTCCCAGTGGAGCACACACTATGAGGTCTTTTTTTTCTGGAACGTTTCACACAACTACTTTACTCCGCGAAAGTCAATGCGCTAGAACAGCATCTGACAGGTCTTCGGCTCTTGCCCTGTGGGGAAATTCATCGGCCCCCCCTACTTTCGGTTATGCTTGGCGTGGACGTCATCAAGAGATCGCGTTGCGCTTTCCCAAGACATTTGTACGCTTTCAGTCGGCTTATCTTGTCCTTGTCCGCCCTGTCTGCCTTGGTCTATCATGACCTCTGACCTCTGACCTCTGGCCTCTCTTTGTCTTATTGATATCCTTCTGTACAACTACAAGAGCGCGGTTGCTGGAATCCGGACAAACCATTATTCATTGCACCGGATTATTTTACTGTATGCATATGATGGAAGTATTGAGACCATTTGGACAAGTGAGAAATGCAATAATATTCAAATAATGTAAGGCTGAATATACCTCAAAAGTACTCCATACAAACCTTGAATACGAACTTCCCCGGAAAGATCGGCTAAGTGGCGTGTCGCTGTGGAAGGAAACCCGAGGTGGGGTAAGTCTAGCGACTTCCCTTGTAGTACACGGCATACTTTCAAGCTGTAAAGCTGTCTACTACGAGTAGTATAACACGGAATGCCCAGAGTAGCAATTATTGGTACGCCCAACCTTGGAACCTCCGCTCATCCTCTAACAGCATTTAGGTGCTGGCCCCTCCGGCCTAGTCACAGCCAAGACTCTGCTCCAGGACTACCCGGATTTCTCACCAGTGATATTCGACTACCAACATCAAGTCGGTGGTCTTTGGAATGTCTGTCCAGATCCCAATCAGCCCGTCACGCTAGACCCGCGAATGCCAACCAATCTCAGTCGCTTCACAGTGGCTTTCTCGGATCTTGATTGGGAGTCGGTGCTAGATGAGGTTCCGATTTTTCCTCGGGCTAAACAGGTCGCTCAATACCTATCTTGTTATGCGAAGCGATATGTCCCAAACGAGATCCTCAGGTTGGGGTGCAAAGTTGTGGCGACAGAGCGCAAGGCCGACGATGGCGTGAAGTGGAATGTCCAATGGCTTCAGAATTTGTGTGTTCGATATTGGCTGCTAGAGGGCTATTGCTGACAGTGATTTGAAGTGGCACACCGACAGAAAAGCTTTGTTCGGAGGATTTCGACTTTCTCGTCATCGCCTCGGGATTCTTTGCAGAAAAACATGTCCCCGGTATACCAGGACTGGCGGAGTTCTCCGACCATGTCATTCACAGTTCTACTCTTCATCAACGTCGCGATAATTTGTCCCATGCTCTTGGGCATAATGATACGCAAAGCACAACGCTCGTCATCGGTGGTAGTATGTCGGGCGTCGAGGCCGCATCTGCTGCAGCTCTTGGCCAATCATCCTCTGCCCTTTCTACTCATACACGAGAGATTCCGGCCGTCCAGAACAAAGTGCATCACATACACTCGCGGCCTTTCTGGGCTCTACCAACCTACCTCCCCCATGGGCCTGAAGAGAATCCCTCATTTCAACCACTGGACTTGGCCATGTACGACCTGAGTCGCCGGCCCGCGGGGCCAATAGAGTACGCCTTGGGGCCTATCCTGGAAGAAAAGATAGCCAAAACGAATGGGTATTTCCAAGGTTTGCTAGGAGACGATTATAAGACATATGCGCACATGTCTGCGGGACAGACTAAGATCCAGCCTCCGTGGGTTGCCATCGGTAATGACTACGCTGAGTTTGTCCGAGCTGGGGCTATTCAAACATCGATGGGTCGGGTCATTTCTGTACACCCCGGCACCAGACTTGCTTCTGTGCGATACGCTGAACTAAACGGAGATATCAAGACGATAGACAATGTTGGAACAATCATCATGGCCACAGGGTTCACACCTTTCAAAGCCCTTTCACTACTGCCAGGCTCCGTACTCTCGAAACTCGAGTATTGCGAGACAGACCCCTTCTCCCCATTGATTCTCGACAAAGGCGGCACGGTGCGTTCCGAAATTCCAGACGTTGGATTCGTCGGCTTCTACCGAGGCCCGTACTGGGGTATAATGGAAATGCAAGCCCGATTCCTCGGGCACCTCTGGTCCGGAACCGAACCAGTCTACACAGAAGAGCAAAAGGCAAGTCTCCGCCGTATCAGGGCCGCGGACCCAGACCTGGCACGAGGCCAATTTCCGATGGGCGACTATGTAGGCTTGATGGAGACCTTCGCCAAGGAATTGGGTATCCGTCGCTCAGTCTTGGATGGCGACCAGTCTGGACCTGTGATCCCTGCTCGCTACCGTGACACGTCAACGGGTCAGGGACGAGGGATGGCCAGCGAGAACGAAGCGACTAGAACGTTGGGTGCATTGCGGGATGCGCTGCATGGGGCTGCAGCTCGGACGGGGGCGGCTTCGGCGATCTTCCGGGCTTTGCATGGAAAGTGGAAATCCCTGCATACTTCAGGGATTGATGAAACGGCTTGTGAGGTGGTTTTTTATCCACGGTATCCGACTAGTCCGGCTTATGACAGGGAGTACGTGGTTGAAACGGGGGTGTGTGTGACTGGATGGTCATGGGAGAAAACATTTTCTATCATGCGCTTGGCGGAAACGCCATTTCGTGCTACTTCGATCGAGATGTGGTCGGTGAGCTTGGCGGATGGGTTTGAAGCGGATTGCATTTCCGAGCGTTGGTCTTTGACCCCTCTCCGTCGAGAATTGAATGGTGAGTCTACTTCTGGGGGATATGTGATATCCGCGGAAAGTGTTGGGCCTTCTGGAGGTACGCTTTTGTACACTTTCCACTTCAAAGGTGTTTCAATTTCAACCTGGGAGTGTGTGGAATTGGAAGGTTCCACTGGACACACCTCGGAACTTGATGGACTGAAGTACAGATCACGAACTGTTTACAAAAGATAGATAGTATACACCTTTTGACTGAGATACGAATTCACTAAGAGACACCCAAAGCGGAAAGTCCAAGAGGCCAACCATGGATATAGTCAGAAACCGTTATGACTTGGCTGTCTGGGCACCTCAGCCTCGCATACAGAGTACGGAGTACAGAGTAGATAGTAGAGACATGGGCAATCTAGACCCCCACTGCAGATGTTACTGTCACTTTGTGGAGTACTGATCTAAGCGAGGTTTGTCTGGACGGGTCTTGCCGTAGTTCCGCTCAGAATGTACATCAATGATCAGCAGATAATTGACTTGGGGATGTCTACTCCGTACAAATTACTGTAGTCTGTAAGTTTTCTGCAAGGGGCAGTCAAGCCTCGCGGCCCGAGGCAACTAGGTGCATTTTGTGGCTCATGCACAAAGCCTTTAATCCACAAACTCGCTCTAGTTAGTTGTTTTTGTCTTAATTTTTTTTTTTTTGCCTTTCGGGGCTGTCCGAGGCTGTGGCAACGGGTTCCCGATGTCTCCGGGTCATCCGTGGTTGTTGTGTCCGGAAATGGCAGCTCAATAGCAGAGCAAAGAAGTCTTTTTCTTGGGGCAAAATGAAAGCTCAATTCCAGCCAATGATTATGAATGGTTTGAGACTTACTACCTTTAGACCTCGGGTGATCTGGGGTATGTCCATTGACTTTTGGATCGGCGAGGACTGTGGTTCTTCGGCCGAAACTCACTCTAAGGCTCTTCCTTATACTTGAAGGTATAGCTTGGGTATAAAGACCTCATGTACCACACTTCTGCATGCAATTGCGTTTCAAACCAGAACAACCACATCAAGCTCGAGATCTTCATATCCCCTTGCTCCGCTCATTCGCCACATCCAATTGGATACGCTCCAAACCCTATATACTTCGATAAGAACCCCATGGGACCTGCCCAGGTGGTGAACATGACTTCAAACATGACACCAACCATTGATATAACCGACCATTCAACACCAATGTCCAAATCAACATCCCACCCAACTTCCACCATCGACCTCCCCTCCCAATGGCGCGCCTGGCAAGCCCTCTCAATAATCTACACAGTCCAACTAAACCACCAAATCCGACGACGCTGGCTCCTCGAACAAACATCCATGAAAGACAAGCCAGTATCAGAACGTTTCCGACCAGTCATCTTCCTCGAGACAGTGCCAACCCTTACAAAACCACCTACCAATCTAGATCAAGAAATCAACACACTACGCACCACTGCATCACTCCTCCGAGCACGGGTTGAAAAGGGAAAAGAGCTAGCATCTGAAATTGAACGACGGATGCTTGAGCCACGAATCAATTATCCGACTCATTTCTGCCATACATGCGTCGAGGACGGGGAGAGGGTTGAAGTTCTACTTACTAAATGTGGGCATCGGGTTTGTAGGACTTGTTTGGAGTTTGGGATTGATGGGGGTGTTTATGAATGTAGTATTTGTTTTCGGGAGGTGGATTTTGTGGCGAGGAGTCCGTATAGTCGGAGTCCTGGGTCCAGTCCGTGGAATTGTTCGGACCGTGTGCTGGGGAGGGATAGGAAGGCTCCAGCTGCTTCTAGGGGGGTGAGGTTTTGTTCACCGATCCTTTAGATTTTGGTTCTTGGGTTGGAAGGAGTTGACTTGCGTTGCATTTGAATTTACTGGCGGCATTGTGTTTCTCTTGTTCTAGGTAAATATTTCCCATTGAATTCTCAGAATTGAATGAATTATGTGCAGTCTATAAACGAGGTGGGTTTGGGATGTGACCAGGCCAGGTTCTTTTTTCCCCCAAATGGATATCAAAATCTAGAAACCTTCAGCTAGACCCTGAATGAACACCAAAAACAGGAAGCCCCGAAAATGCATGAAACATGAGCCGTCTTGGCCATGCCACATGGGAACGCCTTTTACCAACAGAAATCAAACGTGTATGTGGAGGTCATTATACAGTAGGGTGCGGGCATTGGCTGCCCAGGAGCGTCAAAAGGCAGCCCGAGCGGTGATCAGCGATCTTCCGCATGCTCTCCGTCATCGATGATCATCTTTACTTCTTTGACCGGATGCAGAAGCATAGGAGGAAGGCACATGCGACCTTCGCCGGCAAGCTCGCGCTGCTCCCCTCCGTCATTGTCGACACGAAGACCGAGCCAGCGACGCCAGAGGTTGGGCGAGAAGCCGGCGGAATAGAACCAGGTAGTACCGCGGAAGTTATGTTCGCGATCGCCGAAGATGGATGTGCGCGCACCACCTGAGGCACCATTGCGGCCAGCATTGAAGACTGACTCCAAGTATCGGGTGGGCCAGCGGCGGTCGACATAGACAGCGTGCGGGACGAAGACAGCCTTGAACCCGTGGTGCAGCGCCGTGGTGGCGGGCCACATCTCCGAGAACATACTGTGGCGCTTGAGGGCACATTCGCGGTGCATGGTTGTGAGCAGCTTCTTGGAGATACGGGACGCGGTGATAATGGCCGTGCGCCGCGGTGGCATGCCCTTCTCTCTGTTGTATCCGGTAACATCATCCCGAAGAAGCCAGGTCGTGCCTTCAGGGTCGTAGAGCGGGTTGAAAACAACCAAGTCTGCGTCTTCGCCAACGCCCCATTGGTATTGGTCCTTGTCCATGCTGGTGGGCGGAATTCCCTCGCCCTCGACTTCGAAGATATCCCGTTCGTCGGGGCGTTCAGGGCCCCAGATAGACCTGTCGCCTTGCTGGTGCATTGAACTCCGCACATTGGGGTCTCCGCCCTTAGCGGCGCTCCACATGTTGTTCACGGAGTTAGTGCCACTCTCTGTTTGCACGCGGACCATCTGTCGGAAGTCCTCCCATGATCCGTGAACAGAGGGGACGTAGAAACGAGCATTACGTTCCCAGAGACCCTTGCGTGGCTGCTTCTTGGCCCATTCGCCAACCTTGTCGAAGAGGTGGTACCAGTGGCCTGTGTAACGTGCGTCCATTTCCCAGTTCCAGAAGTAGTCATACTCGGGGTGTTGGAAGGCGAAGTACTGCATAGGCATGTATGTGCTGCGGTATACACCATGGATCGGCAAATCTCGCATCCATGTCTCCTCTAGCCCGGGATACATGAGGGCCATCTGGGGCTCTGACCACAGGGTTCCCATGCCACGGAACTCTTCAGGCAACGAGTCTCGGAGCACCCGTTGGTAGGTCTCATCATCCGACCAAATCTGCAAGTCGGTGTTCTTGACGTGGACGAGGAAATGAATGGTGTACTCTCCGCCAGACATGAGTGAGAGCTCTGAGATAATAGAGCGCATGTACATGATGTCCTCCGGGGTGTAATTGAAGTCATGCCAGGTACGGATCACCACTGCAGTACGAGACACCTTCTCAGAGCCAACTTGAGGTGGTTCTTGACGAATATCCTCCGCGGGTGGTGGAATGTTCACCTTGGGAACACCCATAGGCATGGAAACGAAACGGTTGAGACGAGGCTCAGGCAGTTCATTGAAGCGGTGGCGATTAGCCGCGTGACAGCGGTTCTGAGCGCCAGCCCAATCCACCGTGCGGAAGTCCACAGGCGGCACATCCTCCCAAACACGATCGGCACCGTCACGATGGCCATCCAGTCCAGCGCCAGAGCCTCCCTTCTTTGCCCCGTAGCCAAAGCCGTACGGGCCCAATCGACCAAACCGATCGAAACACATATCATCACGGATTCCCAGAATGGTGTTCGAGCCCATGGCCGGCTCCGGGAAGCCATTGGGGACACCTGGGTAACTCTGAACAGAGGGGACGCGCAGCGTGTTCTCCGGGTTGAGGAAACACTCGCGCTTCTGACCATATTTTTGGATGTATTCCGGTGACTCATAGTCGGGATAAGGGTTGAACACACTACTGGCCATGTTTGGGTGCAGGTCCTTTTCCCTCTTGGCCTTGGGTTGTTCCTGCTTTTGTGCCTCCTGCTTCTCGTCGTCGGCTTCCGGTCGCACAGTGAAGTCCTCGGAGCCATCACCGGGGTATTCAGGGATATTACTCGACCGCGCGACCAAGGCAGAGATGCCGCCCTCGTAGCGATTGAGGAATGGGAAGCTCTCCCATTGGGGTGGTTTGGCAGCGACGACCTTCGGTAAATCGACGGTGACTTGCGACACCGATGCGGAGAGAGTGAATCGGAAGAGGGTCAAGATGAATACGACCAGGGCGGCGAAGAGGGCGAAACAGAGCCACCGCATGATCCGCTGGGGGACGCGGAATCCGACGACACCTCCGGGACGACGAAGACTCCCGCCCGCTACGAGGGGCGGAGGGTATGAGGCCGCGACGTTGGGTTCGTCCAGCGAATCGTCGTCGGAATCATCGCTTGGGTGGTGGCGGAAGGTGTGACGGCCTGCACTGGGTTGTTTTTCGACGTCTGCATCGCGGGTATTATAGGGCGATGGGGCCTTGTACGCGGCGGAATGGCGCCTCGCCTGAACGGTCATGATGTCGAACCAGATGTCAACATCGAAGTGGGGTAAACTATATCCAAAAGCACTTCACTCCATTCAAATCCAGGAGATTTAATCAAGCTGAATCAGGGGGAGGGGTGGATGCTAGAAGGAGAAGCGAGGCACGCGAGGTGTTCAGTGTTGTTCAATGTTATGATCGTCGGCCAGGCAATGGTCAGCCCTGTTTCCAATATTCAATTGAAGAAGAACCCAAGCGGTCCCCGATAGGAAGTACAAAGTATGGAGTACAGTAGAATTAATTAGAGAGACAGAGATCGAAAAGAGGGTTATTATGTCCCAAACTGCCAAGACTACTGGCGCTTCCAAGAAACGAGAGATTACGCAGTACGGGAAGTAGAAGGGGCCAGGGCTAACGTTTATGCGTACTCCAATCCCCCCATACTAAAACCTCCAGATCTATTGATATTGATATTGATTTGGTGTACAGAGTAAGTCTTACCTGCAATTGGGACAAAAGAAACTCGAATTTCTCTTTGCTGGGTTCTCTCTCTCTCTCCTTGCCTTAGATCTTCAGTTTACAATGGATGTGTACTTATACAGATCTCTTTTCTTTTCCACAAAAGGGCAAACAGAGACGCAATTTTGGAGAGAAAAAGGAAAAAAAGACAAAGGCTGGTAACATAGCGTAGAAAGCCGGAGAAGATAGGTTTAACCCGGAGAAAGAAACATGGTCGTCATCATTTGAGTTCGGTATTCTCTCCTCATTCGAATTCGCATTATAGACCCTTACTCGCGGTTGGCTTTGCGGAGCGCATCGGCGAGCCACTCCAGACCCTCGTACAGACCGTCTCCGGTGGTGGCGCAGGTCGATTGGATGAACTGGGGAAGGATGGTTAGCAATGTCTCGACAATTCCCGATCGAGGGGTTTCCACTCACCCAGGCACGGCGGGTCAGACTCTGGAGACCCAGCTGCTGGGTAATCTCGGCGGGGCTCATGGCGTTCTAGACAAAAGCGGATCAGTAAGAGAAATAGGGGGCGGAATTGCGTCAAGGTCCAAGGACTTACGGGCAGATCCTGCTTGTTGGCGAAGACCAGGAGGAGGGCGTCGCGGAGTTCGTCCTCGTTCAACATGCGCTGCAACTCCTCGCGGGCCTCAACAATACGATCGCGATCGTTGCTGTCAACGACGAAGATGATACCCTGGGTGTTCTGGAAGTAGTGGCGCCACAGAGGACGGATCTTGTCCTGACCACCGACATCCCACACGGTGAACTGAATGTTCTTGTATTCGACGGTCTCGACGTTGAAACCTATTTCGGGGTCAACAATTTGGGGTTGAAGCGGGTCGCGCACAGGGACTGACCGATGGTGGGGATGGTGGTGACGATTTCACCGAGCTTCAGCTTGTAGAGGATGGTGGTTTTACCAGCGGCGTCAAGACCAACCATCAGGATGCGCATCTCCTTGCGCCCCCATAGTCGGTCAAACAGCCGTGAGAAAGTGATACCCATTTTGTCGAATTAGAACCTCGTCCTGGTGGCGTTGTCAGAGGCAGTTATGGAGTGGAAAGGGAGAAAGCGGAGGGGTTGGAAAACGTGTTGTGGACTTGTCGGTCAGAGGGTCAGGGGCGGGCACGAGCCAGTCAGACTCCCACTTACCGGCAGAAAATAGATTCCGTTGTAGGTATAAAGTGAAGGGGTCAAGAGAATGAAAGAGAAGGAGATTACGAGTGTCCTAAAAGGAGACTCAGGAAATTGGCCTGCCTGTTTTTGAATACAGTCGAAATACCCGTTGGCGGTGGACGTGGTCTTTGACTATCACCGTATAGTGGCAGCACGCAATCAAATATACGAGTATGTATGGAGCAATGAGGCTGTGAATAGACTAGAAAAGTACAGAGAGACTATGGAGTACAACAATCTGGAGTATATACTATATCATATAACTGTATAATAGTTCTGCCTATAAGGAGAATCCATGATGGTGACAAGAGGACACGGTGTTGACCCCGTAATTTACATACACAGCCCTTCGGGACTCTATTCTCGGCCCAAAGACCCATATAACTCAGAGTCCCATAACCCATAACACCCCGTTTTGCCCCTTGTGATAGGCGCATATGTTATCTTCCTGCTTCCAAGGTTATTTCCAAGGTTATGGTCTGCTTTCTCGTGACATTCTTTGGCGTGACTTTCGGAAGAATGTGCCCACCATTGATCGGTAGATTGTCTTTCCTTCTACCGTGTCACTGGCATAGCCAAACACCGTCAACAACAGGACTGACAACACAAAGATCACGGCAAAGCTGATCCAGTAATCCGCCTTGGTATACCCGTTCTTGACTCCAATGAGTTCCGTCGAGAAATATGCACTCATCAGACTAACCGGCAGGAACAAAATCGTGGCTTTCGCTAGCAGGATCGTAATGCGTGTCAATTTCTCAACGGCTTGCGAATCTTTGAGCGCAATCAGGTTGAAGTTCTGGTCGAGTCAGCAGACGAATCCCAGTAACTTCCCCCACTTATACACCCACATAATCCAACTTACCAAGAATGTCAACGATTCCTTCTCATTGAGACAATTCTCAATCTCACTCAGACAATACAGGTTGATCCGATCCACCAACCGTTCGAACCGTGCCACCGCCGTCGAGCTCAACTGCACCCCAACGGACTTCTCGGCCGCGCTAGGAACACTGGAATAGCTGACGAGACTCGCTTGTCGCATATCCACATACTCCATGTCACCAAAGGTGGCTCCATACGGCACGGTGGGGTGCAACGAACGGGCCTCATCGCGGAGCATGCGCTGTCGCTGCAACAGTCGCCGCATGATCAGCTCGTAGCTCTGGTACAACCGCTTCAGGACGGCTAGTCGTCGCCCCAGCCAGTGGAGCTCATTGATCAACTCTACCACCGGTCGATCGAGCATATTCCCTCTCTATCCGGATCAGCATGCTGGGCTTCAGTAACAGCAGTCACACAACTAACCAATTCCTCTAGCAAGACGCCGTACTTGTGCTCACGCTTGGCGATCAGTCCATAGCTTGACACCCAGTCGTCGAAAATGTAATAGAACAGCAGACTCGGCCCGTCTTCCTGCTTGATGCTTGCTTGGTCGGGGCTGAGGTCGCTGAATTGTCGGACGCGGATCGTGATGAGTGATTCGCTCTCTGACATGGCAAAGTGCAATCGCGATACACCGGCAAAAATGAATCGGATGTTCCGGCGCACAATGTCGAGAACCGGCTTGGCTTCGTCGATTTGGACGTCGGTGCGTCTAGGGAACGGATTCTCTTGAATCGAGATGATAGTTCCTATTTTGAATCAGCCATGGTATCTGGACTTGCCCGGTGTTCCCTACCATCGTCGCACTGTATCAGCCATGTCCAGAGTCGTTTTCCATCCGGGAGATTCTTGCCATTCGGCATTGACAGAGTCGGGATCACAAATAGTGTATTATAGCCGATACAGGTATCTGGCCAGTCAGTGTGCTCCAGTCAGTGTGCTACTCCATCGATTCGGGCGATACTCACATCGAGGACCATGGTCTACTGAGGAAAAGTGCCAAATCTGGTCGGTGACCTGGGCAAACGTCAAGTTCTTGAATGAGGCCGATTCGCGGGCTCTTTCTGGGTCAGAGAGATACTTGGCATTCTCTGGGTCATCAATATCATGCTGAAAGGACGTCCCAGCATTCGAGGTTGAGGATCTTTTGTCGGGGACTGGTATGGTTTTGGGCTCTGGCTGTACGGGTTCCGTGCACATCATGCCTTGTAATCGTTCAGACACGCCGTAGTGTTTAGTTATGGCCTAGGCATTTGTTAGTCTCTAGTCTTCTTGCGATCAAAATAACTATACCTTAATGCTGTCTTTCTGCTCCTCTGGGGCCCAAATGTTACTATGAGACGTAAGTATAAGACCGGAGGCCTGCAACCCTCCAAGCTTACATCCAACGTGTGCCGAAACACCGGGGTTTCTAAATGCAGTCAGATATTCCACTCTCCTGTTTCTTGTCTTTCTTCCTTGGTTTCAAAGAAACGCACCGGCTTGTCCAGCAACAATCTCAGCTCATCTGTATCCAAGTCGGACGCACACCACGCATCGTCGTTCCCAAAATCCAACACAAAGTTCTTGGTAAGAGGGTCTTCGAGACGGCGCATAGCACCATAGAATTGTATCTTCTCGTCGATGTCCTTAAATTTCTCGGCCAAAGAGCCATCATTGTCAAGCCCCGAGTAGTAATCTCGGGGCGTCGTCGGATCGCGAGAATATACTGTGTCGGACATATTCGCACGTCGCGATAATTCAATCCTGTGGGTCTGTATTAATGGAAAACAATTGGATTTTTAGGCAGCCCAGGCAGCTGATGTTCCGTGTCAGGTGTTCGCGGACGTTAAGAGTCATACACATACAACCCTGGATCCAACCGTGGACTTCAGGAATGCAACCCGGGCTATACAAGAAAAGGATAGTAATCAGGTTAAATTAAATATATCAGAGCTCAAGGCGAGGGACCCCAGAGCATTAAATAGGATCGAGTTCCCCCATCAGGGGCGACCAGTCATCTGAGGCTGACACTGCCGCCGGTCACGTTTAAGCGCTGCGATCATCTGCAGCCCCCACAGAATCGGTTTATCTTGTTTCACCTGTCAAGATGTATCCCGCAATAGCCTGACTCTGTTCCAAGGTTTTCTTGCATAAATTTGCTTGCTTATATCTGACTTGTGTGCCGAAGCTTGTGTTACTCGGTCACCAGGGACTGATGTATACCCAGACCTGGTGTCAGATGGTGTCCATGACGAAAGATCTTCAAGATCAACCTAAATATTCATGAATGACTATTGTACTTGCTGCGTCAGCTTTTTACGGTGACTCCATCTAGCTCAGCTGGGCTTATTTATATTGATGTATAGGATGACGGTGCTGCGGATCTGGATCGGGTAGTTAACCTTGGAGGTACAGAGTACTCCCTATTGATCGTAAAAACCACGGAGGGCTTCTTAGTTTGAAACGAAGGAATATCCTAATATCTCTTGAGGTATCTATTCCCATGTGCAAAATATAAAATGATTTCAAGAACAGTGTACCTATGCGGTCGGCCTCCAGGGCTGATACTGAAGCAGGGCGCAGGGTGGTCTGGTCTCCAACTTTAGAACCGCCTCGTTAGAATAGTCACCAAATCCCCCAAGCATCAATCAAGTATCAACTGAGGGGTGACTTAAAGGTTGACATTGCGCCAGATATTACAGCAACATAGCTGACCAAAAAGTGGACATGGTAGCTCGTCTGTCGGCATCATCCATGGATGTACTTAGGTAACGGATGCCCAGTTGTGAAACGGAAGCAGAAGTCCTCAAACTTTAGAAGTGATAAATCTGTCGAAGGTAAAAGCTTAACCAAATGGCCGAAGGGTTAACGACGTCGCTAATGGCCCCAGGCCCTACAATCATGGCCTAGCAAGGGAAATACCGCACCAGCGTACCTGTGCTCAAGTGCTCACAAAGAAGCCCCCAAGCCTATATCTGAATTTTAAAACCACTAAATAATTTGGTGTCTATTTTTCCTACGTTCCAAGTTACTTTATGTCAGTTATGAAAACCCAAATATAAGGTAAATCAAGTCTGGGATTGGCCTGATCTCAAGTTGACTTTCTTGCCATATATATCAGCGGAGTTAGCTGATACAGAGACAGAATATCAATCCCCTGTGACTTCAGGACCAAGCGCCCGAGTAAGTTCTGTCATTACACCGAAAACAATACAAAGAAAGTCTTTTCACGCCTACACAATGAAATTGTGACTCTTATAAGAAGTATGTTGGATAGATACTTCACTCCCCTAATTATTGGCGTGGAGTTACTTAAGTACCAAAGGGTGACATGTAACTTGCTCTGTTCCTGAAGTCTGATATTGGTAGACTACAAATACATGAGAGCCATAGTATTTTGGAATAAGCAGAGCGGTACCAATTTCAATGTTGTGAAGCATGTTTAAACCAACTTAAACAGTCACAGGATCCAAACTTTCCGTATCGGGACATATTGGTGCCTGAGATAATAGGCTAGATGCTGAGTCATCGCAGAAAATTTAGGGCACAACTAGACCTAATTTAGTCTAGCGCCAACTCATACCCACAAGCGGAGAAATACACGGCCCTCGACAATTTCTTTTCTTCCAGCATTCAACGCAGAGCCATACCTTAAGAATTCCATTTTCTTTAGGAAGACTGTAGCAATCATGTCCAAGATCACAGTCGGTACGTTTCTTGTCTCGCTTCCAACTCGATGATCTTGTCACTAATATCTTTGTCTCATTTCAGCCGGAGTGCGCCAGAATGTTGAGAACCTCCTCAACTACTCTCTCAATGAGAAGAAGCGTAACTTCAACGAGACCATCGAGCTTCAGATCGGTCTGAAGAACTACGACCCCCAGCGTGACAAGCGTTTCTCCGGTACCATCAAGCTGCCCACCGTCCCCCGCCCCAACATGGGTATCTGGTACGTTTTCCCCGCTACGAATGCAAAGCATTTTCTCAATATTCCCGCGGCGAAAAATCGCAGGAGAAACGAAAACGAGTACTAACAGATTGTTCCCACAGTATTCTTGGTGACCAGCACGATCTCGATCGTGCCAAGCACCACGGTATCGATGCCATGTCCGTTGAGGATCTTAAGAAGCTCAACAAGAACAAGAAGCTCATCAAGAAGCTTGCTCGCAAGTACGATGCCTTCCTTGCTTCCGAGGCTCTGATCAAGCAGATTCCCCGTCTGCTCGGTCCCGGTCTTTCCAAGGCCGGAAAGTTCCCTACCCCCATCTCCCACGCTGAGGACATGGCCGCCAAGGTCACCGACGTCAAGTCCACCATCAAGTTCCAGCTTAAGAAGGTCCTGTGTCTCGGTGTCGCCGTCGGCCACGTCTCCATGGAGAAGGAGGCCATCGTTGCCAACCTGATGCTCGCCATCAACTACCTCGTCTCCCTCCTCAAGAAGGGCTGGCAGAACGTTGGCAGCCTTGTCATCAAGGCTTCCATGTCTCCTCCCCACCGTGTCTACTAGATTATCTGTCGCTTTGCTGCGCCGGGTTTTCTAATTTGGGCCTGAGAACTGGGTTTGTCGTTGTCTTACGACTAAATAAAAAATGAAGCTCATGATCGGTCTCAACCTTTTTTCCCTCTCGGATCCATCGTAGTATTATGTAGTGCTTGATTAGCAGCCTGAGAGCATTGGTACTTATAGATCGAATGTTGTACATTATGTTATGTTGCCTTTTGTGTGAACGGTGACTATCGTACAGAAATTTCACTCCATGCCAACCATAAGCTCTGTTTTGTCCAGGATCATTCCTCGCATGCCAATGAACTCTCGGAGACTCGCCCATTCCTCTCCAACCTCCTCGCCTCTCATGTAGGGATCTTTGAAACCCCAAGCACAGGCGACTCTGTCCATGGCGGCGCGCTCTTCCTCGCGCAACCAACGTTGACGGAGCGGGATACCAGGGATCCATACTACACGCTCCATTTGATCATTAGCTGTCGTGATGGCCAATATACCCATGGATGATGTGCCACCGACGTAAGCCAATGTTGCAGCGAACGCGATTCCAGTTGCTACATTTGGATCCATCGTGTTCTGGAATGTGGCAGCCCACGATGCGACAGCATAGCAAGCAGCCGGAGCGGCCGCAAGACCGATTAACGGGACACCGGCTTTCTTGAAGATCTTCGCCCGGTGGAAGGCAGGGGCGCAGAAGGTGTTGTCAATAATAGCCAGCACAAGCGGGAGGTTCTTCTGCTCAATCGCAACACCCAGAGCCTTGTTCGCCAGCTCGGCTGGAACGGCACTGTTGACGCTCTTGGGGTTAGGCTTGAGCAACTTGACCGGGGAGCTGTTCTCCTCTGGGACCGGCTTATTTGCGTAGAGGTGGAAGATTTCGGGGAAATGCTCGGCGCGGCGCAAGAGGGTCAAAGTCTCGGTACAAGAGGCCAGAGCCTCGGGCGAGATGAAGACCTTTTCATCCTTCAAAATAGCAATGGCGATTTTTGAGACTGACTCGGCCAATCGAGGATCCGGGTTCTGTGAGGATTGTAATTTCCCGTTGCTCTTTGTGGCAGTTTGCTTCTCCTCCATGTCCAGTAAAGATGAGATCGCGTTGCCCTCGTCACCCGAGGACTCCTCGGTTTGATCTCGTTCACGCGAAGATAGAAGCTCTGCGACCCGTTGGCATCGTTGTAGCAAGTCCACCACCACTTCATTGGAGGCTACGGTATTCGATTCGTGCAAGGCAGATGCATCTCGCGCGATATCCTTCAGCGCCGTATCAGAGCCTAGTGTAGAGGCCGAGTTGGCGAAATGGCGCACGACTAATGAGGACAGCGATGTCAATCTATCGATTCTCTGTGAAGGCTGCGCGCGGAGGGCGGAGATTGGGGTCCGACTCTGCACAAGTGATGAACGCGCGATAGGCAGACCGCGCTTGGACGCCGAAGTCGAAAATTGGCACAACTGACAGACCTGGCCCTGTCGGGAGCCCTTCTGGGCTGTTAAGGCGGCTCTTTTCATGGCGGTGGAGAATATGGGTTCGTTCTGAGGCTGTTGGTTTTTGGAGGGAGTCTAGGCGGAGACTTCGCCCTGGAGCCGTCCCCTTCCCCGTACACCCTGACGTCTTCTTACTTCTCTGCCTAACAACTACACAACCCTTCTGACCAACACTCTCTACTACCTCTCCGTATATTTCTGCGTCACATGCTGCGTCATCTCTGATTCCCTATTGTCTGTTCCTTAAAGATGCCTCCTCCCCCTCCTCCCCCGCCGCCGCCGCCTCCGGGAGGCTTGGGTGGTCCTCCCCCGCCGCCCCCTCCAGGAAACTTACCAAACAGACCCGGAAAAGGACAAGCTAAAGATAGAGTATGCATGATAACCACTAGCCCCGAGCCGCATTATTTGAGCTAGCTTGTTGAATCAGAAATCCGGCGGCTGACCATCACATAGGGCGCACTTCTCTCTGATATCCACAAGGGCGCCAAGCTCAAGAAGGCTGTGACCAATGATCGATCGGCGCCTGCTCTTGGAGGATCAGGGGGTGTATCATCAGCTCCTCCCATTGGAAGTGCACCACCTGTGCCTGGTGCCAGGCCGCCTCCGAGCGGGCTTGCGCCGCCTGTGCCCTCTGGACCCGCCGCAAATCGGTTACGGAGTAACAGCGAAGGTGTCTCTGGGTCAGACAATGCAGGTGGATCAATGGCGTCTCAGCTAGGAGGCATGTTCGCGGGTGGTATGCCCAAATTGCGCAGTCGTGGGGGTGTTGATACAGGTGCCGGTCGAGACTCGCCATATATGTCGGACGGTGAAGCACGCCGACCACCTGCTGCGTCAGCCCCAAAACCTCCCACGGCACCTAGACCACCTGGTGCTAGACCACCGCCTCCCCCTCCAACAACAGACTCGCCGCCGGCACCGCCAATCAACCCTTTGATAGCTGGCCTAAAGAAACCTCCCCCAAGACCTGCTTCAAGACCTTCCTCTACAGTGTCTACAAAGGCACCAGATGCACCGCCTCCTCGTGCACCCCCTCCACCTCCAGCGCCGGGCAAAGCCCCGCCCCCACCAGCTTCGAGGAAGCCATCTGGTCCCCCGCCACCTCCATTAGCAGCTCCCTCCAGCCGCGCCCCGCCTCCCCCTCCGGCAGCTTCACGATCCACACCTCCCCCTCCGCCGGCGCCACCAGGAGCTCCGCCCTCGATAGCCGCCCAAGCTGCTCGTTCTGCATTGGGACAGCACAGTCCATCACCTGCAGCACCACCTCCTCCGCCTCCATCAGCTGCCCCGGGTGCTCCTCCACCACCACCTCCAACCTCACCACCTGTAGCGCCACCCACCGAGCTGCCATCTCGACCAGCTTCTCATGAACCTTTTGCAGCACTAGATCCCAGTGCTTACACACTCAGCAATGGTGGCTCACCCGCACCAAGCTCCCGAAGCCCCTCATCACATGGCCCAATTCGAATAGAAGATACTCGGTTTAAGTTCCAAGGCGACGGTTTACTCCCCAAACCACGTCAGTTTGTTGGTGGAGACCGGCGTTACCGCGCCGGGAGAGGCAGCAGTGTCCCATTAGACTTGAGCGCTTTGCGCGGTTGATTGGGTGCACTTGATGTTGTGGGCAACTGTGCGCCCATAGCTAACTGCTATACATATATCATCTTACCGTCATACAGTCTTGTCATGTAAACATTCTGTATAAACACTTTGTATATAACCCCTCTGGACTCAAGACACCTACCTTCATTGATCAGACCTCAGATCTGACAGGGAACAGAGCTAGAATTCATTATTAGTTCTCAAGATGAACGTGGAATCACTCAAGCTCAAGCGCCACTTTTCTTAGAACGCACTACCGGCCATGTCATAATGTACACCGCCCTTACCACCGCCTGCCCCTCGGGCGGTAGCCATGCGCACTTAGGCCCCAAAAGCTAAGCTTCACACGTGATCGAGGATGTCAATTGATATGGAAAACATCTACAAGTCTCTATTCCTCTGATATTAATCTGATTCAACCGCACAAGCCCCGCCATCATTCACCCTTATCTCAAAAGGGCCCTCACAAATCATACCTCCGGTTCGACTCTGGACCCGCTCCTCGCCGCTGCCATTCTTTCGCATTGAAACATCTCGGACTTCAACGGGATTTCTGCGACAGGACCGAGCCCCAAAGCCCATCACGACTTCACGCATTGCCGAATCAGCTATAACACATTTCTTGCATAAATACGCGGCGGACGATTCTTGCTTAACTCAAGTAGCGAAGTCAGAGATCGACAGACTTTCCCTCATCCGCGCAAAGCAGACCTCCCCCCAAGTGCTAGAATACGACTGGACCTGATCTACGGAGCACCAGTTGATCGAATCTGACTGCGCATTTAATTGCGATTTTTTTTGCCCACGCAAGATTGAGACACCCTTCCATTCTGACGAATCACCGCTCTTACGTCGACCAAATCCACCATGTCTCTCCACGCATTTATCAATAGTGAGTCTTCCAATGGCACTTTCTGACTTTTATCCCCACGGTATCTGTATGCTAACAAGACTTTGCAATCAGAGAAGGTCCTTATTCTTACCGTTGACGGCCGTACGCTTGTCGGCAACCTTCTTTCAACCGACCAAATGACCAACCTTGTCCTCACCAGCACCGTCGAACGCATTATCCGCTCTCAAGATGAAGACGAGCCCTCTTCCGAGATCGAACATGGACTGTATCTGATCCGTGGCGATAATGTGGTGGCTTGCGGTGAAATAGACGAAAAGATTGACGGAGACATTGATTGGACCAAGGTGAAGGGCGAAGTCATCCGCGACACCAAGAACGCATGAGCAAGCTCTACACGATTGAACTTTTCTTTCCGGCGTTTCGGGGAACCATTTGCATGCGATAATGATCCAGCAGGACGATTATTCTGGAGTTCGACGTGGTCCTTGGCCGGACCTGGTGCGGGCTTGGTCCTTGGCCCTGTGCCTACGTGCCATAACGCTGTTGGGTGTCGGTCCGATCTGGTTAATTTTTTTTTCTGGCTGTAGGCTACAGCCCTAGGAGCGGTGATCTGCTCTGACGCAATGATCAGAAGATCTATCTGGGATGTGCTCCGTACGCATGTTGGGATGATGCCATGGGCTCGGCATTCTTGCAGTCTTGATCAACCTCGCGGGGCAAGAGCACAGACGCTGGATTTACAACAGGGGCCAAGGTCTTGTCTCTTTCCACCCCCTCCAAGTATGAGATGAGGGGCCAGACCCCTTCTTTTTTTTTGAGGTCATAGAAGAATGTGACTTATTATCATGGATAACATGATTTGATTGCAGTTACGGAGTACCACATTCCCCCCTCGTACAAGCTGGTACATTTTCTCCCACTCTCATGATTCCCAGGTTTCAACACCAAAAAGGAGTAGACTTTCATCCCGTTTGCGGACATCCCGTCTCCACGCGGGAACCTGCCAAGACTTAGAGAACCCTAAGGGGAACACGGAGGATGAAGTACGACAGCCATTCGGACACGAACACCTGGGCTGGGCAGAGGCCATGGCAGATATATGCTACACGGGACTCCTTGAGACGGTCCCACTCTGTAGATTACTCCGTACATCCTTTGGGATCTTGGGATTCCGCTCCAGCCTTGGCGCAGTATGTGAGGAGGCTGTCAGGTTGAATGTGAGGTGTACACATGTACGAGTACACCTACAATTTGCAGCAATAACTAAGTCCAGAACTAAGTCCAGAGTAAAAGAAAAAGAAGTCGGTCAAGATGCAAGTAACCTGTACATATGTCTGATGTTAGGCCGCAAACAGAGAGGCTTAGACCTAAAAGAGGCAGGGAAACTTAAGCCGAAACACCAGGCAGAAAGTATCGATTTTCCCCCTCAACCTCCCTAATTGCGTTTCGTCTTTCTCACTTCTTTTCCCTTTTTTCCTCACTCCCTTCAATCATTTCTAACCGCTTACTTTGTACTTCGTATCGCTGGGCGATCTCCAATTCCTGCTGCTGTCTTCATCCCGCCCCTTTCCGCCCCTATTCGCCTCAGCCCTTCATGTGTTCAGTATCACTACAACACAACGAGCGAATACCGGGTCATATCCAGCAGTTCTCCCGGGCTGAGGGCCTGTTGTGAACACAGTCCGTTTCACTTTAGCAAAATTTACCCTTCCTCACGGCCATGTGGCTCTACCGAGGCGCTCAGTCCGCCGTCTTCTACTATGCCACTTGCACCCCTTGTGCCGAAAATATCGATCGTCGGAAACGTAGAAAGGATGCCGCCCGAGTACAAAGAGAGAAGGAGAAGCAGAAGTTCGAGGAAATCGTCACCGATCAACCCCGTCCGTTCCCGCAACCAACACCCTTCAGTACCAATGTAGGCTGGCGAGAGGAAATCGCCTTGGGGCCCGGTCCTCCAGCCCGCCGGGGCGGTCGCAACTTCCACCGAACAGACAGCTGGAACACCGACCAGAGTTCGCAACTGAAGAAGGACAAGAGTGGTGGCTTGATGCATCCGCTCGGCGAGAAGTGGAAGTCCATGCGCTACCAACGTGAAGACGAGCCTCTATGGGGACAGCAAGAAGTGCGCGGGTCGTCTATTGGGTTCTCAGGCCGTGGTCGCGCAGACCCGAATGAAGCATCAAAGTACTATATACCTCGGATACCGCCCGTGAACGACCTTCACCCGCCCATTGTCAGTGGACCCTGCAGTCGCGCCGACACCCGATGGATGCTTCAACCTCCACCCAGTGCCAGAGTGATGTCCGGAAAGGAAGATTTCCGCAAGCCGGCCCGTGATAGCGTCGGTGGGTCCGGCAACGAGTATCTTTCCCGGATCGCCCAGAACACCGCCAGGGGCAATGAACCTGGGCATAGTGAAACGGCCGACGGTGTCGCAGATGAAACCAACCTGAAACATCTTCCTCGCCGGCCATCTTTGACTCGACTCCGGGTCTCGAATGAGGATTTTGATCCGACATTACACTCTCGAACTGACTCCATGTTCTCGGACACCAACACCGATGATCAATCTCCCAGCTTATGGCAACATCCCGCAACTCCACGATCACGTCCACAATCCAAGGACACAGGCGATGACAAGGTCTATCGCCCCCAAATCTCCAAAACTCTCTCCACAATGCAACGAGACAACAAGAAGGTCCACATGCTGCATCTTGAAATCAACGATGAATTCCGCGATGATCTCGAAGTGGGCCAGTTCCAGCCCATTCGCCCATGGCGCTGGAGCATGGACATCTAACAACCTTCCTAACCTCCCAACCTACCTCTCCATCCTACTCTCTTCCTAAGCCTGCCTTTCTTTTTCTCCTTCATCCACGGGTTAGGGCTACACGGCGTTTGAAGCATCAATTCCAGCGAGCATTTGCTTTTATCATTTCCCTCTTAGGCCTCGAGCCCTGCATTTGCTAGATTTATCTAGTAAACACCCCTCTCGCTGTCGGGACCGCATATCCCACATGGGCATGTACCTGGCGGGTCCAGTACACCAAGCGACAAGCCCGGCATTGCCTACAACACTTCCTACTTTGCCAATGGCAACGATCTAGCTGGCCGAGTTTCCTACGACAGCACTTCGAACTATCCTTCACACTTCCTTTTCTTTTTGTTTGCGGGTCCTATCATGGCCTTCCATGTCTCTTACTTTCCATTCGTGTCTCTCATTCATTAGATATTTTTCTTGTACCATAATCAGTCCCGCCCGCTAGGGTTGTCAATACAGTCAGTACCTCATAACAAGCTTTTCGGTGGCACCGATGAAATTCTACGTAATCTTGAAGTCAGCTCAGGTGTATTTCAGTCTTCCCCGGGGTCTCGTATATCATCTTGTTGAAAGAATGCCTTGGGACCTAGGTCCTTTGATGTGTATAATACTGATCACTGCATCTCTTCAGAGCTGTGGACGTTGGAAAAACAATATATTCAATCTATGAATCTCAACTCAATACCAAAATAAAACTAACGATCTAAGTACCATCTTGTTTTGGAATAAATGCTTGATATATTCGAGTCAACGATTTACCTGGAAATATTCATAGAAAGACTATTCGCTATACAATTTACATTTTTAAAATCTCAAATCAACTCAATGTTTTCGTGCAACCATTTTTGATAGCAGAAATATCATATTCATGATTTTTGACTACGAAGAACAGAAATTTGTCACTGTAGGCCAACTCACTAAAGAAAAACAACTTTCAACAATGGCTTTTTAAGCTTTGGATAGGATAGAAGTGGAAACAGCCTCGATCACACGAGGTCGTTCTGTAAAGCCGAGGACATTATGAAGACCTTTTTAGCAGGTATGGGTATGATGTAGCCTGAAACAAAAGGCCATTACAGATTTGAGCAATGACGTCCCGGAAGAAAGCTCTTGGAAGACTTTATAAAATGAGA